ATGTTAAGACTTATTGTAGTATAGATACAAGAAAACACAAAGAAAGTGAATAATTCAAAATCTCTTAAAATTTTTTAAATTCATATTGTAGGGGAGGTTTAGGTTTATTTGTATTTCTACCAATTCACATAAATAATGAAAGACTAGAAATTATCTATCTCTAAATATTTATTGAAAAGGACAAAACACATATAAAATAAAACAAGGATTAAAAAAAACAAGAATTTGGAAGAGGGGGTTTTGGGCTTGAATTAAAGTTCCGTACTTAACGTCATTTTCTAGCAGACTGTCTTCGTTCACCACCAGAGGCGCTGTAGTGGGGGAAAGAGGAGAGTTTGTCGCAATATACATTTTTTTCATCTTAAGTAATCAAGAAAGTCAAAATAGATAAATTGAAATGTATTGCTTAAAACATCATCTTTAGCCCTTATTTACTTAGTAGATGATAACCAGCACAATACACTTAGAATTATTATGAAATGAAAGTTTTATTGCTTTATATACAAGATCTTTCCCAAAGAATTTTGAGATTATGTTTCTTCAATAAAGATTAATTTTTAAATGTCTTGAGGTCTGTCAATAATTAATGTTGCTGTGCTTTTCTTATTATTTAATACAAAATTTTTGTTGATATGTGTTTATTAATTTTTATAATAATTTTGTTATTTCAGCATTCTTTTTTTGTTGTCTTTGGATATTTTATCAAACTATTTTCTTTTACCTAAAACCAATCTAAGTACCACATTTTATTTTATTATATAATGCTTTTTTATAATTTGCATACAACTTTATCAGTTATAATGATTATTACTGAAATTATCGTATATAGTGAAATTATTAATTGAAGAAAATACCTATTCTTCAAACTGAGAAAAAATTATCTGAAATTTTTGTGCTGCTTTTTACTTAGGAAGAATAAAAATTTATAATTTAAAATATGAATGAAATGTTTTAATATGTGAAGGAAAATTATGCTTCGGTTAATTTGTTTTAGCTGCGTACTCACTGCCTTTTTTTACTTATTTTTCAGGCCTGGCTTTATAGACTAACTTCAGAAAATAAAGAAGTTTTAATTGAAAGATCTGTCGCAAAATCAACTGACCTTGGACTTTGCGTAATTAAGTTTTAAAAATTGAATTTTTTATTTAAAAATTTAAATAATATATATTGCATATTTTGGACCATGTTTTTTTAATTGGGAAGTGTTTCACATTTTATTATTCTATTAATTTTCTTTATTTATATTTTTTGTCTTTGTTATGTCAGATTTTAAGTAACTTTTTATTTATTTTTTTGTTCTATAAACTAAGGATTGGATTTAATTTTTTTTTATTTGTTTGTCTTCATTTTTTATCTATTTCTTTATTCAAAATCGTTAATTGTGTAAGTTGCTCAGTTTAGTTGTTTAATAAAATGGAAATAAAAGATATAATTGCATAAAGCATTTAGAAAATACATATGAATTTTTGCTTTTAATTTTTTTTAGATTTATGGTTAAAATTTGGCTAAAAAACTGATACATCTTTAACAGTATTACATTATGAATTTTAATCAAATGAAGTATAAATTATAATTTGTATAATTGTTCTGCATTTTATAAATATTGCTAAATGAATTAAAAGTTTCTAAGATTTTATTAAGATAGTGAATATCAAATGTAAGTTTTTTGAAAGTCGTTTATGAAATGTTTCACTATTAGTTAAGTCAGAGTTTAAAGAAAAATCTTTACATAATAAGTTGTACCTTTTTTATAAGTATATCTTTATCAAATTTCTGTATGCAATTTTTTCAAACTTTTTAAATTAAAGTATCTAAAGTCTGTCTATTCACTGGCTCCAACACTATTGTTAAATGACAAACACTAAAAATTTATACACAGAAAAATAGAAATGCTCAAATCTTTTATTCCTAGGACAATTTTCTGAAAAATTGTTCTGTTGTCAATAATTTTGAAGTTTTGTAACAACACTTAATTTTAATTCTGCATTGATTCTTCTGTTCACTTCCATTTGTATTGTGATTCCATAAGGATTGCAATAGCATTAGCTATTGATTATTTGTACAATAATGAAGTTATTATAAAATTAGGAAAAAGTCTTGTTCAATTTATTATCTATTTATATAATTACTTAAAAAGCATAAAAATTAAAATTTAATTGTGTTTTAAAAATCACAGTCTCTTTTTTTTAGTGTTGTTTCAGCTTTGGTTTCTAATCTTATAATTCACATAATTCTAATTCCATGCAAACATTAGTGATAAAGAAGTAACTAAATAAGGCACACATTGTTAAATTAAGTTAACCAGTGTGAAAGTAATTTTATTTAATAAATCAAATTAGAAATAACTTGAAAATCATCAGCAATTTAAAAATCTTAACTTAGCAAGTAAATTTTTTACAAATTTAAATACTGAATTTTAAATTTTAAGTTTCTATTCCCATCTTTGCTGTTAAAGAATATATGTATTGAATGGAATAAATTAACATATCAAAGTTGTTCATTTATTAATTATTATTTCAGTGCTTGGCTTCTCTTGGAATACAAGCTCTGACTAGATTGAAATCTTTAACTACTGCCTCTCCATCAAGGTATTGTAAACTTTATACTATAGTCAGTTTTTTATTTCAATATATTTTTGATGCGTATGTAAATAATGTTTTAATTTTTGTCCTAACTGTACTGTTTTGTTTCTTTTCGCCATCCTCAGTGTTTTTGAATTACTTACTAAAAGTGATGTGCAGAATTGTCAACATTCTATGGCTGATTTATTAGGTCCTGCTTATGCTTTGAGAGCTGGATTGTGGTCTTATTATGGGCATAGGTAATGTATATGCTTCTTTCTTCAACTCTGCTGCATTATTTTGTAAAAAAGAGGGGAGTTGCACAGTTTTATAAGTAATTTATTATTGTCTTGAATATTACATATTGGTTTAGAATTTTTTTACTGATATTAATTTAGTTCTCTTTTAAATAAGGAAAAGTAATTTTTGAAATTTTCATCACTTACGATTTTAACCCTATCAATTTTAATGACATTCTTCCCAAAAATAAGATGGATAAGTAATATTTTTTTTTTGAAAAGGACTGGCTAATTTTGAATCAGGATTTGTTTTATTTAGTTTTTGTATTTGAATGTATGAAAGTTAATTAAATAGTAATGAATAAAAATTTTACTTTTAATAGATCCTATTTTAAGAATTAGTTTTTTTTATACAAATATTAATAAGATAAGATACTGCAATAAAAAAGCTGCCAATATATTTTCCTAATTGTCAATTTTCCTGGATTTTCCTATTGATTTCTTGATTTTGCTAGTTTCTCCTGGCCTAATAGCTTGATCATAAATTCTCTTGGTTTTTATATATTCTAGAAAATTCCCTAAAATTGTGAAAGTTAATGTTTAAGAAGAAAAAAAAACCCTATCAAAGCAGATATTTTAATTGCTTGCTAGAGTATTTAAATAAATAATACTGTTAAATAAGTTATTTACAGTAATCACTTAGAAAGTTTTCTTTCATAAATATTCTGGCATTTTAAATTTCTCTTTTATTTTTCAAAACTCTCTTTTTTAAAAATTGATTAAAAAAAACTTTTTAACTATTTAAAAGAAGTTAAATCTATTTAAGTATTCAAAATGATGAACTTAAAAGTATTATAAATGTTAAGACTTATTGTAGTGAAATTTGTGCAATATTAATCATAAATTTAAAATATTGCAACCAGTTTAAATTGATAATTAGTGTATAACATAGTTGTAATTAGTTAGTAACATAATTAGTTAACATAGTTTAGTGTAACATGTAAGAATAAGTATATTGCAGTAAATATCCCAAAAAATACCTGTGTCTAAAATTTTTCAGATACTATGCTATAGTTATCAGGAAATTTATACCTTTTGTATAATCTACTGGATTTTTTTTTCCTTTTCATGTTAGCACCTTTGTTCTTTTCTTTTTTTTTTAAATTTACATTTTGCTTATGATTTCTTAATAATTGTTTGAAATTTTTTTTCAGTATGATGATGCATTTATCTAGTCAAATGCTCTTATTTTTGAATACTTCGGATCCTGTTAGAGGTGGTACGTATCACATTGGAGAAGGCACTTGTTTGGCATTAAGAAATCTTGCTATGAGTTTTGCCTCTGAAGTAAGAATTGTTCAATACTTGCATTTATATCATTATTTCTTAAACCTGTACAATTTGCTGCTGTAACAGAAAACTTTGCACTTTAACATTGAATTATGAATTACACACTCTCACACACAAATATATATGTAATAATATGCCTTCAAAGGCTAGATAATCCAAGAGACCTATGATAATTCAAATAAATAGGTATCTTACTAATTTATATAAAGGGTATTTAACATCTTACGTTGGATTTTTGCATGGATTACAATGATGGGTTTCCATTCTAAATCTTTGCACTATCAAAACAATAAATCTTCCTATTTCTTTGACTTCATTTATTGTACCCTTTTTAATATTTCCGTACATGCTTAGAAATAAAAGGTTTAACCCTAACTGATTTGAATTTAAAGACTAAAATGACCGATCATGGTTCCGTGTTTTGATGTGGTGGCCTCTAGAGATTGAAGAATAACATAATTAATGTCACGTAACAGCTTTTTAATAACGCTTAACAACATGATGGTTCAAACGAGACTCTATATGAGGTGCATCTGCCCTGTCGCCCATTTCCAAGAGACGCTGCTGTGTTTCAGCGCCACACATATATACAGTAGAGAACCATTTATCCGGTATCCAGATAACCGGGAAAAATTTTGCTCGATTTTCCCGCCATTTTAAACTAGAACGATTTTAAACTAGAACGAAAAAAGCGGAAATTGGACTCATCCTTGAAGTTAGTAGAGGAAAATGTAAGGAAGGGGAAAATTTCCCCCCCGTTTACCACAGAGAAACGTCATTTCCTCCGTGACCTTGAAGGCAGGAAAGGGAGGAATGTTTTATTTTTTCCTTTAGGCCGTCAATCAAACTCAAGGGTGTGGCATGCTGATTTCGTTTTCTGCTTGATTTACGAGGGGGGTGGGGAAAATGCATTGCATGCATATCAGTGAACAGAAAAAGAAAAGAGAAAAATATATTTATTTGACATCGACTAATAAAAATAAAATCTTTTTCTTTTGAATAAATTCTCATTCTTTGGAAGAGCGGTATCAATTGCAAGTTTTTCTTGGTGTGGAATCACATCTGCTGTAATTAAAAATCTTGTTTTTATCAACAAAAAAAATAAAATAAAAGGAGAATTGTTTATTAATTTAAACATAGGATTATTTTATGAAGCAGATTGCAGTTTTGTTTTTCTGATTCCACTACGTTTGATTTTTTTTCTTTTCGCGATAAATTTCGCACTCAATAAATTAATTCTTTTTATTCATAAATTTTATCATTAGGTTTTTTTTTTTTTTTTTTGAATTCCGTTGATCTTGCCTTGTTCCGGGTTTTAATATTTATGCTAGTGCCTTTTTTAACTATCGTTTCGGTTCGATAATTTTCAAGTGTTTTTATTTAGATTAATAAGTTTTCCTTTTATTTTATCGTTTCCCCCGTATAATTAGGTATGAAATATATTGCGTTATTTAATCATTGGTTTTGTTTATATTATTTAATTTAGGAATTGTAATTATTTTTAAAAAATAAATATGAGAATTTTGTATTTTTTAAACTTGATTTTCTTGTCTAAGCTTGCAATTTTTTTTATTCTTTTAAATGTTATATTTCTACCATTTTTTTTTTCTTTTTAAAGTTAGGAGTACCTTTCTTTTTTCTCTTACTTTATGCATTACACTTTTTCCTTGTACTTCGGGTTCGATAAAACATCGATTAACGACACTTTTTGGTCGATCCAGAAAACCGGGAAATTCAGACATCCGGGATAGCGATGGTCTCGAGCATCCCGGATAATTGGTTCTCTACTGTATATATATATATATATATATATAAAAGAAGCATTAATTAAAATTTCAAATTTGTTTTGAAGCAAAAACATCCATTATTACTAAAAAAATTTTTATTTGTATATGTCTATTAATTAATTCACAAATAATTATTAAGAATTATGCATATGCAGAAGGTAAATAAAGAACAATTTCTAATCAAACCTCTTATTACTGCAATACACATTGAACATTAAATATGATGAAATACCTAATTAATGAAATTTAAAGCTCTTATTAAAGCTCTTAAATCATTATTTTTGTAAAATTGAATATTAAATTAACAATTATGATTTTACAGAAAACTTAATTCTCTAATTAGATGATTTCAATTTTGTGTCTAAATCATTTTTAAAATTGTATATTTTTATTTAAAATGAATTAAAAAAATTAATAAATACTAGTATCCTCTTTCGATTTGTCTGCTTCTTATTATCTTTTTTAATGGTTGCTTTTTTTGGATTAAATTCTAAGCATAGTAGAGATTTTTGTGGAATTTTCACTCATCTCTTTATGCTATAAAATTGGCACAAATGCATGAAAAAAGTTAAGGTTGTTTGGAGGAATAGTTTCAGTCTGGGGACTATGAATGATTTCTGAATCAATAGAAATTCTAAAAGCATACGTTATCTGCAGTTCTGAGAGACCACGATGAAAAGGCAAACATGATATAGATGGGGTAGAAAATTAAGGTTTCTTCAAATTGATGAGTCCTTTTAAAAGTTCTTGCTAAAGTATTTAGGGGTCTAAAAGTTTAAGAGTGGTATGACGTTTTTTATTCATCCATGATAGTTATTTCAATAAAAACATGCATCTATAATAAAGTTTCCTGTGATAAAAATTTATAAATCTTGTATTTTGTCAGATGTGTACTTTACAAAAGAATTTTAATTCTTTTAGTAAATAATGTTCATATTCTTCTCTTCCATTTCTTTTGATATGAACATGATAAATTAAACTGTCAAGCTAATTGAATAAAAAATTTTTTTTATTAGTACTTATAGATATCAAAAGCTTTTATAATTTGGTTTAAATAATGAGAATGTATTACAGAAATTGAATTTCTAATTATCATTTTCGAGAACATGTATACTGAACAACCATAATTGCTATCTTGACAACTATGATAGATAACTTACTTTAAATGATGAACTATTTTATTATCATTTTTCATCATTTTAGGGTTTATACTGTGATGCAGCTCGAGTGTTGGCTCTTGCTAGAGAACTATTTCCCTCACATTCAGAGTACAGTAGTATATGGCAACAAGCTGATTTAGTGATAAAATATGATAAAGCTTTATATCAAGGAAAATGGTTAGAAGCTCAAAATGCTCAAAGAGGCATTGCAATTTTTGACAAAGAAGAAGCTCAGTTTAGGTTTGTCAATAATCAAACTAAATGTATTAAAAAAAATATTTTGTTTCTTAATAATAGCCTATATTTTTTTTAATACTTTTTATGTTGCATATGCTTCAAGTAGTTCTACTTTCTTACAGAAACTCAAAAATAAAAGTGCATCATTTTTTTTACTCTGAGTGTTTTTTTATTTTATATACTCTTACCATGTAGTATATAGCCTGGAGTCAGTTTTTAATGTTTTTTTAGACTTAGGAATTTTGAAGGACGTTATAATATTTTTGAAGAAAAGTTGTGCACACAAACAATTATTTAATGACAATTATAACAATAATTAAAATTTGTTTTTCTTCAAAACAGTAATAATTGACAGTATTTTTTTTGTTGCAATTATTATAAAAATGTTAAATTAGCTAGTTTTGATTAAAAACTCTCAAAAACTTAAGATTGTGTTGTATATTTATATGTAGTTTCATATTGTAAATTTTAAAAAAAAAGAAATTTAGTTTTTTTTAAGTGTATTTTGCTTGTCTTTCGCAAATTTTTATTGCCCTGAATGGAGTATAAAGTAATGTAATAGTTTTGAAAAATATTTGTTGGTGTATAAAATTTTTAAAAACACCAATTTTAAGGAAATCCAAACATTGAGTTTATTTTTTATTGTAATTATCTTACATTAGTCATGTAAGTTTTATGTTAATTTTATTTGCACTTAATTTAATAATTGATTTCTTTGTGCACTTCTATTGTAAAATAAAACTTGCAATAACATTTTAAAGAAAAGATGGAATCCTTAAGTTTTGTAATAAAAGCTTGGTAGAAATTAAATAGGACAACAAGCTCATAGAACTTGCAATTTTGGCATGAAGCAACTTTTTATTTTTGAAGTTTCATTAAAATGAGTTTGATAGAAATTTTATTCAATTTAATCATAAATACAATTAATTATTTACTGTATGTTATTAATTTTAAAACACATTATAATGTTATTAATTTAAAAACACATATAAAATAATTTGGCTATTTCTAACATTATTTCTATAAAGTACATTTAAGTTTATATCAGTCAGTAGAGCTCATTGAATTACGTAAAAAAAATTTTATGCTTCCTATGTTTACAAACAAAAATTGCAGCTGTCATAAAATGACATATTACTGTCTTTTCATTTCTTGATTATTATAATTCAGTGGTTAAAACTCTCCTTATGAGGGACTGGGGTACAATCATCAGTGGTGGCTTGAAACCAACCAGCTTTAGATTAATGAGTACCAGCTGGTCTGGGAAGTAAAGGCGACCTGAGCATAATACTGACCACATTACTGCAAATATTCACAAAATTGTGAAGTCTTCACCTTGGTGAGCCATGAAAGTTCAACCTCTTAGACTCTATGGCTCATAACAGGCTGTTGTTGGAATAATTTTATTATAAAATTGTGCTTTATTCATACTTGTTTTTATTTACTATGTAACATTAATATTATTATCTTAGGAAAGCAGTGCTGCTTTATAAACAAGGTAATGCTGCTGAAGCTGATAATGTTTTAAAAAAGTTGATAGATTATTGTGAAATAACACCAGTTGCACCACATTTTCATGTCAGGTATTGTGAGTCAGTTGTCAATAATTTTTTTAATATTGCTAGTTGCTATATGTGTACTAAGAATTTTCATATTTTTAGGGTACTTCTTCTCAGGATTGAATTATTATCAACAACTCCAAATAATAATGTCATTCTACCTACATTGATGATGTGTTTATCTAAATGCAAAAATCATCATTTATTGCATTTAGAATCATTAACGATTCTCCAAGTGGCCTCTGTTCAGGTAGAGTAGTTTTCTAAAAAAAGTTTTTTTCTTCTTCTATTATTTGAGCTTTTCTTTACCTGTGTCAATTCTATATAATAAAAAATGGCTTAAAATATTAAGTTAAATAAAGGGTATTATTCTACATTTGATATTATACTTTTTAAATCAAATTAATATTATAGTTTTCTGATATTAATTCTAATTATTATCAAATGATAATACAACACAGCTATCTTTTTATCTGTACATGATTTGTCAGGTTGAGGAAACAATTATTAAATTGATCTAACTTACTGGAATCAGAATGAATATTTATAGAAAGTTTACTTACTTGTGCCTCATTGCAGTATTGTTCATAGTAATATAGTTAGTTGGGTCAATTTGACTTTCAAGATAAGTAGTGACCAGAAACTTATACTGTATACAACATTTAATGAAATTAATAAAGCTTTTTTTCTTTAACTTTATTTAAAGAAAATTATTGCAGATTATGATAATTTAGTTGGATACTTTTATAATTCCTGTTATCATTTTCTCTTTTATCTGTTCCTATTAATGTAATTTTATGAATGATATAAAATATCTTTTGAGCCTACAAGCCATTTGAATACTAATTTTTCTGTCTTTAATTGATACAATTTATATCATTTTACTAATAATTATATAAAGTTGTAGGAAATAAATATTTAAAATAATCTACAACCTACATATGATGTAATCATTAGTTTTCTTTTTTATTTGATTTATTATTGTAGGACCAGGAAAGGACCCATAACTTTTTCGTCTAGGGGTTACAAAACCTGTGTTTAAGTTAGCTGTTATTGGTCATTAGGTTATGCTTAATTTTTAACTCATTAATTTAACTTTCTGCATTATTTTAGTTGGAAATTGGGCTGCCAAAGCTTGCGTTAGATTTACTAGATGAAATTTTTGTCTCTGTTCTAACTCATGGCACTTCATATGATAGAGGAAATTGCTGTTTTCTTTATGGAAGATGTTTAGCAATGACTGCTATTCAAATTGAAAAAGATTCTGTGACCGCTTCAAAAGGTAATTATTTAAAATAGGATCTTTAATTAAAAGCAACAAAGCCTTTGGAAAATTTAATAACTGTTCATAAGAATTCACACCAATATAATGTGTTACAACATGTTGGCATCCTTGTGAACAGTAATTTAATTTCAAATGGTGCTAATATATTCAAAATGAATAAAAAATGTTTTTTAAAATTTTCCAGACATCGAAGCTGCTTTGTCCATGAGCGATAAGGCCTTTGAATACTTTAAGAAAATAAAAGCATTTATGAAAATGAGATCGATTCTTTGTTGGCAGGTACTGTACTTGTAGTTAATAATTTTATTTATTTAAGTATTGTCTGATCCAAGCTGTGGGTATTGTTTGGAGCTTTGCTACTGGAAAATTACTGGCTCAAATGCTTTGATATTTTAAAGACAAACATGTAAGGTTACAAAGTCTAAAAAATATTTTTTAAATTAGTAATTTTCTAGTAGGAAAACTTCAAAAACTTATTCAGTGATTCTGCTAGACTTGGTAAACTATGAGTCCGGAGGTCCAAGGGCTCTCTAACTGTGGTGTAGTTAGACTTTCAGATGCCCCAGAGAAAACACACAAAATGGGGCCCCTTCACTGGAAATTTAATATTTTTAATATACAATGAAATTTCTATTTAACTAGAAAGAATTTTGGGTGCCATTTCCCTGTTGCACTACCTCGTTTGGCCTATTCATAGCTATACCTCTACTTCTTTATTTCTTGGTCACTTTTTAAATTGAGTATTCTCTACCTCTTTGTTCATCTTTTAATATACATATTCATAATTGTTCTATAAATTAATAGACAAAATAAAGAATTTCATAACGAGAAAAGCTAAGATAAAAAAGAATATTTGACAATCAGAACTTTTCATTAAGATGGATGAAACACCTGCATAAAGGAAAAGCAATGATGCAAGATGATACTCAGAATTATACTAATTTTCCCCTTCAACTACTAAGGAAGAAAAAAATATATTTAAGGTTTGATTATAATTTTGCCTCTACGCTATTTTTTTTCACTGGAGAATCACAGGTCCTCTGGAACCCATAATGATATATGATGACGACAGTCGTGCAAGCTGGACAAACAGGCACAAGATTTAAAATAGAGCAAATTAATTTTATTCTGTCATTATGAGATGAATGATGAGAGAGAGAGTGTGTGTCACAAATTCGTCATTCTGCTGCATAAATGTTAGGGAATAAGGGAAATCTTAGTAATTGTAATTGGTTTATGAAATAGATCGCGCGATTCCCACAAAGAGCAAAGGTAAACATGTCTTACTTTTAATTAATGCATACTTGAGCCAAAAATAGATTAAAGGACAGGATGTGAATTAAAGTGTGAGGAAGCGTTTCGTTTTGAATAATAATTTAAGAAAAGGATTTACAGAAAAGGAATAACATAAAAAGATTAATTGAAGCTTTTTATATTAGATATTTATATATATTACACAATACTCTAAAAATAGAATCATAACTATACTTCTTGCATTATAGAGAAATCTAATGTTATTCGAGTAAAGAGCTGGCTTTTGCTTCTATACAGGAACTGTGGGTATATTTTATAATAAATAATTAATATGTTTTGAAAAGTGCCAACTATTATTAGGATTTCATAGTTAAGATTTTGTTCAAATAATAAGAATTATGGCTTTTGTTAATTTCGGTAATAATCTGTGTAAAAGATGTTTTTTCCCTTTAACAATCAAGAGATAGAAATTTTTTTTGCAATTCACCCGTAATCTTTTTCTACTACTTAAAAAATTCTAAAAACAATATAGAAAAACAAAAATGTGATAGAAACAAGAAGTCTCATTTTTCCCCTTTCTAACAAGCTATTCTGAAACATTATCTTCTCTTATTAAAAAATAATATTTGAAATAAGTGGGCAAAATTTTTTAATGGTTCTCACTTCAAATGAAAGATGCTAAAAAGACAAAGCAGGGCATCTATTACCACAGTGAAAAGAGAAGTTTTATTTACAGTTTTTAAACTACTAGAAATATTTAAATTTCATTGAATTTTTTTTCTCTGTTTAAGAAAATCATTTAACTATTTCAGGCTTATATTTATAATCACCTTGGACTGACAACTCAACGAAATGATGTAGCTTTTAGATACAGAAATTTTGAAGATGAAGTTTATGAATTGTAGATAAATTTTGATTTGTTTGTTTTTGTAAATAATTTCTTTAATAAAAACTGATTTTATATTAAAATTTGGGATGATTTATTTTTTATTTAAGTATAAAGCTTTTTTGCGGTCATATTGTTTCAATTTTATAATGGATAAATCTATTAAAAATTTGATATATTAAGCTATTACTGAACACTATTTATTCATAAACAAGCAATTTCAAATGTCAAATAGGAATTAATACTTATGATATGTAAGTTTAATTTGACAAAATACATCTAAAGGAAGAATGCATATATTGGTGTAACTAGGAATAAGAAATATATGATACCCTGGAAATATATGATTTCATAAATCTCAGTTTTCAATTATTTAAAAAAAAACAATCTTTCCAAGCAACAAAAATCTCAAGCTTTTTTTGTGTGACTTGTATTAGTGATCCCTTGCACTCTTTCTAACAGAAAATATTTCCCTCCACTTATTTATCTCCTCAGCTGGGAACCACATCTGAAGCAATGCCTTATAGATTAAAAGTAGCTTTGAATTCTCTACTTTTAAATAGAGTCCTTTGGCTAAGCGTTCAAAGAGGCACATTTTCCCGGAATTAACATCTTCTCAAGGACACAGGTTTGTACCCTCACTCGAGAAATAAATATTTGTTTTCCAGGGGGAAATATGGGTTCTTTATTCCTTTTGCTTTTGTCCAAGCATAAGTAGAGAGAATTATTTGTTTAAAATTTTGTTTTTCCTTATTTGATTAAATTCTAAGCATTTTTATTTTTCTAGTTTAAAATATTTATTTCTCTTAATTAAAAGGCTATAAAATATATAATTGTTCATATTTTTGTACATATTTATAGTTAAAATAAAACTAAAAAAGTATAGTTAAGAAAAGATTTTTTTATAGTAAATAAATATTTTATTAAATTATATACTGTCCATTCTGGTCCAATTCCTTTTGCTATCTTTCTAGCAGTTGAATGTTTCCATTACCTATAAAATGTTTGTTCGCAAAAAACTCATCCAAGTGATTTTTGTCCTCATTTGAAGTGAAGGTTTTACTATCTAAATTTTGTAGAAATCAGAACATTATTGGAGACAACTCATTTTTTTTTACTCCAGTGATAATGCGCTTCAAAAACGGATAATTTTCTTGATGTTTGAGAAGGAAATCGCAGACCCCTATTAAATGGCATAAATTTCTTTCCATAAGAACATGAGGTACCTTCACGTTGAGCTTCGAGATTAAACCTAGGCTTCTTAAATTATCATGAATGGTCGATTTTACTTTGTAATTGAATGAGGGACTATGGTTTACCCCAAAAAAATTTTCTACTTAGTCCAATAGATGTATATTATTGAAATGAATTTTTAATTTGACAACATTACAAATACTTACTGTTGCATGAAAAGTACGTGGGATTAACATGGTTATGCAATGTAAACAGCAGTTTACTTCCTTTAACCTACAGATAGAAATATACTGTAAATATCAATTCAATAAGCGTTTGCATACTCTTTATATTCCAAATAAAGGAGCACAACTTTCACACTTTCTTGTTTTTCCGTTTTTTGTATAAGAATGCCATTGTTATATATTTACCAAAGTCAGATCCTTTTTTAAATGTTCTTCAAGCTCATACAAATTTGATGCACAAAATATGCGCCAATATTAAAATAATAATTCATTTTTACCATGAACATAGAATAATCTTTTATAGTAAAAGAAATAAATTTTAGGTATAAGCAGTTTTTTCAATAATAAAGGGGCTAGAAATAATTAAAATCAATATTTTTATTTGCTTTGTACTTCAAATTAAAAAAAAAAATTCTAAATTGAGATTTATTTATAGTAATACTAAGTAATCTATTTAAGTAAAAACGGTTTACTTTCTTTAAAAAATTAAACATGTTTTATTTACATGTAGAATAAATACTTTGAGATACATGTAGAATAAATACTTCAAACAAAGTTTTAAAATGTAATTTTACTTTTAAATGACATTATACATTCTAATGAACATAAAAAGTAATACTTTGGTATTGATTTCACTTAGTAAATGTTTCATACAATGTCATTCTGAACAATTACAATTGTATGAATAAGATTTAACTGAATATAATTTATTAAAAACTTATTGTTAATATTTCTTAATGATATTGAAAATAAATAACTTATAAATGACTAAATGAAAAAGCGTCCGTATCAGTGCTGGCACCAAATTGGTCAAAACTAAAAAAAGTTAAATTACTTTATTTAGTTTTGATCATTCAGGACACATACAAGCAATAACTATATGCTTTTTAATTTAATGCAAGTTCTTGAATCCACAGTAGTATTATGATGATTAAGGGTGAATAGATACAGGTATGAAAATATCTCTTATCTTCCTTTTGAATATATTACAATAAGCTACAAGATTACATTAAAAAATTTCTTTTTTTCTCAGAACAAGTGACTTGATGTTTTTGAAGATGACTCTTTTGAGTAAACTTTTTATCACATATTTCACACATATGAGGTTTCACATTTGTATGTATAAGATAATGGCGATCAAGATTGCCTTTAGCAGAAAATCCTTTCCCACAAATAGTACACAGATGAGATTTTATTGGTGAGTGTATTGCCTGATGATTATGTAAATGACTCTTTTGAGAAAAAGCTTTAAAACATAATTTGCAAACAAAAGGTTTATTATTGGTATGAATTAGGAAATGCCTTTCTAGATTGCCTTTAACAGAAAATCCTTTCCCGCAAACCTCACAAGTGTGGGGTTTTACATTGCCATGTATAAACAGATGTTTTTCAAGATGTGTCTTTTGCGTGAATTCTCTACCACATGAATTGCATTTATAGGGTTTATTATGTGCATGAATAAGAAGATGTCGATCTAAGTTTCCTTTTACTGTGAATCTTTTTTGACATAAATGGCATACATGAAGTTTTTCTTTGCAATTATCGTCCTTGGCGTGAAGAAGTGTGTTTGAAGTTAGAGAATTAGGGGAAATGCCAGATGAGTTTTTATGGGATTGAACTTGCAATAGACTTTTAAGACTGCTCCCCTTATGAAATGGAACCTTTTCTTTTAAATGAAGCAGCCAATGAAACTCAAGGTATTCTCGATTAGAAAATTCCTTCAGACATAAGCAACAGAGATGTGCCATCTCTTCTACCTATAACTTAAACATAAGAATATGTTAAGTCAACAGGTAAAAGTCTAGATTGATGATCAAAAAAGTAAAATTATTTAAAAAAAAAATAATTCTAAATTTTTTAACCGAAAGTAAAGCTGGACAAGAGCTCGAGATTTATATTGAACACCATCGAATTGTACTTTCATATTGTTAAGATTCAAGTTAATTTTTAATGTGAGCCAGATTCCAACTGCCTACTTCTGTAACTTAAGTAGAACTTAAATTCCAGATGATTCTTAAGCTGGACAGAAATAAGCAGTAAATATCGCTCTTGTTGCATTTCTTTTCATTTCGATTTTGCCGGAAGGTTTGAATGTTCGTTTAATTGTGTGATGTAAAATTCAATTCATTTGATATAATAAGTCCAATTATTAAATGCATTTAGTTTTTAATGCAAAAAGAAAATATTAGCGGTAAGTATTTGTTCCCTTTTGCATGTATACATTTTAATTTTAGGAATCAGAAACAAGAAGCATGGACATCTTGCTTTATGTCTTAACTCAAATTAGATGACGATTTCGTAAAACTGCTTAGTTATAAAGTATTTTTTAAAAAAAGACTATGAATAATAAAAAAAGTTTTAAGCTGTTATGGTTTTTACAAACAACTTAAAAGATTTTGTAATTTTTTCTCCTGAATGAGAAAAATTTTATATTGCTTTGTGATAAGCCATTTCACTTGTTATAGCTCCTAAAATAATACAATTTTAGAAGGTGCATTTCTTCGATGATTCTTTAATATTGATTTGCTATTATCAAATATACTGTTAAAAATTTTTTAAACAGTGCTAACTAAAAGCAACCTGCAGTGTTCTGTCAAGTTTATCTACTAGCTTTATTGTGCACATATTTTTAAGTTTAAAAAATACTAAATTTTTTTAATTTGCAAGTGAGATCTTTTTATCTATATTCTAAGTAATTGATTTATGTATGGTGTTTTGCTAAATATATTTTCACTTTCATATTTTATTTACTGTGAGGCTTTGTTTATTTTTTAGTACTGAATTGCATTTAAAAAAAGAACTTTATTTATAACCTTATACCTTTTTATTATTATACAAGAATATGTTTAATTAAGATTTGTTTTCATTTTTAAACTTTTGTTTTGTTCATACGGCTGTGTTTTAATATTATCTTCCATTTTTGCTAGTATCATTTATATAAGAATTAGGCAGTGATTTTAATGTAACACTCCTGCTTTTGATCTGCCCCCAAAACATAAAACAATGCAACTAAAATATTTCTTGTAATATTTTCATTCCCCGATTAAATTGTGGTAAATCATTTTCTACTTTGTAATAATTCAAGACAGAGAAAGCAAAATGATTTCTGCTAAACATATTTGGAGAGATTTCCATATCCTGATCTGTGGCTGAATTTTTTTATTTTTTTGCAAAAGCACTTGACTTTACATCATCGGAAATATCCCTTTATATTTTTCCAAATAAAGGTTATTAGTACATTTGTATTTAGAAAGTTATTTTTCTTGATGAATTTAAATAAAGAAGGGAATGTGAATAGCATTTTCCAGCTTTGTATTAATGGGATAGTTCCCAACATTAATTTTCGTTTCTCTACTTTGTATTAATTTCTGATTGGTGTAGCATGCTTTATAAATGTATAGAATATGTCCATACACCTATGCAAGAAATGGCGTCAAGGTTTGTCACTCGACATATTCACACGTTCTGCTGTTCATGTTATCATTTCAAAAATAAATCAGAATTTTGAAAATCAGGTGAGGAAGTGATACTGTTCAAAGAGTGGAATGGACAAGACCATGTTTATTTATTACCTGTGAATTCATTGCAAATTCATGTAAGAAACTAATCACTCATCTACACTAGTATTCACAGAATTAAAAAATTGTGTCTTTAAAAACTGTGCTTTTAACTAAAGTATTACAAAATAGTATTGTATTTAAAATTACGGAATTTAATGAACCATGTGTATATCTATTATATAGTTTCAATTATTGTGTAATTATCAAAGTAATGTGCCTCTTTAAGGTAGAATTTTTGCAGTTTAAGCAGATAAAAAGTGGTTATTTTAAAATATGAATGGGGCATTTTTTAGGCAAAAAGCCAGACCAGTCAGAATTTGTAAATTGTAAAATTTGGATCATACAGTCATTTTTTGGAACACTTAATTTACGCCAATAATATCGTAAATCGATAGAATGTTTCGATTGTATTTTCTGCAGTTATTGAGATTGATTTTCAGGTGGTTCTTAAATATCAAGATATATTTCAAGCACTATGGAAAATTCGAACCGTGCATTTGAGTATTTACTTTTTAAGGCAATGATTCTACAAATTTTTTGGCTGTTATTACTATTGATTTCTCATAGATTTTGAATCCGATATTTTTTATACTATATTTTTTATTACAACAGCCTAATCTCGAAGGGAAACACGCATTTGAGTAACCCCTTTTTTGAGGAAACAGATTTGATTTCGTAGTGTCTTTTTTTCCGGCAATAACTACTCCGAATTTTATGATTTTTATTTTTTTAGTGGGATGATTATTTACAAAATGTGAAGCAATTAATTAGTGCTTTACCCCTGCCTCCCAACAAAATGTGAGAATATCACCCATTTTAGAATGGAAATTTTTTACATGTTTAGTTGAAAAAAATTATATATAGTTTTTGTTGTTGTTGCAAACGCAGCGATAATTTAAATGAGTAACATATATGTTTGTTATTATTAAAAGTATCTTGCAGAAAGATTTTAGTACTAGAGAGTTTTGTCGCAGATAGCTCGAAAAAATTCTGCCACAGGCAGGGTTCGCCAAGTGGGCCCACTTTGAAAAAACCCGCCCGGGTTTTATTGGGCGGGCCCACCTTGAAAAAACCCACTTGGAACGATAAGTGGGTTTTTTCAAATAAAATTTTTTTTTTTGTTACTAAAACTTATTGTTTTGCATTTACTTTTATATAATTTATAGTGCAGCATAAATTTATCAAATAGAGTTGCATGATTCATATGATTAAGTTTTTAATATTAGTAAAGTAAAAGAAACTCGAATCTTCATATAATTTTATAGTAGGTATCTACTATTGAAAACTTCAAGTGGGTTTTTTCAAAAAGTAATATTTTAATGATATTNGCCGGAAGGTTTGAATGTTCGTTTAATTGTGTGATGTAAAATTCAATTCATTTGATATAATAAGTCCAATTATAAAATGCATTTAGTTTTTAATGCAAAAGATTAAGTATTAGTGGTAAGTATTTGTTTCCCTTTTGTATTTATAAATTTTAATTTTAGGAATCATAAACAAGAAGCATGGACATCTTGCTTTATGTCTTAACTCAAATTGGATGATGATTTCATAAAACTGCTTAGTTTTAAAGTATTTTTAAAAAAAAGACTATAAATAATAGAAAAAGTTTTAAGTTGTTATGGTATTTACAAAAAACTTGGAAGATTTTGTAATTTTTTCTCCTGAGTGAGAAAAATTTTATATTGCTTTGTGATAAGCCATTTCACTCGTTATAGCTCCTAAAATGATAGGTACAATTTTAGAAGGTGCATTTCTTCGATGATTCTTTAATATTGATTTGCCATTATCAAATATAATGTTAAAAATTATTTTAGCAGTGCTAACTAAAAGCAACCTGCAGTGTGATTTCTGTTAAGTTTATCTACTAGCTTTATTGTGCACATATTTTTAAGTTTGAAAAATATTAAAGTTTTTTTAATTTGTAAGTGAGATCTTTTTATCTATATTCTAAGTAATTGATTTATGTATAGTGTTTTGCTAAATATATTTTCACTTTTTTATTTTATTTACTGTGAGGCTTTATTTATTTTTTAGTACTGAATTACATTAAAATGACATATTTATAACCTTGTACCTTTTTATTATTATACAAGAATATGTTCAATTAAGATTTGGTTTCATTTTTGTTGTTTTGTTTTGTTTATACGACTGTGTTTTAATATTAACTTCCAATTTGTTAAACTTCCATTTTTGCTTGTATCATATATGAGAATTAGGCAATGATTTTAATGTAACCCTCCTGCTTTTGATCTGACCCCCAAAACATTAAATAATGCAACAAGAACAGAAATATTTATTCCCTGATTTAAATGTGGTAAATAATTTTTTACCTTGTAATAATGTGAGACAGAGCAAAATGATTTCTGCTTAACATATTTGGGGAGATTTCCATATCCTGATCTGTGACAGAATAATCGCCAAGTCATCACAACTTCCGGGCAGTGGCCCGCGAGGAACTGAAAGAAACATCACAGAAAGGGACTAACTGGAAAGGTATAACTTGTAGTCACCCCCGAGCAAACATCTGCTTATTTTTTTTAAAGGAAATAGCAGGTTTAAAATCTGTTTAGCACGATTTTAGTATGCGCGACAGATCACAATACGGAAATATCCCGTCATATTTTTCCAAATGAAGGTTATTAGTATCTTTGTATTTAAAATCAAGTTATTTTTCTTCATGAATTTAAATAAAGAAAGAAAGGTGAATAGCATTTTCCAGCTGTGTATTAATGGGATAGAACCCAACATTGATTTATGTTTCTCTACTTTGTATTAATTTCTAATTTGTGTAACATGTTTTATAAATATATAAGGTCCATGCATCTATGCAAGAAATGTCGTCAAGGTTTTGTCACTCGACATATTCACATATTCTGCTGTTCATATTATCAATTGAAAAATCAGAATTTTGAAAATCAGGTGAGGAAGTGATACTGTTGAAAGATTGGAATAGGCACGACCATCTTTATTTATTATCTATGAATTTATGTAAAAATCTAATCACTCAAATACACTACTCAGTGTTTTCATCATAGAAAAAAAATGGGTGAGCATTTCTCATCCAGTCTCAAAGACAGGGTGAGATTTCAGAAAGTTAACTGAGATTTCTAAAAACTAAAAAAAAAAGCAAATGGACTTGGAAAAAAAAATCATTTCTATTATTATAATATTTTTTAAAGCATTGAACATTTTTGCTGCATCATCATAGAAGATTTTGCCTTTACTAGGTACTTGTTCATCTTACATTAGTGCATAAAAAATTTGAATGTCTTATGTGAAAAAACCTTACCTGCGGTAAACACATGGTTGCAGAGAAATGTTTTCTGAAAAGGGTTCTGTTCTGTTTTTCAAAAAGGTTCTGAGCAATACTGGTAAATAGGGAAGCTGAATAACGGGAAAATTTTGAAAATAATGAAAGATCCGGGAAGAAAAGTGAAACGGAAGAACAATATGTTAATAAACAAATATTTGTTTGTTTTTTAGCCAAAATTTATTTATAAATATCTATGGCAAAAACAAGGCTTATAGTAGTTCAAATAGGAAATCAAGAGGAAATAATAGTAATTAAAGATTAGACAATTCTGGGGCAGAATATTCTTTAAAAAAATAATAAATAAATAAAGCAAGAAGAGAAATCAACTAAGAACTTATAAACTTATGTTTTTATTGTAGAATGGCTTTATTCTATTAATGAAAAATTTATTAGTTCCTAACTCACATTATTCTATGGTCACTAAACGTAAAATAATTTTTATTATTAAATTTGAAAAGAATTTTAATCCTTTAAATAGTTTAACTTAATATAGTTTCAACACCTACATATTTAAGGATATATTTGCAGTAGGAATAAACTCTCTATGTGGCACGACAGCCCATAGAGGGCAAGGCCTACTGTGCCCAGCTTAGTTTTCTTGACCTTGGTCTCTGGGGTGCAGGAACAGATGTTCCGGTCAGCCGAACGCGGAACCCCCAGTGTTTAGTTCCCAAGCATGCTTGGTACTCATTTATCAACCCACTGAAGTGATGAAAGGCTGAGTCATCCTTGCCCGAACCCAGGAGCGTGAAGCGCTACCACTCAGCCACCAGGCGTCAGTAGGAATAAACAAAAATTTAATATATTTAACTTTCCATTATTTCAGATCATAACATACTCAATTAGCTTAAACATTATTTGTTAATAAATTGATTGGCACAAATACAAGTTTGGATAATGTTAACAAAAAGTTTGAAGCAGCAAAACACGCATATTTAATGCTAAATGTTACTATTTTTCCTCAGTACTTTGTTTTCTTCCGCACACTACACTTGGTTGGCATGGTATTTATCATCCATAAAAAAAATAAAAATTTCCCTCTTCAGAATTTTTTTTTATTTTCCTGCTATTTCTGAAAACATATGTAGAGCATTCATTAAGGATGTATTGAAATAAGGATTTGGAATATTGTTAAAATAGTGTCATATTAAACATTGCTAAACAATATATGATCATTTTAAGAGCTAATGTTATACAAATTTTGCTAGGGTAGAAAATTTCCTCATATTAGATATCTTGTTCTTTATTTTCTTCATTTTTTCCTGTTTTAGAACATTATTATGACTCCTATAATACTCAATATAACAAGTATGACATATTATGAGATTCTGTGTAAAATGTTTATTTATGAAGAAATACTGTATGTTCACAACAGGTTAAAAAATTCTAGCATTCGCTATCGCAAAATTTTATTTTCTTGTTTAAATGAGCAATATTACTCAAAAAAGAGATAAATAAAAGACTTTTTTTTCTGATCTTAATATAGAAAAGTGAAAACAAACCTTTTGTTATGTTTTTACAATCTTAACCCAAGATATTCATTTGGCATACGTATATACCAACACATTATCAACTGAGTTATCTGGATTCCTAAAATGATGGAATAAACACGTTGAGTTTTTGAAATTTAATTTTTTAAAATTTCTTATGGGATTATTTTATAGCTTTAAAGACACCTTATGTCAGAAAAATCAAGCAATAAGCTTGTAACTTGTATTAATTACTTAAGCTATTATTTTTAATAACGGCATAAAATTTCGTAAACCCTAGATTAGATATGGACATTTTTATTAAGAAAAAAAGTTTTTTTTTTTACCTTGCTTTTCTTTACTATAACTTAGAAATATTCAATGAATGATTTTTTGAGCAAAATAAAATTAAATACAAAATTATTTATTTAAAGAAAAGAGAAACTTTGCAAGGAATATGTATTTAAGGTTTTTTTTTCTTTTCTGAACAGTATTTGGCAACTAATGAAAAAATTTCGATTTAGATATCTTAAAAATTTAAAAAGTTTGAAGCTATTCCATGGGTGCAAGTCTTCCGTCCCCAGTACAGATTTCCGTCTTTCGAAAATGTCCGCTGACGGAAGTAAGATGGAAATCAGAATTATTATTTTTTCCTGTCCTTAAAAGTCTTTTTTAGGTCTACATTATTGGTCTACTTTCTTATGTCCTGTTATTATTTTATTAAAAGACAGATGAATAAATATTTTTTGTACAGTATTTAAACTTGATGTATTAAGGTAAAGCTTTCTTAGATAGTTTGCATATGTCGTAGGGGTATTGTGTATGTTAGGTATTTCAGTCCAAAAAATTTCAGGCTTTGCTTTTTTTCCAACTTGCACCCATGAGCTATTCTGTAAACACTTTTTTGTTCTTTTTGAAAGAAAGCTCAAAACGTTCAGGGATTTTTCTGAAATTTCATTTCGTACTATTAAACAATATTTATTGAAAATGAGACTGGCATTGTGTAGGATCATCCTCCATAAAACTATATTTTCTTTCATTAAACTATCACATTTTGGCTTCCGGGCAATTATTGTAAGATATCATTTGTTATTAAATTTTGTTTCATGAAACAGAATGAAATTTTAGGCAATTTAGGCAAGGTGATTTTAAACTTTCTTTTAAAAAGTACGAAAATTGCTTAACTTTTTTAATTTTTTCTGCACCTGCACAGTATAAAAGAGCTACCTTAAATACTTATATTGTGTATTTTATATTAATATTTGCCATAATATGGAAAGAATATATGTTCCAATCAATTATATAATAAACTATTATATCTGTAAATAAATAAACATGGGTTAATTGTATTTACCAGGTTTTTTTGTGTGGTTTTTACGAGTAAAAACCTAGTTTTTACCATTTCCTGGTAAAACCCAACCCTGATGAATCACTTGAACTAGCATTAAGACTCAAACAAGTTAATAACTAACTACAAATTGCCAAAACATAAAAAAGTTTTTGCAAAATGCAAGGGAAAATTTAAATGAACTGAATTTGAATTGGCTTTTGACCCCACTGATAACACCGAATGTTGCTTTCAATAGTTAGCTATAAAATGGAAAATTGGCTCCATGATAGTATTGATCAATGAAAGTCGGCATTCTTTTGAATATAGAGCAGGATTCCCCAAAACAGCAGAGGTATTTTTCTTTTTGGCATTATGACATTTTAGCAATGACCATCTACATATGTGTGCAAGATAAACATCTTAGGATAAGATTGTAAGAAGAAAACAAAGTGAAACATTTCTTTTCTTTTTTCTGTATTAATACTAGAAATAAAGAAGTCTTTTATTCAAATATAATAGCTTAGGTAGAATTGGAAAAAAAAAGTTGTTGTAATAGCGAAAGGCTAGTTGTTTTTAATTTTTTACAAACGTAATACTTTTTTTCTTTTTTTTTAATATTTTATTTAACCTTTTTCAATGGGGTTTCATAATATGCCATACTTGTTTGGTTGAGTATCATAGAATATAAACAATATATTCTGTATCAAAAAAAAAATCATGGACAAAGTAATCTTTATTAGGAATATGCAGAAAATTTTAGAACACTAGTTCTTAAAATTATTTATATTGTACTGCAGTCTTTAGTACAAGACTATTTTAACTATGTTCTATTCCTTATGTTTCATGTTCCATATCTATGACTTATGCTGCTTTCCACAATTAAACTTGGACTTTTGTGTGTTTAGATTGTTGCAGGCAATTATAAGCATTATACTGAATATTTTTTAGAAATATGAACTTCGCATTTTTTGATGTATTAATCATTGTTATTTGTATTAGCTCTGTAAAGCTATGATATGCCACCTAGTCGAGGTTGTTGTATCTAATTTTTGTTTAATAAATAAAATTCACGTCATTATAATCTGCCGCTGCTCAATTTTAATAAAAACCTGCTACTAATTTTGGATACTGACTGCTTAAAAATGTGTTTGCTAATCATGGTCACCCTATAAATTCCTAAAATTTTGTTGATAATGTTTTATTTTATTCTGTTTTATCTCTTTTATTTGCAGGTTTTGAAGTATATTTTCAGAGAAAAAAATGGAAGAGAACATCACAGTGATTACTCTAGAAATAGAGCAGGTGGAAATTATAAAGAAGTATTTACAAAAGTTTTATAATTTGTGGGATGACTTTGGGTTAAATAACAAGGAGCAAATTTCCAGAGTTAAACTAATTTGGAACTATATGGAGCGAGCTTTGCAAAGTGCCTTAGATGATGAACTTGTTCAATATAAACTGATAGAGGATCAAGTAAGAAATCATACACAAGTAATGGAAAAGCTTTGTGCCATTTTGTCAATAAAACCTAAAGAAGAGTATGGTACAGGACTTATTGTGAAACGAGACAATTTATCAAAAGAAATTGAGAGATTAAAAGATCTTAAGCATGAAAGGCTAAAAAAATATCAGGGTTTGAGGGGTGTTGAAGCAGTATACTGCCGTTTACTTGGAACTGAAAAAATTGCCCTTTCATCCTTCACAGGGGTTCCATCAGAAAATAACTTACTTGAGATAGAAAAGCATATTCAGAAATTAAGCAAAATGCAAGATGATAGGCAAAAGAAATTTTGCCGATTCAGGAAAGAGCTCTCTACTATTTTTGAAGTGACTGAACTGAGTCCTGAAACATCTTTTGAAAAGGAGGTAATTTCCTGTGAAAATGTCTCTTCTCTTTCTGATGAAACTTTCAGGTCTCTTGAAGAAATGCTCTCAAAAACTCAGAGAAAAAAAGTTGAGCTTGAGGATCAGAAGAAATTTCTCATGGATGAGCTATCAACTCTGTGGGAAGAACTATGCATACCAAATTCAAAAAGAATGAAATTCCTATCTGCTTATATGGATTGTAAAGTATCTACCATTAATGCTCTTGAAAAGGAAGTTGATGTTTGCAAGAAAATAAAAGAAGAAAAATTTAAAAAGCATATTAAAACATTAGAAGATGAATTAAAAAAGTTATGGGATAAGTGCTACATAACTGATTCAGTAAAGAGTCATTTTTCTATGCAACTTATGAGAAACAACAATGATGAAATTATAGATGCTTATGAACATGAACTTAGCAAGTGGAAAAAGTATTATGAGGAAGTTGGAGACATATTGATTAAAGTTGAAAAACGTCAAAATCTATGGAATATGTTAATGGAACTTGAAGAAAACGTTTCTAATCCCCACCGACTGCAAAATCGTGGAGGAAATTTGTTGCAGGAAGAAAAAGACAGGAAAAAACTTCAAAAAGAGTTGCCTACTTTAGAAGATAGCATATTCAATGATATAGATTTGTACCAATCTAAGTTTGGTAAACCTTTTTTATTTTATGGAGAAGATTATCGAAACTATGTTACTCGTCAATGGCAAGATCGTAGAAATAAAAAAGATGACGACAAGTTAGAAAGGCTTAGGCGACACTCACTAGAAATGGATAAAGAGATTTTGTTGAAAACACCTCTTAAGAAGCCCCTGTTAAGAACACCTAATTCTGCTCCATGTAAATTGCCGAAATCTACTTCAAAAGCAGTCAATATCTGTACGCCAATCTCAAGACGATTCAATGCTATCCCAAGTTATTCCAAAGATGTTATCCTACCAAAAGAACAGCTTAACCCCTCATTAAACACTGGAGTTTGTGGAAAACTTTTTGAAAGTTCATCTTCAAGTGGTAGTCAAGATGAGGAACAAAATGATATTCTTAAAGAATTAAATCGTCTCCAAATACAAGCTGACCAATCTAGGTGCACCACCTACTCTGAATTTGCAGGTGAGCTTGATTCTTCTGCAAGATGTGATTTACGTAGTTCCATACTTCCAGCTAAGAAAAGTACGAGGAAAAAAACTCTTCGGGCTGCTTCAAGAAGGAAAAGCTTGTCAAAGTCTGTGCCAAAATCATTGAAATGTTCTAGAGACATCTGTAGTCCGAGTCCTGTTAGAGGAAAATTAGGCTTACCATTTTTAATGTAAAACATTGATTGCTTTCTGTTTCTCTATTATAATAAATAATGCCCTATTTTTTTCTACCTCTTTCTCTCAATTTAAGTTTTAAAGACGTATATATTGTCTTTATTTGTTTTTTGGGCACGCCACCTATCANTTTTTTTTTTTTGTTTTTTTTTTAAAGAAGATAATTATCATGCCACATTTTCACGGAACAAATGCAGTAATTTAAGTTTTTTTTTTGTATGTTAGAAAAATTTCATGGTTAAAATTGTAATAAAAAAAAATTGTGGAGAATCTTAATAATTTTCCGAAAACCGTAGATTTTTGTTTGTAAAATCAGTGGGCTTAGAAGCATGATATGAACGAGTGTTACTTGGTATATTTGGCCTAATTTGAAAAGTGTTAAGAGTTTTCAGCTGCCGTTAGTTGTTATTCATTGTTTTTTCCATCATCAGAGTACAGAGGATATCTGGTTTTGTTATTCTATAAGGTTTTAATATCACTATTTTTTTTAAAATGAACTTTTGAAAGTTTTACCATATTTTTTTTCCCTGCGTCATGAGTTTAATTCAAATAATTTTTTTTTTTAGGGTTTAAGCTATTATTTTTCATTAGGTGAGAGCACTTTCTTAAAAAATTAGATTCAGTATATAAATAAAACTTTTATTCGAGCTCAATTGTTGGCAATTGGCAAATAAAATGTTAATTTTAAGTTTTTAAATAAGTTAACAAATTCTAAGCGATTTCAAATGATTTGCCTCAAATCTGTCAATATTAATAGATTTTTTTATTATTTTTCCCGTTTTCCGAATAGTGTAAAAACTTGGTACCCATAAAGGTTCTTAGAAATTAATATTGATATGATTGAGGATTTATTGTAAAACCTTCAGTCTCTCAATATTTTGAAATGAAATTTCTATAGATCATCATTATTACATTTCTCTTTAAAAATATCATTTACTCAAGTTCGTGTAGTAAAGAAAGGTTTAAGCAAGTTTTGATTATGGTCTTTGAATAATTTTATTTTGAGTGGCTAATTTTGTGCGTGAATTTTAAATTTTTTTTTGTGCATATATATTTTTGAGTGTATTTTTTTACTGTAATTGCTACAAATATATATGTAAGTTTTTAACACTCTTTTTCTTGACTCTATTGTCATGGGAGCATAGTTATCAACTCTATCCTTAATGTTATCTCTTGAATTTCTTAAGAATGTATATAATTTGCTATTTTTAGATTAAAAAAAAAAAATTTGAGTTTTTAACTACAAAATGAAAATAAACAATTTTATATCTCTACCAATTTTTATTTAAATCTTAGAATATAAATTTCATATTAAAAATATTCTAAGCTAAATGTTTGTCATATTCCCTGTAAGAATGAGAAATGTGTTGCTGTTATTCATTAACCTAAAAATTTTTGCTGATTTCTATTTTGAAATGTTGTCGGGTATATTCTAAATAAATTTTAAGTAATCCATTCCAATATATATATTTTTTTCATCTTTTTAGTGATACATTGTGATATGCATTGAAGTTTTTTTTTCTTATTCTGTGTTGTCAAACTTAATTATTTCGATGTTTTTGTTTTAACTCTTGTGATACTTTGTACTATGTATAGAAACTTGTTTTGTTATTCTCTGTTACTAACAATTGTTAATTTTTTGTAAAAAAAAAAAATCTGTTAATTGTAAAAGAATGTTTGTGTATCTAATTTTTCCTTGCAATAAAAGTAACATTGGTATAAAAAAAAAACTTTCCTAAAAAATTATTGTTCTTGTTTAAAATTTAATGAATCCTGCGTTTTCTTCATTATGGAATGTAACAGGGTTGCCACTCTGCATGGAGAACAGGGAAAACCTGGAAAATACAGGGAATTTAAAAATCACCTAAAATAACAGGGAAAATGCAGGGAATTTTGATTTTTTCCTTGCAAACTGGGAAAATACAGGGAATTTTGTTTCTTATTTTTGTCTTTTAAAAAATGGTACCCACTCAAAGCGTAATCTATGGGATATTTAGCCATAATATTTCAGCTATACTAACTATTTCACTTACTATAACAATATTTAAATATGTTCAGCTGTTTTCCCACCAATTAAAACTAATAAATATAGTTAGCCCTATATAGCTCACAAAAGAGCACAGTAATTGTTGTTTCCTTTTAATATATTGTGTATAATAGTTCAGGGAAAACACAGGGAATTTTTTTTTCCAGATTTGAGTGGCAGCCTTGTGTAAGAAATTTTCAAATTACTGATAATTTTACAACTGTATAAAAATGAGGTTTTGATCACAAATATTAAATTTTGTTTTTTCTTGGTGTAAAATTTTAGATGTAAGAAAACTGTGTTTGTTGGGGTTTTCTTGCGTCGGGGGATTGATCTTATGCAGGGTATCCGCACACCTGGAAAGTCAGGAATTTCAGTATTGAACAAAATTTTTCATGATTTTAACTATTTTTTTTAAAAAAAAACATAAAAAGTCATGGATTTAGGTTGCCGAAAAATCTAATTTTTGAAATGGAATTCACCCCCTCCCTCCAATTTCATGGTGTTCCGAATATCTGAATTTGTAACAAAATCCCCACTCACGATCATTTTATTAAAATGTAACATGTTTTTATCGTGTTCTTTAAAAATTATGTTCTTTCAAAAAATGGGGGGTGGGCATCATTTCTAGAGCGAGATAGTTTTTAAACTTCTGTAATTTCAGAATTTTTTTTATTTTATCAATTTGAAAATCTAGCTGAAGCAAGCCAGTCATAGGTGAATTCTTTTATTCCAAAATGAGAACAGGAAAATCGAGTATTTCTTTTCTTTCCAATGAACAAGAAATATATCTTTAGCAAGAAAATTTCTTTAGAAATATATCTAATGCAATTCTGCAGAAAAAGAAACAAAAATTTGCTTTAGTATTTTTCGCTATTTTATTGCTTCAATTCTTTCTTTACTCTGTTTTTTAAATTTGAAATCTATGACGATGCAGAGTATTACAGTTTTGGTTATACCCATCATTTCAATGAATGTTATTACTATGCTTTTTTTAATTTATTGTGTTTTTGTTGGAGAAAATAGCAACTTCGTTAAGTCATGAAAAATTCTTGGAAGTAATCATGAATTTGAAAATCTAAAATGTAGCAGATACCCTGCTTATAAGTTATTTTTCTTTTGGCCAACTGTTCAAAACTCATTACTTCGCTTTAAGAAGGAAAAGAAACTGTGTTAAACAGTTTTTTTTTTCTTTCTAGGTAGATTATTTAATGTATTGAATTTAAATAAAACCAAAGCCTTTTGTGCGTAACTAGTGACTATTAACAAAGAGGAAAAGGACTTTAAAAATGTCTAAAATCAGTTTCTTAATTTTGAATAACTAAATTTTTTTTCTAAATAGTTTACTATTTGGAACTGAAGCCATAATACACTTTTAGAGCGTGATAGTTTCGCGAATTGAGTCCAAATAAAAAGTATTAATTTTTCAAATTGCTCATAGATAATTTTGTTTTACCACTTGCTTAATACAATATATAGTTAAAAGTTAATCTCCGCCTGATATTTCTGAAACCCGTTTTATCTAATGTCTCTTTCCTTATTGGTGATCAAAATAGGGTGACGTAGAGCAAAATCCTGCGGCTACACTTCGCACGCTTTTATCATCAGTTTGTGGAGTATCATGAGAGAAGGAAGTACGCTAGCTTCTATCTTGGTTTTCAAATAGATTGAAAACTTTAAGGTTAGGAAGTCGAAACTACATTGAACATAGTTCTAAAAGGATATTTAAAAAAACATTTTTGAGAGTTAAATACGAAAAATTTTAAAGGTAAAAATATGGTATATTTCTATACAACTGAAAATAGGACTAGGGTCAAGCCATAGAACCGGTCCTCTCCCTAGATGGCGTATTTAATTTTTTTCAATTAGCGTATTATTAACCGGTTTCATGACTTTAGCCCTTCTTCCTTCCCTCTCCTCCTCTTTTCATTTGTATAGGAATGTTCTACGATATTTTTCCTTTTCATTTAATAAAAATATTTTTTAAAATTCTAACGATACTTTTCTTTAGAACTATGTTTAATGTAGTTTTCAGTTCCATATATTTTTCCAACTTAAAAGATTTTAATCTATATGAACATCAAGAGAAAAACTGACGTACTTCCTTCCTCTATGACTTTCTACACGCTAATGAGTAAAGCATGTAAAGTGTTGCCATGGGTAGAGAGTTTTGCTCTACGCCACCTGCAGCCCATTTCGATCGCCAATTTTCAATGCACTGTTAATTAGTGGTGCTTTTTACGATAGTTAATTTCTTTTAACTATTAAGAATTAAAGTTAAAATTCTATTTGATTTTATTATGAATGTTGCTAGCTATTTAATAATTTCAAGCTTCCAAACAAAGCTCATTTCAGACATTCGGTCTGGCACGTATATCGTTTGGTTAACAAAGCAGAGGAGTTATTCCATTAGAGAGAATCAAAATTATGATGTCATGTAGCACTGTACAGCTCTAATGTAACGTTAATAAAATACTACTAACTAGATTCAGTTATATCAGCTGTTGGTAATATACCATCCCTCTCCAGGTTGTCTAAATAACCCCTTTAAAATTTCTAATCGTTTTTAAGGGCCGTTGGCGCTGCATGGGAATCACGCTCGCCGTTGAGTAAGCATGAGAGCCTGATTGGTGAAATAAATTTTTGGTGGAAAAAGTCACTAATCAGGTTCTTTATTTTTCTGAACACAATGAAAGCTAAATGCAGAAATGTTTTATTTATATAATACTCATAATATAGGATGATAGTCAATACCTGCAGTAATGAAAATCTCGTTGATGAAAATGTACTCATTGTAAAAATGTTTACCTGTTATTAGTATAATTTTTTTCTTTTTAAAAATATGATGGAAAACTAAAACATTCTTGAAAACAGATCAAAATGTCACTGATAACGCAATCCAAGAAGATTCTTGAGTGTTGTGTGCATTCTCGTAATGTTGTATACACGGTGCTTTTGAAACGTGAGAATGCTTATTAAATACTTCATGAATGCAATTTATGTGTAAAGCTTTATTACCTTGATTGTTACTTATTATAAAAATAGTTTAAACTAAATTATTTGTTCTAAGCTTGATTTTTTTAAATTACAAATTGTTTAAATTGTGAGATAGCTTTCTTTGTTATCATTTTAAATTTCAAATTATCGGTAACTTTTCATGCAAAATTGTTACGTTTCGTATTTTTAAATAAATTTTTATCGCTGTTAAAAAAGTTCAATTTTTTTGAGATTATAATATACATATATATCGGCTTTCCGAGAGCCTACTATGTGTTTCACACTTCAAGTTAATCCCATTCGGTAGTATTTTCTTTTCTTTTTAATTTTTGATAAAGAAACAGATTGATAAAAAATTTCATATTTGAAAAGGTTGTGCTGTATTAAAGCGAACTCATCATTTTAAAACAGCTTAAAAAACATTCCCTTCTTTTAATTTGTTTCATTTCTTTATTCCTATTTTATATCTAAAAAAAATTCAGTTCGCAGCCTATATCCAGACACTTTTTCTTACCTCTTTGTTACGGTTGCAATCTATTAAGGGAGTGTTAGTAGAAATTTTTTTTTTCTTGTTACATCTCTAATAGCTATACATATGTACAGCCTCAATAAATTCACTAAAAGAGTTATTGAAGGGACAAGATCAGTTAGAGAAAGAATAAACTCTTATGATGAAATTAACGAAGCTGAATATTGAGAGTGTTTGAAACGAACAACAGCAAACCAGTTTTGTTTTTCTCTAAATTTGATTAAAAAATCTATTCCATTTACTCCTTTTTTTAGAATATTATTATTTATTTTATTATTAGTTTTTATTCCTACTGCCATTAATTTATTTTTGGATCTTAAAGCTCGTTTTTTAATGTTATTTTTACCTAATTATTTGTACAGATTTCTTCACATCATAAGGAAAAGAGAATAAAAAATTTTTTGCAGATAATTGCTTTACAATTAAATGAGTTTTCTTAAATTGTTGCCAAGAGGAAGGATAAAAACAGGTCTTAGGCAGGGGAAGAGAGCACAATAGTTATTTTGTTAATATTAGTGAGAGAAGATTCATCCAACCTGTAATGAATGATGTTTCTCCTTGAATGAGGCGGGGTAAGAAGAAATCACTGACAAAATAATTTAGAGCACCACAGGATGAAGCATATCTACGCTTTCTGAAACTCACTTTTGTTCACTGTTGTTGTTTCTTTTCCAATGCCCACCTGTGTTAACATTCGTCAATTCAGGAATATACAGGGCGATTTTGTTGGCCTCTCTTTCAGGGGCACCATATTAGGTGGGCCAATGTTGCTCCTACAGTAATGAGTACAGAGAAGGAAAGAACATCCATGCCTTGCCCGGGATTCGAACCCAGAACCTTTCTGATGCAAGGACAGTTCCCTGCCCCCTACAGGCCGTTCGGCGAAACTCACTTTGTAAATCCAAAATTCTTTCATGGCAATCAGCAATCCAACACAATTTATCTCTCTTGTCCAAGGAGAAAAAAATATTGAAGTTCTTCAGTAGTATTCATAGTCTTTACAATGTTGCATACATAAATAAAATGTATGCATCCATTCATCATAAAATTTTGTTGAATAAAGAAGTTGTAATTTGTTGAAGAATTAGTTGTTCCAGAACCATTGAGCTGAAACACTTTCAATGATGAAGTTTGGTGATTATTGAAGAAAAGGAACATTATTCAATTGTCCATCTAAGTCAGATATTCTATATATTCGCCCTCGATGTACTCCCTTCAACCCTATCATTTTATCCTGAGGACTTCTGGAAGGTTGCCTAGAGGTGGAAATAAGTATGTTCCAGGCTATACGTAATTATTATTTAGTTAGACATATTCATGAACTAGCATTAAAAATCGAAGTGCTCAATGAAAGTGAAGGAAAATCTTGCAAAACTAATCTGTCAAATGTTTCAACTTGGGGAATAAAGGAAATAGTTATAATTGGTTTAATAAGTAGGTCGAGGAAAAAGAAGTTTCTCACAGTTCGTAAAGGGAAAAATTTTAATTAAAATGCATACTTGAACTACAAATAGATTAAAAGACAGGATGTGAATATTAAAATGTGAGAAAGAGGGTTTAGTTTAGATTATTAAATAAGGAAGAAGATATAGATAAAGAAATGACATTAAAAAATTAGTTTTTATGTTGCATATATATTATCATAGTAAACTTACTTTAATTCTTTTAAAATGTCATTCAACTTGTAAGAATGTGTTGTTGTATGAATTTGATCTTAATTTTTGTTTATTTGTTATTTATTTATTTATTTTTGCCTTTAAAATCTATGATTCAGAAATATCTGTTTTCTGGACGTACTTAAATCCCGACGATTTCAGTTATGTTTTACATATGTTTCATTGTTTTACATACTTGTGAGCTTTTTTTTAAATTACCATGCTTGCTTTTCTCACTGGCTTGTTCACAGTTTTTTTTTATTCCTATATGAAGCATTTGGTAAGAAAACTTAAAGAGTTGTTTTTGACACTGTTACAACCAGGTAGAGAAGTGAAAATTATTATATAAAGGAAAAATTACTTTGAAACATATTAAATGGTGTACATAGATTTTTCAAAGTTGTTATATCAGTCCTAGAAGATAATTGCTTCCCATGATATCGAAGAATTCAAAAAATGAAAAAGTGTTTTTGTGAATGACTAAATTAGTTTTGATTTACCTGTGAAATCTGTTAAAATGAATGAATATTATTAGTGTTTAATGTATGTTTAAAAAAAGGAAATGTGTTTTTAAAATTCTGCATGTTTTTAATGTATATAATAAAAATATTCTTTCAGCTTGGCAGAGATCTTTATCTAACATCACCTATGGGGCACCACCTCCAAGTTTTAAAGGTGAAATTCTTAAATTTATTTCTACTTAAAAGTATAGGATATAATATAATCTTCTATATAGTATAAGAGACTGATAAAAAGATTATTGGAATTGAGTTTGATTTTAAATTTTTTTATAAAATTTTATAACTTGGATTAACTTTTATTCTTACGTTTTTCTCATGCATAGATCACATTTGATTTCTATTTATAGCTTAATTTTTTATATAAATTCTTAATAAACGCTCAACGATAATGAGTTACAGATAAATCTGATCGTTTTAATTCAATTAAGTTGTAAGTCTGTGGTATTTATATTATGTCTAGATTTTTAGTTTATATTATGTTATAAAGTTAAATACCTTGCCCTTTAATAATTATTAAACGCTAAAAACACAGCATGTATTTATATACTGTAAAAGCGTAATGTAACAAGTACAACATATAAAATGAGAAGACCACTATTGTAACAACTTTTCATGTTTCTGTCAAAATGAAAATATTAAAGATATACAAAATTATATATTTGCAACAAGTTAAAAATTACTTGTCTTTTACTGTTACAATAAATTTTTTTGCAAAGAAAATATGTGTTTTTGCTAATTAAGTAAAATAAATGGGATATATTTTAATATCAATACAGAAAATTTATTTTGTTTTTACTACAGAAAAGTGAAATGTGCTTTAAACATTTCACTTTCTCACAATCTTTTATGTTTATTAAGGAACGTTCAACATGTGCGGTCCATTATTATTAGTTTGTCAGTCAATGTTACCTGATTGGAAACTTCATATTATATAACAAATATTATTATTCATATTTTTTAAGCGAATGAAGTTTTCAATCAGGTAATATTTTGTTGCTTTAGCTTCTTGGAATTATTTATTTTATTTAATAGTTAGTGTTCTCGAGGCTTTTTTATTGCTATTTTCACATTAAATGCATACATTGTATTACAAAAACAAGCTCATTGTTAAGACAATTTGATTTGCTATTGTGAATTATTATTATAACAGACTTTTACTGTAGGTGTATTAGCTTTTTGAGTGGCTAATTTTTGTGTCGGAGAATTCTTTTTGTAATTAAAGCAGCACCTTTTTTTTAGTTTCAAGATTGAATAGCTTGTTTAGTATTACTCCTAAGATTTATTATTTTTAAAAAAAAAAATATGCCTAAAATAGAAATCTTTTAATATCTTTAGATATTACGTACATTAATTATTGAATATATTGTTAATAGATCTATCTAACTAGATCTAATGTTAATAGATCTATCTAAAAGTATACAAATTTTGTTTATTCTGTGTACTTACTTTAATAAATCATTCAATGGTTTATTAAGTTTTTTTTTTCTTTCTAAAACTTACTAATTTTCCTGCCAGCTGTTAAAAATATTTCTACTAATTTTTATTCATTGTCATAATTATGAAATTATAACTGTTTTAACAAATCTTTTTTCTAACAAATCTTTTCTTGTTTTTTTATTTTAATTTTTAGATATTGAATTGCCTGAACAAAGGAAGCTTACTGTCATACCAAAAATACCTCCATATTATGTTAATATGAAACCACCAAGACTTCGTTTGTCTCATGATAATGATCTCAGAGGACCAGAGCGTGTTAATAATACACTTTTGCACAAACAATATGGCATTATCGTAGGTGAAATTATTTTATATGTGGATAATAAGTAATTGCTTTTCAGCTACTCACCTTAACTCTTGAGAATTGCTCCATATTTTGAAATATTAAAATAATTCAGTTGATCATACTAGTATTGAATGCTTTCCTATTGTTTGGAAATCTACTTAAATTTCTACATTTTTCAAATCTGGGGGTCTCACCACATCCCTCTCTTACACACCTGTTTCTCATCTTCCTTTTATTATTCTGCTCAAGCTTGTTCATCTTCCCCTAATGGTTCAACTGTTTTCTTATTTGCTATATGTTTGTCGCATTTTCTTCTAACATTTTGGGTTTCAACATTGCAGAAGGTATAGTATTTCTTGAAAGTATAGAATTTTTTTGTGCCAATATTTTTGGTTCTATTCCCATAGTTTTTTTTAATTCCATATATAGCACAAAGTATATCCAATATTCGTTTCGATCAAGATATTAGTTTTAAAATAACAAAATTCTATGATTGATAAAACATGTTTTACAATTCATTATGAAAATAAGAGAATAATTAATCATAAATAGTTAATAATAATCTTGACAACAATTTGTTATGAAGAAAAGCTGCGGTTGTCTTTTTCAAATTCGTATTAATTTGGTTTGGAAAATGTTTATATTTAATTTAAATCATATAAAATAATAAGAAAAAGAAGAATCATAAAAAGCTTATTTTTGTTATAAGAAATTTATGTACTGCAATAGTTACAATTTTGAATAACTAATTAATAAAAATGTAATATTTAATAATAAATACTTATTGTATCTGTTTATAATATTTTGTTTGTGAAATGTGCAGTGTACAAAATGAAAAAACTGCAACTAGACCATTTATGATCTGATGATCAGATTTTCATTTTCTATGTTCATACTATTTAAGTTTTCTGTTATTTACTTAGTACACTGTGCCTTATAATATTTATTTAATATTGTTTAATACAGTAGAGAACCGATTATCCGGAACGATCGGGACCATCGCTATTCCGGAAAACTGATTTTTCCGGTTTTCTGAATCACTACAAAAAGCCGTTTTTTATTGTTAAACCCAACTAAAAGAAGAAAAAAAAATTTGGAAATAATCTTTAAAAGATGTAAAAACGATGAAGTAATACACTAATGATTATTTCCAAAATGATGGTAAGGTAAGTATCTTTCAAAATAGAAAGAAAAATCCTAAAATCTTATGAGGAAAAAAAATGGCGGGAAAATTTATCGAATTTTGTTCCGGTTTTCTGATTTCCGGATAACGGGTTCTGTACTGTACTGGTAAAGTGCATGATTATTTTTGTTTATGATATGTTTTCTAAATTTTCAATGGCTTTAAATAATGATAATTTTATTCTAAGTAGTCTTAAATTTATAGTTTTACTCTTCCAATTATAGTGTCTTTTATGATGATTAGGTCCTTCTTCAATAAGTCTAATTATCTGAAATTTGACTGCACTATATTCAAAATACCAACAGGGATCTGTCCAGACATTTTGTGAAAGGTCCGTTTTTCGTGAAAAAATTACTCACATTCTTTCAACCAGGGTCCGCTTTTATGAATTTGTGCAAATNGTTTACTTTAGGTGTATAGAAATGGAAAACTTCTAAGGGCCCCATCATTTTCAATAGCTTAGGGCCCCACTAAGCTTAAATCCGTCTCTGTGACTGCCCTATATTTAAAACACCTGTTGCTACTAAATACCAACCAATTTAAATTGATGATAAAGTCTTGAATGTTAAAATCATAATAAATTTCACATATATAACTATTTTTTATTCCCCCAATAAAATTTTTTAGTTTTGTTGCCTTTTCAATAAGTATAAAATTAAAATATCTTAGTTCAAAGGAGCAGAGGTTGGAAAGTGTGGTTTAACTGTTACATTGATTCATGTATTAATTTCAACAACTTCAAAGTTATACCTCTAATCTAAAAAACAATTTCTATTTCTAAAAAACAAAATAAAAATTAAAAATACTGTACCATGAATCTTAACATTATAATATGTTAAATTTTTGGAAAATTTTTATAAAATAAGACAAATACAAGCTACATTTGTAACTAACTATATTTATATATTGTATTAAAATTTCTTATTATCATTATTATTCATGTCTAATATTAATTTTTAAAAAAAACATTCTGTTATATACCTTTTTAATAGTTATACAAAAGGCTTTTAAAACATGATATCGTAGAGGGAAAAGAATAAAGAGAAAGCTTTACAAAGGAATAAACTAATGAGATCCACTTCAGTAATCAATAGAATCAAATAAAGATTCAGAATTAGATGCTGCTCTGTAAAAATAAATACATATATATATATATATTAAAAAGGAGAAGAAGTGCCACTATCTGGAGCAATACTGCAAATAAAATTTGAAATAAAAATTTTAATATTTATTGCATTTTCTTTTTAAAAAAATGAAAATACTCGCGACTTTCAGAATTTATTGATAAATATGATCAAAATACAGTATTGCCATTTTAATCTGAATATTTTGATTATCCAAAAGTAGTTTGGATATAATTACTAATAATCATTGAATATTAACTGAGATTTCTCAATGTATTTATTATTTGATATGAAAAGTAATTTTTAATACTAACTGTTTATGTTATACAAGGTCTTTAATTTGTTACTATTGTGTTAAACTATTTAGATTATATAAATATTGAACTGGTAAGTTTAAAAAAGAATTTCATGCTCTGTTTGTTCCTGTGCACTTTACGAGTCAGTTTCTTATAGACATTGCCAATTGCATTCTAAACAACTATTATTTGTTGAATATTAACTTAATTTTTTAGGCACTAAGTGCTGGATATCTTAAGTATGGCAGCATTGAAGTTATCAGAAATACAGTTAATCGGGAAATGGACACAAGAAGAATGTTTGCTATATGGAGAGTTGATCCTTTATGGAAACCTGTCTCTAAAAAAGTAGGTGCAACATGTGTATAGAGGTTCTTTTATTCTTTGCTAAACTATTATAGTATAATTTATCAGAAAATATTCAATCATATTTTTACCCTCTTATTTTTCTTTTTTTGTGTACCTAAGAAATTAGAACCTGATCTTTTTTAAACATTTTAAATGAAAAATAATATTTGTCAAAAATAAATACTGCGTGCAATTGTTTTATTAATCCTGACTAAATCAAATATAATAATTATTATATTTTTTGTTAATTTTTTAATTGATGGTGATTAAAAACTATTTTTCGACTGTCTTCAACAGAAAGTATGGTACCAACTTTTTGATACCATTCCTTGGTTTTATTCCTTAAAAATACACTTAAGAGCTTAGAATCTTTTGCTATCGTTATTATTAAAAACAATAATATATGTGTATATTTCCACCAGACTTATGAAATTTATTTTTCTTGTTGGGTACAAAGAAGTAAAATACTAAAAATGGACTAAACAGAAAAATCAATTGGGTGTTTATTTTTGCTTTGCATTAAAGTCAGGTATTGCATTAAAGTACCTCAACTCCTTCAGTGTCTTAGGCACTTGCTTGGAAGGTTCATTTTCTGTTGCCAAAGAATTTTTGAGATTAAAGAACCATAACATCTTAAAAAATTAATTTGCATTTTTTGTGATACAAGTAATTGGTATCAATCTTTGTCTATGTTATTTTTTGACAATCTGTATTACCTTAACAAGTTAAATGTATCTACTTTCTAATTATCTCTAGTATTGTTTAAAGGTATTTACATTTCTCATTTTATATTAATAGGGAATAGGAAAACGAATGGGTGGTGGAAAAGGCAATGTGCATCATTATGCGACACCCGTAAAAGCTGGTAGAATTGTTATAGAAGTTGGGGGTAAAGCTGAATATGAAGAAGTTTTTCCCTTTCTTAATCGAGTAAGTTTTATCATTTTGTGTTCTGATTTGAAAAACATATTCAAATTATTTTTCAAATGTGTTGCAGTAAGCCTGTTATTCCTGTCCATGATAAAAATTTTAAAACTGATTGTTTTTTATACAGAGTTTATCTGCGGAATAGTATTAATTATTTAATCTTTACTTTTAACTCTGGGCTATTCCACGGTAACTTACGTTACATTCACATAAACTTTATTGCATTGAGAGCTTAGAAGCAAACAAATAATATGAATACACATATTAAAATAAAGTGATTTCTTAAAATTACAATCAAAACCAAAAGGAATCTAATTAAAATAATTATTATTTTTCAATTTAAACAGTATAAAAGCCTAAAATTAGTGTGGTAACTTACGTTACCGAAAAAGGAATGGCATAAATTTGCAATATACTTGAAGNGTGTAATAAACAATATTTATTCTTTGGAACATTTTGAAATTAAAATAATATTAACTTACTGATTTTCAAAAACTAACCATGTTCTTCATCCAAATCAGAACAAGTAAATGCCAATGTTCAATCGGTTACCAACACTAAAAAAACTAAATTCTCAAAAAAAATAATTATAAATTATCAAACTTCAAACCTTTCTAATTCAGAAAACATCCAAAATGATAACATTATTCTTATTTGAATTTTCCAATGCTTTTCCCCTTTTTCATGGAATTGCCCCTCTACATTTATAAATGTGCAAATTGTAAGGCACTGTTACTTATTTACTTTTGATTTGAACCCTCACCTGATTTAGAATTCGCTTTGCTATCCCATTCTGTCTATCCATTAAAATAAACATTAAAAACCATGAAATACTTAATCTATTTTTTTACAATCATGACATCCTGACAGATGAAAAATCGTGAAACATTTAGTCTTGAAATAAGGCCTTGTTATCGCAACTAAATCAACGGTTAACAGAGCTTGTCAAATTTAACTACAACCATCCTTATGTTCTTATTTGTGAATATTTAAAAGAACTAAGATTTATGTCATAACTGTCACTAATACAACAGTTCTATAAAGAAATTAAAATATAAGTCATTGCTTTCAGTTCAAATGTTCGTTTGTATATTTTTATTTTGATTGATATATATTAGAGTTATGTATTTTGTAGGAAAACAAAACTAAGATCATACCCGAGCTATTGTTTTATACTATAAAATTTTCTTTTACTCATTTAGAACAATGAAGGATGGTTTTATAAGATCCAATGATTAACCAGTCAGTTGAGTTTGATTAATAGCATAGTGTTTTGAACAGTTTTGGAACTAATTAAGCTAGCAATTAAGTTATCAAATTAGTTGTCAATTTTAACTAAAAAGATATAAAAGTATGGGAATATTTTGATAAATCTTTGGTTTGAATAACCACTTAATGCTTACATTATTCTTTTGGTACTTCTTTTTTGAAAGAAATTACAAAACAGAAAAATCCCCTAAAATGTTAATTTTTTTTAAAATTTTAAATTGAAAAATTTTGTCATTTAAAAATGTACTTTGCTCTGTAAACTTTTGAATTTCTCCTATTTACAAAACCATTTACCCTGCATAACAGAAGAGAAAAAGGATATAATTTTTGTTAGCTCTTTTGTTTGTATTTCTTAAAACAGCGCTCAAAATTGATAGTCCGAGACCACTATAATTTTTTCTGACAATCATAAAATATTTGTCAGTGGCTCCCCAGACTAGTAATTAATGTAAAACAATAGTATACTGTTTCGGTTTTTCATTTTTATGTTTCACTCTGTGTTATTGCAAATAACATATTTGAAATGACACATTCTTTGTATTGTAATTTTACCTTTAAATTGACTCAGTTAACTTTTCTTAAATAAAAATCTAATGGAAAGATAAAAATGGACCAGTGAAAATGTGTACACACTAATAATATCGTGAAGTTACTGATCTGGTAACATCTTATAATAGGACAATATATTTTAGTCCTATACTAGTACTACTATGATACCTTATAGTATTCTTTGTCTTGCTATAATATCTATAGTACTATTTATAGTACATGACTAGTAATATCTTAAGAAAATTTAGTCACTAGTCATTTGGGTCAGTGACTAATTTTTTTATTTCTATTCTACTTAATTTTATAATAACAATGTTAAGATAATTAGATTTCAATATAAAACTGTTAAGCTGTGTGAAGTTATATATATATTAATCTACTTTTCAAATTTGCTAATAACTTATGCTTTTCTTTCTTTTAAAGTATGTTATGTAATAAAAGTTAATATTTTTAGATTGCTAAAAAAATGCCATTTGATGCCATACCCGTTAGTCAAGAAATCTTAGAAGAGATAGAACAAGAGGCGGATGATTTGCACAGGAAAAACATAAATCCATTTAATTTTAAATATGCTGTTGAAAATGACATACAAGCCTGTAACATGTGGACAAGTCCATGGGATAAAGTACACTTTGATGAATACATTTAAATGTATAACATTTAGTAAATAAAAACAATTTAGTATTTTATTTTTATTTTTTTATTATATTTTAGTACTAGAACTAGTTATGATCATTAGTTTTAGAATATTATTGTCTCTTTTTTTTTTAAATACTATACTTTTAAAATTTTATTGCATTTTTTTGTTACCTGAGCTAATTTTGGGTTTAAAAAAATTATATAATTCTTAATACCAGTTAAAATAATTATAGATTCTTTCGGTCACCTCTGAAAGTAAATTTGTTCTTCCCTTCTTGTATTCAACTTTTTCTTCCTTGTCAACCGATTTTTAGGTCTGTTAGAAGCAACAATAATAAAAAATTTTACTTCTCACTACTTAATAATAATAATAAACAGTTTTTTCTTCGTTGTAATTATTTTCTATTTCATTAAAAAAAAATTCAATAAATAAGTATTTTTCAAAATTATCACTCTGGATCCATTTTACTATACAGGGGTCTGTCCAGACATTTTGTGAAAGGTCCGATTTTTGTAAAATTTTGAAAAAATTACTCGTAATTTGTGAATATAAAATAAATGTTAAATCACATTCTTTCAACCAGGGTTCACTTTTGTGATCTTGTGCAAATAGGGTCATTGCAAAAAAACTTTTTCAAGGAGTTTTTAAATTGTAAAGACATACAAGATTATGCTCAACACTGTAAAATTATAAATAAAAAAATTTAATTTAAAAAAATAAACAGCAATTGCAGCTACTAAATTAGCGATGCAACATACAAATATTTGGTACTTACTGCTGAACGCAGAATATTAAATTCAGACGAATAAAGGAAGAAGCGTCTTCCTTTATTCAAGATAAAATTTAGTTCGTTTAGTTCATTCTTTTTTCCCCCTCCTTCCTGAGAAGGGTTTATTTGATTTACAAAACAATAATCAAGAAAAACAAATTCGTGAAGGGTCCGATTAAATGATAAATTATTTTGTGAAGGGTCCGTTTTTACGTAAAAATATTTTGTGAAGGGTCCGTTTTTACGAAAAGATATTTTGTGAAGGGTCCGTTAACGGTCCCAAATTTCTTCTAAACAGACCCCTGCTATATGTCTTAAAAATATATCAATTTGTTGTAAAATAATTTTTTACAAAATTTTAATTTCATTTGTAAAATATATTTACATATTTATAGTTTTAAATTATTTTTCCAAAAGAAACAGTTTTAGAAGGAGTTTTGTAGTAGTAGTAAAGTAAAAGAAATTAGGCTTAAATGGGAAAGTATGACAGAAAAGTATTATAATTTACTACAATATCTGTAAAAAAAAGAGTTAATATGAATTTAAATATATAATTTTTAAAAATTATATGCATTCATAAAAAGTCTATGTTATGTTTCAAAAAGTATTTCTACTTTTACCTGGTAAAAAGTTCAAAGAGTCTCATTTTTACATATACTAAAAAATACATATAAATTCTAGGTCTTGAAGTAGAAACCTACAGTTAAGGAAATTAACATTTTAGCCCAAAAAATTACTTTTTGAAACATACATTACTTTTCTTTATATTCTTCAATAAATATCTAAAACATATTTTATTTTGTTACATATCTTTCTGTCAGCTGTCGTTTGATTTCATACAGAATTATAGTTAATGAAAATGAAGAATTTAAATTATCCATATTGTTTTCCAGAGGTATCTTAATCTTTTTACCACCGTAATCATAAGCTAATCTTACTATTCGATTATCTAGGCCATTTGTGTCACCACCAACGTATAAAACTATATTTTTCTTAGGAAATTTTATACTTGAGTATAAATAGCAAGGAAGGTTTGTAGTTTCCAACATTTCCAGTTCAGTAGGTTCTTGAAGTGTTTCATCAATATGAATAATTTGATTATGTTCATTAACTGTGGCATATTTTTTAATTGTATCTTCTGAAGTATCATCGATTTCTTCAATACTTTCATCATAATTTATAAATTCTGGAGTTTGTTTCCATTTCTCTATATCATCTGAATTATCAGCAATAAAAATATGTGACTCCCTAGATATGTAATTGGAGAGGAGTGTCCATTCAATATTGCTGATAATCGGTATCCGAAAATGTCCACCACAACCTGTTTTTAGGACCTTTGCTTCCCAAGGATCAACACAGCCTGAAATTAAGAAGGATTTTTAAAATAAAACAGAATATTTGAAAGAATTAAAAATGTTTTCGATTTAAAGGTTATTTTAAAAAGAAGCCAACTACAAGAACTTATTAGCACACAATAATTTGGTTAACTTACAAATATTTATCATCAACTTAATTTGTAAAAGGGACTTATAAATTAGAGAAAACCGGATCACAGCCCTCCCATAAAATGGACATTGCTTTAATCATCAGAAGATGGCCAACTTAGCAAGTGATTTACATTAAGACTGCAAATATATTTCCATTTGATTAATTACTACAAAAAAATTTAACAACTCGACATACATACTTAGTAAATTAAGACAAATTTTTTCCCATAGATTATTCCTTTTTTTTTTCAAGCTGTAGATCATTTAAAAATTTTTACACTTTCCTTAGACTCATCATATCAATTAAAATTTCTACTCCAAAAAAACACTGCACTACAATAAAATAAAATTTCAAATAATGATATTTATTATTACTGTGTTCATAGTCACCATAGGGTAGAACATGTAATAAATACCAGGGTAAAATTCAACTCTGAGCAGAAAATATAAAAGACATGTTTTCACATTGAATTTTTAATTTTTCTTTATAATTTATGGTGGCAATAGAACAGGGAATTTAATTACCAAAAAAGTCAGGGAAAATACCAACATTAGTCTTTAATTATTATTTTTTATTTTTTTTTAATTATTTTCAACTTCAATAGCAAGTATAAGAGTTTTGAAATAAAATTTATGTATAAGAATGAAGCATAGGAACAAACTTGATTCAGATCTTAGAAACTCAATAAATTTTCACAGAGCCATTTAAGGCAACAAAATCAAAAGAAATTACTACAGACTAAAGCCACATGCATATTTACATTCGTTGATCAGCAACTTTAGCTTTTTAAAATTAAGGTAAATGCCAGTAAGTGAAACATTAAATGGTGATTAATGAGCCTTGTTTACTCATCTTTGATAGAAAAAGGAGCAGGTAAAACAGCGATAAGTTCTTTTAATCTAATAATTTAAATAACATGCATGACCAGGCATATTATCGTTAAAAAAATGCCAAATAAGAGTTTTGACATAACCGGGGCAACATGCGATATAACTTTCAAGCCCCATTAAATTAAATTGAATACATTAAAATTGTATTACATTATCTATCAAAATTGAATGATTCTGAAAAAATATTTTTAGCAATGAATTAAGATAAAATTATGAAAAACTTAGAATAATTTATTTTAAAGTAATAATAGTAAAAAAAAATTAAAAGACAAAGTAGCAATACCTTTCATTAATAAAATATTCTGACAGCCAGCAGAGGCTGCATTCCTTATAATTGAGCCCAAATTTCCAGGATCTTTAATGTTATCACAAATAATGTTTACAGGTAGCACAGGCTCAGATAACATATGTACATCTTCAGCACATGGTCTTTTGAAAATACCTGCAAATATTTATATTTTTCTAATGATGAATGAAAATAAAAATAAATGATCCATCTCTAAAAATAAAACCCATATATTTGCTTTTTATTATTTTCCTAGTAAAAATTCCAAAATATATTTTTCATTTAATTTAAATTGGATTTTTTTTGGTTTCTTTTTAAAAGAGAAGTTAAAAAATTTAAGAACTTTAATTTATAAATAAATTTTATATCATTAAATATATTTACTAGTAAATTTATAAATATATTTTCAAATATCCAAAATAAAACATAACATATCTTCAATAACATCACTGTTAGTGTTTTAAAAGCTTTTAGCTTTATAAAAAAACCTAAGTCACATCTTTCTATCGAATTTAAACTCATATTGTAATGCCTCTTAATAATAGTAATAAAAAACAGTTTTAAAAGGCTTGTTAAATCTTTTTTTTTTTTTTAAATTTATGCTGTTATCTAGGATGAAAAAAAAGTAATTAATGTAGTAAGTATGCAGCATTGAATGAGCAGCAAGAAATGATATAGCACCCAGAATTTTACTTCTTATCCATTTTAAAAAACTAATGCAGAATAAATATAGAAATAAACCAATTTTAAAATAAATAAATGATTTATCCTAAATAGAAAACAAAAAATTGGAATTTCATCAAAAAACCAGTGAGAGTATTCCGTTTATTCATGTGCTTAAGTTTTTACTGTAGTTTTAGAGGTATAATAGAGGCACTAAACCTCTGAATAAAGCATTAAAAACATTTTACAGTAATACCTAATGCACACAAACACAGAAATCCAATTTATTAAAAGTAGAATAGAAATGTATAATTATTAAATATAATAAAAGACAAGCTTCAATAAATAGAATCAAAAGTTTAATTTCACAGCTTTCTTCAAAAATTTTGGAAATGACAAAATAAATTGCTGAGCATTATACTTTATAGATATAGAACAACTTAACTTGCATCCATTTATTAGAAGAAAAAAAAAAACACTCGCACACACAGCAGGAAAAGGCAACCTAAATTAATTTTTTATTACCTATTTTAAGCCATACTAGGAATTTCTTTTAACTTGCTTCAGAAAAAGATTTAAAAAACTAAAATTAAATGTGCCTTTGAAAACATCAATTATTGATGTAATTTTGTCAACTAAAACTTATTTACACATATTTATGTTAAATACTATAACTTTAAAAATCCATTGAAAATTTAAATAATTTCATATTAAAATGCATTATGAATTGTTTAAATTTGGTTGATTTAGAACAATGAACTATGATATCCTGCACATTTTAAAGGTTAAAAATCTAAATTTAAAAAAAAATAAAATAGAGGTATGTTTGGTCAAAGTAGGTTTTTTGCTTGATTTTGTATTATAAAATATTGTCTACCCTATATTTAAGGATAGGCATTCAAACCATTAATGTAGCATCTTAATAAATGAAAATCTGATCACTAATTCAAAAGTAATTAATGTTATTTATGTTGGGCACAGTATATAAGTCTAACTTAAATATCATAGAGCTACAAATTTAAACTTAAATTGGTATATATTGCTTAGTTAAAAAAAAAAGAGTCATAATTTGAACCCATTAATGTTCCTAAATGCTTGAGCGTAACAAATAAGCAGAATATTCAATTATCCATTAATATCATTTAATAGGGTTGTTTATTAAACAAGAATTCTCTTAAAACACCGAAAATAATGATAAAAGACTAAGCTGAAAATGTTAAAAAAGAAAATGTGTGTTTAGCAAAAAAAAGTTTTTTTTAAAAATTAATACATATTATTCATATTTATGGTTCACGGCAGTATGGTGAAAATTGTAGTTGAATATTTTACAAAAGGTCATTAAAATCATATGCAAGGTTGATAAATGTATTGCTTTGAAATATGTTTAGAATTTACAAAAGTGTTTTGCATCTAATTTTGTGCACTAAAAATTTTTTTGCACTTATTTTATTGTTCTACAGATGGTATAAAATTCAAATGCATGGCATTTAAATGGCATAATTGAAAGTGTTTAGTACAAAAAATTTTTAATTCAAATTTCAAGCATGTGTGCTGTGCTTTTTCACTTTGCAAAGCTCAGCACATAAATTTTCATTGGTGAAGCCTATATATTTTTTTTTCCAAAAGTTATATATAACTAAAAATTATAAAGTTGAAACTTCTAAACTGCATGGCATAATAGAAAAAGTCATACCCATTACACCTGGACAAGTTTTCAGATCTGACCACATTTGCATTGTTCTATATAAGACTTTGAAGAATTCAACTTTTTGAGCTGCCCTTCGAAAATTTATTTCAGCAAGATCTTTTTCACGGCTAAAATAAATAGATTTAAGTTCCATTCCAGCATCGATTGCATCATTAATCAGTCGTTTTCCTTCCAAAAGAATTTTACCATTGATCTCCCTCATTTGACGATTTTTAATAAGACTTATAGTTTTCCTGAAATAACAATTTGATATAAAACAATTCAAAATGAAAACAAATAATTAAACTTTTTACTAACTAAATAAATACAGTATAGTAGCAGAATTTTGTTACATTTCTCAGAATTGAATATCAGTTCAATTAAAATCTACTAAAATAGATTTATAGTTTTTTTTTGTACCAATTATACAATTTTAAGAACTATCTCTTATTATTGCATTTAATTCCAATTTTTAAGAACTCATATCTGAATGAAAGAGATTATATATAAATAAATATAAATTTTTTTAAAGATAAAATGGACACAAATCTTATTCTTTAAAATGTTTTATACGTATCCATAATTTAACCATTAAAAAATTATTCTCCTCCCGTCATAGCTTCAAAAAATTAGAAAAAAAAAAGGAAAATATGTTCAGTTAACCCAGTGGGGAAAAAAAACCATCCCAAAAGAAATCAGATTAATCAACATTTTTCTTCAACGCAAGTAAAAGAAATACTTTTTGAAAGAGAAATATCAAAAAAGAGTTTGTTACAGCAATATACAGTAGGGAACCGATTATCCGGAACGATCGGGACCATCACTATTCCGGATAACTGATTTTTCCGGTTTTCTGAATCGCTACAAAAAGCCGTCTTTTTATTGTTAAACCCAACTAAAAAAAAATTTTTTTTAGGAAATAATCTTGAAAAGAAGAAAAAACGATGAAGTAATATACTAATGATTATTTCCAAAATGATGGTAAGGTGAACATCTTTCAAAAAAGAAAGAAAAATCCTAAAATCTTATAAGGAAAAAAAAATTTGTTTAAAAAATGGCGGGAAAATTTATCGAATTTCGTTCCGGTTTTCTGATTTCCGGATAACGGGTTCTGTACTGTAATTAAAATGATAGTAATAATTTCCAAGACATTTCAAAAATAATTTTTAAATAAGCGAAAACAAGAAATTGAGAGGAAAAGAAATGTAATGAATTTCATAAGAAATTAAAATAACCGTTGGTTTCTTTTTATATAAGTTTTATACGAAGAAGTTTCAAAATACTGTATCAAATTATATATTGCATTGTGCAACAAATCACATATTGTAGTCATAATATCAAATAGCATGCTTTAGTATGTTATTTTTAATTATGAATACAATATGTTATTAGTTCTGAAAATTAGAGTTTTCATAACTTAATACTGTTATTTCTCCAGAAATTTTTAATACAGATTTTATTTTTAATAAAGCTAATCATAGAATTATAAATTAATTATAATTTAATAAAATAAACCTAAGGATATCCAAATGTAATTCTTTTTAAACATTAAACTCAAAATTGTAAAAAAAAAATTTATGAGCATTTTATGTTTATTTTCAATTAGAAGGCATTAATTTCACACATAAAAGTTGTAAACTTTTAATAGTGTAACACATTATAGCAAATTTTTCATCCCTCCACATTTTGATAGCTTTAAAATATATATTGCAACTTTAGAGAGAAAAGTTAATTCTTGTTACAGATTAGTTAAAAGAAAATTTATTGTAAAAGATTATTTATATTCGTAAAGAAAAAGTCTGCTAAATTCTTAATTTATTCTTACATGTAATGAAAAATTTAACCAATGAAGAAAATTTTTTAACTCAGTATTAAACTTTTTAATTAACATACCACATGATTTTAAAATAATATTATCTAATTAATATCTTACTAAATATATACTACCTTGCGTATGGGCCTTTTGGCCTGGGTCGCAGAAATTAGCTCTCCTTACTAAATATATATTTTTTCTTTCTTAGATATTTTGAAATAGAGTATTCATTACACAAATAGAATAAATATTTATAGTTTACCTGAATATAAGTACACACATTAATTTAGAAAATACATATAACTTAAATATAAATTCAAGGTAAATTACAGTAGGCTCAGGACTATCCAGTCTAATGGGGTGATAGGGTAGACCAGATAAAGCAGTTTCACTTTCTAATCCCTCCTGCATCTACTTAAAAACTAATCTTAAGATAAATTACTAAAGCAAAAATACCTACAGTTAATTGATTAATAAAACATATGCAGCTATCTATAGTTATATCAAACAATATAAGTAGTGTTACGAGTTTCGAACATAGTGATCTTTCTATATAATAATAGGTCAGACAGATTTATAAAACCTGTATAAAACTATAATATATAATGTGGAAAATGACAATGCTATACAAATAAAAATGTTATGGAAATTAAATTAAATGCTATTTTTTAAAAAAATTCAATGTAAAAAACTTTTTGTTACTTGTACTGTATTGAATATATTTGTTTTAAATTAGAACTATTCATTTAATAGTTATTTATAAGTGCAAGTCTATTTGACATTTTTAGTTTCTTCCATTTCCTCTAGTTTCTTTCACTTTCTACCAGTGTTTGAGAATAAATGAGTTTCTTCCAGAAGAAATTATCACCCTGGTTAAATTAGTTAAAATTTCAGATTAGTGATTAACATAATCTATATGAAATATTGATTAAACACCTTATAGAAAGCCTCTAAAAAAATTTAAGAAGGCAAACTATCAAATAGCTGTTTTTAAAGACATATATGCAAATCTAATAAAATACACAATTAATAAATATTTTAAAGGTTTCTAGGTAATGAAGATTATGTTTTATTGTTGCAATATTACGAAGCCAGCAGAAAAACAAATTAAGTGGATAAAACTAGATAATTTTAAGAACATTAAAAATTAATTTAAAAGATATATGATAAATGAATTGAATAATAATAAGACAAATGAAGTTCACTGAGTAAAAAATAAATTATTAATAATTTCAAGAATTTTTACAATCTTTTAAAAATAAAACTTCCTTATAAGCTAACATTACAATGACATGTTATTTTAATAACAACTACAAATTGAAATGTTATATTTAATAATGCTTCAAAGGAAATGAAGTTTGAATAAGAATTAAGTTACTAACACACACAATAAGGAAATATTGGATTAAGAAAATCAATGTATCAAATCATGTTATAAGAAACAAAATTAAAACAAAATAATTGTTAAAAAAACAAACATCTTGTGAATCGCACCTTGGCGAATTTAGTTGGCGTCACAGATCACAATAAGGAAATATTTATAATATACCCTAATATTTTAAATAAATAAATGTGTTTATTTATCATTGCAAATATTTTTTCACTAAGTATATCAATTTTTACATAAAAATATTGCCCACTTCTTGAGTAAATTTATTAATTTTGAAGAGCTTTACTACTTTATGACTTTTCACACTCTTTCAAGTTATTATTTTCTACTTTATGCTATCTTATGTTGTCATTCACAATGAATGGCTCCTTGTCCTTCAATAGTATAAGTGAATTACGTGAGTAATTCGCCTATACAATTATATAAATATTTTGACTTACGTAAAACGAGGATCACTTTTTTGAAGTTTCTCGTAATATGGAATCAATTTAGTTTCACTTCCAATCGAAACTTCTAATGAAGTGTTATCCATGTGATTACTTAGTTTTAATTTTGGATAACGAGCTTCATTTTGAATGGATGCTAAAGAGTCTTCTGGTACATTCAATACTTTAATTGGTTTACGGCGTAATACATTTCTACTATAACACCTACATGTATTTTCCATTTTGAAAAATAAGTTCCGCCTAAGTTTATTCATTTTTATCCTTTCTTAAGTATTTAATACAATAAATAACCACCAATGATTAAAAATATTAGCTTTCTAGCAACAAATTGTAATTCACGTTTGTTTACATTGTTAGTTTCCAGCTGCCTGTTTCTGCTAGGTTAAGATCTGCTAAATTCAAGTATTTACTATTTAATTAATATCATTTATAGATGGCGCTATCCTTATGAGTGACAAATGCCTATTGGAAATCAAATGGGCTTTAGGTTAAATTAGCATTTAAAGTATTGATTTGAATGTCAATTTAAACTCTTGGGAATTAAATTTTTTTTCCAAACCTACCATCCTCTTAAAGAACCTTTTATTCTCGGATTTGACCAGAATTTTTTTTTGTTTCTCCAACTGTTGCTATCTTGACTGGTACATTTTAACAAAGACTGTACAAAACAAATCGAATCGTAAAAAAATCGACCTCTACCTACTTTTTCTTAGAAATGCACCATTATTTAGAGGTCACACATATTAAATTGAAAATCGAAATCCTACCACATTTTGGTTAACAAGGCCAGAATATTGAAAGCTGTTGTATTTGAGGGGAATTATTCTTAGACTATGCCAACTTTCATCTACAAAAGTGATCCTGATAACATGTCTTATATACCAGTGATTTGGTATTTAATATTTATAGTGGTAGTTACGCCACATTACTTCCCTTCCAGAATTTTATCCGTGATAGAATTCAATGAATGAATACCACTAGTTGATTCATGCTTTTATTTTCTTCTTCTTTCTATTTATTTCATTTTGCTCATTATTTTTTCTTTCTTTATTTTTGTTTATTGACCGGGATACTTTTTTACTTCACCGGATTTTTTCTTTCTTTTCTTTGAGCAGTATATTTTAAAGCAAATCAACTGTCTTAATGTGGAGCAGCCATTAATATTGGCAAGTTCTTATCACGTCCGGGTCACCAATGAGGAGAATTAATCTTAGACTATGCCATCCTTCATTTACCAAAAGGTACCTCCTTATAGAATTAAGTTAAGATGTCTTATATATACTAGTGATTTGGTATTTAATATTTAGAGTGGTAGTTGCGCCACATATTATTCAGTGGATGTTTTTGTTCTATGAGGAGTTACAATTAAACTGTTATAATATATAATTGAAACTGGGCCATTCTTTTATGGACATTCTGCAGTATTTCAAAAATTACATAAATATAAAAAGTTTATATATGTTATAACTTTCTGTCTTTTTAAGAAACACTTTTTATAAAATTTCTAGTCAGTAAAAAATTAAACATAGATGATGAAATGCTTGAGGAAGTTTGAACGAATTTTAAACAATGCATTCTCTGATCTTGCTAAACATTTTATTTTAGAAAAAGCTTAATTTTACTTTAAAAATAAAAATATGTGCAATTAAGTTGATCATGAAATCGTCTGTTGATGAAATGTTGTCGAGGAAGTGATCGTCGCTGAAATTGCGTTCCGAAATAAAGCTACTTCTGTTAATAGTTAATATATTCATTATATACTTAACTTGAAAAAGACAATGTTGCGTATCATTTACCGATTCCCGGTAAGGACAGTCTTAATAGCATGCAAGGCTTTGGGCACAGAGATGTTTTGGCACCTTATAACAGGTCATACAACTTAAAACAGAACTAAAAAAACTACGCATACATAAAATATAGCATGCAGTCATTTGAACAAATTTAAATAAATTTTGATTACCCCAAAAAGCTGCATCCACCTAGAAACTTCATTAGAAAGTAGAAAATTAGATTTCGGCTTCAAATTTTGAACATCTTCTTGCAAAGTGAAAAAATAAAGGATATTTTAGTTTTGGGGGGCCCTACGCTGCAGCCAATCTAGCTTATACACAAATCCGGTTTTGGGCATGTACAGAGATCAGGTGTAAGGGTAGGCCATTGTATGACATGCACCCAGTGCCGTAACTTCACCCCTCGAGGCCCTGGGGCAAAAATTTTTGGCGGAGGCCCTTTCAAAAACTTTCAGTACTCCATCTCTGACAGTCATTTTAGCTATTTATGAATTATGTTAGCGAATATATTTATGAAAACAAGTTATTTGTTCGCATATAAATTGGATTACAAAACATTGAAAGTTTTCCACATGGCAAAATACAAAGTTTCAGCGAAATCGATTAATCTTGAGAAATTAAATTTTAAAAAAGTCGCACTTATAAAACACGATTTCTAAAGAACTAATCAACCAATTACGCTCAAATTTTGTATTTTCCATGTGGAATTAGGTACTTTAAAATGATAAAAAAAAAAAAGCATCACTGGCTGCGATCAGTGTGCGAGTGGGTGACCATTTGAATCAATCTGCGTATGGACCGAGGGTGTGCGGTATTGGTCCTCGTTAAACTGTTCTACCATAAAGTGCTCGACTTCGCGTGCAGGTCGCCGGGCTACCGAAGCGAGGGTGCCATCCCCTCTGCAGAGGATCAAACCTCAAGGGATGTTTCCCAGACCGTTGCTAATAGTCTATTGTGCAGCACTAGTGCGACGTAAATGATTAACAACATCAAACTATTATGAAATAAAAAATGATAAATATTTACTAAAATTAATTTTTCGCATGAAATTATCTTTAGATAAAAGAATTTTATAATCGTGTGCAAAAATTTTTCAATTCCTTTAAAAAGCTCTCAATCTGTAGTGAAATACAAAAAAAAAAAAGAAGAAGAAGAAAAAATATAGCATTTAGGGGTCCAAACTTTGGATAGCTGACCCGACCCAACTATTGTGACCATATTTCCCAGATTACAGCTACCTCCTATATTACGGGGGTTAGAAAATCGAATCTGTTTCCTCTAAATATAATGTTAATCATAAAATACCAATTTCATAAACCTGTTGAAATCGGTTATTATACCGTTAGGATGGTCTTTTCAAGACAAAACCATTATAAAAATGAAAATTATATTTTAGTTTCAAATCTAAAAGTTTTTGATCGCGCGCGTTATGGAAACTGAAGGAAATTATAGATTTTTTTTTTCTATCGGCACATATATCAACATTTTAAAAAGTCCTAATTGAAACAATATACGGAAATTTTTTCTCTATATACATCGATTAACAAAAACAAAGTTGCCTTACTCCTATATGGACAGGTCCCTAGAAAATATAGCTATATTTTGAAAAGAATTCGTTCTTGAATATTTGGTCTATGTACTCATGACGCCATGTAATCATATGTGGCAAAATTATGAAAAAAAGGGTAATAGTTTTTTTTATGAAAGAAAAATGAGAAAAAGTCAAAGCATATTTGCTAATTAAAAAAAATTCCTTTTAATGGTTTGTCATGGCAATGAATTTTAATTGCTACGGATTTCTAAGCTGATGTTCATAGCTTCTTTATTAAATTAAATGCGTTTTTTTAATAAATTAAATATTATTTCTTTTTATATAAAATAAAGAATGCATTTTATTTTTTAAGAAAAACAAAGTTGTTAAAAACCCGAAAAATTCGAAGTTCCAATTTTAAAAATTTAAGGGTCTTAATAATTTAAAAAAATATAAAATAAGAACAAAATGGAATTCCAGCAAATTTTTGGTGTTTAGTAGCCTTCATGAATCCTGTGGGAAAAGTCTGTAGCCAAAGCCTTCCAACTCTATTAGATTCCATCTTGCTTTTTATTGTAAAAGATTTCTTTTTTACTCCTGTTTTTTATATCATAAAAACATTAAGCCATGTTGAAAGCAAAGAGTAGAAAGAATTTTTATAACTAAGACACCTTTGCATTCTATAGGCATAGTAAGAAAAAGGTAGATAATTTCTTCTATATTTTGTAGCAGGGTGGAGGTATATCAATACTGACGGCTCTGGCAGTACATTTAGTCAGGAATTAAGGTTACCAACCACAAAAAATCTGGAAATCTATTTGCAGATAAAGGTCCAAAGATGAATTTTCCAGTTGGAGGATGCTTCCATTCAAACTGCAAAATCTATACAGGGTAGGTATTTAGATAGTAACGAGCATGTCATGGAATAGCCTGTTCCTTCTCCTGATTACGAAGAAAATGCAATAGAGTATTGTTTCCTTAGTAGTGTCTTACATGCCAAAAACAAGCAACTTCAGTCTGTCATCATTAAAGATTGGTGTGACTGCCTTTAAGGTATATGGTATGCAACATCATAAATTTCTGATACATTAACTATTTTATTAACAAAAGTGGCTTTACTTCAACAGAACACTCTCCCCCTCCTCTTATATATGCAATATATAAAAGAAGGAATTCTGTACAGGAGGGACATTTTTTAAAATTTTTTATAACCGTCGTTGAACAGCCGACCCAATTTTCAATTTCAGAGCAACCAATGTTAAACTCCGTAGTCTTGGAATTTTGACCCAATTCAAAAGATAATGAAACTCTTGGATCAGTACTCCCAGAGGTATGATTTGTTATGAGAATATCAAGGACTTTGTGACTCACCATTTACTACACAGGGTGTCTTCGATCAGTGGGGATCGAACCCACGGTCTCTTGGACATGGACACAGTGCCTTACCAACAAGGTTACAGAGTGATATATTTGCAATCATTTTTTAATATCCAATTATGGCAAAAAATGAAAGTGGCTTTATTTTTGGCAGGGTTCGCCTAAGTTGACCTAGCCTAACAAAACAAGAGGGGTTTTTTCAGATTGAAAAAACCCATCTTTATACTCAAAATTTTTCTGTGAAATTATCAAATCAAATTGTTTTTTGAATTCGTTTAATAAAATTTAACTTTGCAACTTTTTATACAAAATATAAGTAAAACATATTTCAGTAATGTGATTTGTGTAAACAAAATTTAATACTAAAGAACTTAATATGTTAAAAATTGAAGTTCAAGATTAAAAACAACAAAACATATTGCTATATTATATTACATCACTTGACTATAGAAAAAATTATAAAATTAACAAGCATGCACATAACTTTTATTACTGAATTTATTTAGATTTTTAACTCTTCCAGCTTTATTAAAATACATCAACGGATATATATTATATCCAATGTTTCAAAAAGATACGATATTTTTAGAATGCATAGAAAAAAATTTCAGATGAAATGATAGCTAAAATGGTCTGTAATGAGTACTTTACAAAATTAGAGAAATAAAGTTTGGAATATTGAATCCATATTTTGGCATAAAACCATAACAGGGTTGTCCCCCCAAATTTTTCCCCATACACATATTATACACAATCACTCTGCTCTTGTATGAACTAACTATGCTAGTTTTAATTGCTGGAAAAGAGAATAGCTGAACATACTTTAAAACAAATAACGGAATATGACAAAATAGATTAGTATAGCTGAAATATCCCATAGATTGAGTTTTGAGTGGTCACTGTTTTTTAAAAGATGAAGGTAAGAAACAAAAATCCCTATTTTTTCCCAGTTTGTAAACAAAAATTCAAAATTTTCTGTTATATTAGATGATTTTTAAATCCCCTCCTCTGTGGCAGAATTTTCTTGGGATTTCTGCGACAAACCTCTCTAGCACTAATATCTTGTATGCATGTTACTAATTGAATTTGAAGTAACAGAAACGTTGCGTTCACAATAAAATTTTTTTCTTTTGAATAAAATAAAAATCGTATTTAATTTGTAAATGAATATGTAATGTTTTTTTTAATATTTATTATTCTAATACAATGGCGAGATTCTCCCATTTTGTACGAAGAAAACACACTAATTATTTCCTTTTTCGCAAAACATCATCTCATAAAAATCTTGTAATCCGTAGCAGTGACTGTTGAAAACAAGATCGACGGCGAAATCACGCTGATCAGACTCTTCAAAGAGAGGAGGGGGGGGGGGGTTACTAAATGCTTGTTTCGAGATTCGGATGTTGTAATAAATAATATCGTATTTAAAATATAGGATTTTAAAGACTGTGTGAAATACATGACCCCCCCCCAAAAAAAAAGCGATAGAATCATTGTTTTAAATATTCATAAGCACAATTCGAGTTCCCCATATTGTCAGAATATCGGGATACTTAAAAATCACGGGAAAATTAATAAACTGCCGAAAATACAATCTAAACACTGCATGGATTTGTGGTAGTATCGGCATAAAGTGAGAGCGTCAAAAAGAGATTATTTAATAGCGCAATTTAAATTTTACGTGTAGAAATAATATTGACTAAAAAATCCCATGGAATTCAGTAGCATAGCACATGTAATAAAAAGCCGAAAAACTGTGAAATTGTCACTGTAAAAGTAAATAATTGATTTCAGTTTCGAGAATAATTAAATTGTATAAAAAATATCGGGATTTGTTTCGCTTAAAAACATAAACATAGAGCGTGGATTAACAAGAATATTGGCGCAAAATAAGCGTGTCAAAAGAATGATTTCTGGAGGGGAAAAAATCGTTCAACATTTCTGCAGAAAAGAAATTTCATTCTTTATTATTCTATATTTTTCATTCTTAAATTAGAATAGAAAAATCAGGAACATTTCTTTCCTCTCTGATGTGCTAAAAAAGCATCTTTTAATTATAATTTTAGAGAAAAAAAAATTCTGCAGAAAAGAAAACCAAAATTCCTTACTTCCTAACAGAAAATTCTTTCTGCAAGAACTCAGCAACATTCTGCCACGGGGATCCCCTCTATTTTCTAAGGTTTCCCTGTATTTGCTAAGGTATATGTGTGGAGTGGCAACTCTACATAATTTCTAATATTAAATGAATTTCTAAACATTAACTACTAACTATCAATTGTCCATCTAATTACTCAACTATTTATTACTTCTTTTACAGCAGCTGGATTCTTTGTAATGTAAATTACAGAGAATATTTTCTAATTTTTGATTAATTCAGGTATAAGTGTGAAATTGCTTAAGGTCTAAAAAGTAGAAATACTTTTTTATACTTAATTATTTCAACAAAAAGATAGGACTTTCTGATATTTTTAGTTTAATGAAATTGTCAGAACACTTGAAATTAGGTTTATGTATTATGAGTACCAAATTGGTATTTTATTTAATATTTGCTAATCTTATTTTGGTTGCTAATATTTTTCCTTATATAAAATTTGTTAGTTACCAAAAAAATTTTAGATTATGTAGTGAACAGATAATGAATGCTTAGCAAACAAATGTTTATAATTTATTATTATTTTTTCATTCATTTCAAAAGCAAAAGGTATAATAAAGAATAACTTTTTACAGATTGTGTAACATATAAAAATTTCATACATTGAAAAATACAAATAAACATAACATTTGCTGCAAAAATATGCAATGCTTTTAGAAATACCATTCATGAACTTATTGCAAATTTGTTTAATTAAAGCCAATCACCAAACATATTACAGTTTACATTTTACTAAGTATCATTTAAGTAACTTCATCTTTATGTAATCCATCATATACTTAGAAAGCAGAAAAATGACTGTAATAGTAATTTTTACAACCATTTCTATTATAAAAACGTTGGTAATAATCAAGCAATATTTTTTTTCAGTATATACTATAACTCATTATCATATTTAGTACATATATGTATGCACACAGAATATATATGAAAAAATGCAAAATTGAGTTTCTTCATGAAAAAACCCCCACATTTTAGAAAACTCTGATTGCAGGATGCACGTTAAAAATTAAAATAAAATGTAACCTTTGCTGCAATAAATTTATGCATTGTTAACAGTTAATGTTAATTAATATTATGACACCAAAATTAAGGGACATTGCGATAAAAATATTCTTTATTTAAATTTGTGAAATATGTCTTCAATTAATGTTCACTTACACAACAGCTCTTACTCTGCTTTGCAAAAGTAAATGGAATTTAATTAAACCAAATAACAAGTCAATAATAATACAAAAAGAGTAAAAAATATTTGAAATATACAAAACAAACCAAAGAATAAAAAGACATTTATTTAAAAATAAGTACTGAAATATAGAGAAAACATTTTGTATACAAATATTTACAAATACCCAACCAATTAGATTATAACAAGATAAGTACACTTTTATCTAAGCCAAGAAATTTGATGAAAGCAATCGATTTCTAAACAAAAGCACTAAACTACATAGAAAACAAAATCGTAAAACTAAAACTAGTTGATCCTAATAAGTAATTAGTAAACGATAAATCAATTTCTAAGTCAATCAGAAAATATTAACTGGTTTGTTTCATCAAATTGAAATTAGTCTAACAATGTACAATAGTGCACAGGGCATTAAGTTACAATCTTTTCTAATATTTTGCAACTCAAGTGTTATAGAAACTGTACAAAATTATAAAGTGACATTTTTGACACAAAGTTTTTGAAACAATAAATGAGGTTTACTATAATTAGTTGTTTTTTTAAGAGTACAATAATACTATAGTGTAAAAGCGACAGTCGTTTAAAAAATGGCAATGAAATAAATTACAATTTCAAAGTATTATTAATTCATTAATTTAAATAAGTAAAAATGAATGATAATCAATGCTACTCTTAAATTTACATTATCAAGCCCTTATTATGGTCAAATATTCTAATTTTTGAAATAAAACTTAAATATTCATTGAAAAATTAAATGAAAACAGTTTAAAAGTTCTAAAAAGTTTGACTATTTAACTAATGTTAATTATAATTCAGTTCATATTTGGTGAGTTATATCAAGAAAGGCAATCCCAATTTTCCTCTAGCAGGTGTAAGATTTGTAGTAGTCTTAGAGGTATTCCTCAGTGATCGCCTGACAGTTTTAGATGCACTTTTCCTCTTGCTTTTACTAGTATTTTGAGATATTCTAGTCCCACCAACTTTTTTGGTTGACAGAACTGAACTTCGACAACTACGCCTGGAGGAGGAATCAAGCTCTTTTGCAAACTGGGAATAAGTTGTGGCATTGGTTGAATCTGGTACAACTTTGCTTTTATTGTTCCTTTCTCTCAGTACCATGCTTTGATCTCTTTTCTTCATGGCATTTGGTCTCGTAGATAGATGTGGAAACAATTTATGACCAAAACCTGATTTACGAACAGATTTGACCAGTTTATTTGCAGAAAGTACTGATTTACCAGTTGTACAGGGTATTGCTTTAGACCTATCAGATGTTGGAGTGCGGTAAACTGACATCCCGGCATTGGTTTTAAATAATTTACTGGGTGCAGACCTGGGCGTCGTAAGTAAAGGTCTCTTAGCTGGAGTTGCTGTTCCAAGCACAGCTTCATTCTCGGTTTGCAGCAAGCGGAGTTTATGCCGTTCTTGTTTTTCGTTTTCTTTCTGGTTGATGCGCTCTTGCCATTGATTAGTGACAAAACTTCTGTAATCTCCATCGAAATACAGGAATGGTTTGCTGTAAACAGCCTCATACAACTCAATTTCATTAAAGATGTCGTTCTCTAGAGCAGGAAGATCTTTTTGTAGTTTCTTTCTGTCTTTCTCTTCTTTAAGGAGGTTTCCTCTACGATTTTTAAACCTGTTTGGATCAGATGCCTTATTTTCAAACACTAAAAGAAGATCCCACAACTCCTTACGTTTTTCAATTTTATTTATTATATGCTTGACAACTTCGGAGTAGGATTTCCACTTTTCAACCTCAGCTTCATGAGCTTCTAAAACTTCATCAGTCATCTCATCTGACTGCAGCAACGTAAATTGATTACGGTTTTTATCACTTACATAACATTTGTCCCATAGGTGTTTAAGCTCTTGCCTTAAATTTTCTATATACATTTTTATATTTTCTTTCTTTATCTTTTCACATCTTTCAAGCTCTTTTTGGATAGAATTTACAGTGGATAATTTGCAATCCACATGTTTAGAAAGAAATTCAGTTTTCTCAGAGTCTGCTATTTTCAATCGATTCCATAAAGCTTTCAGTCTTACGAGGAGCTCTTCTTTCCGTGTTTCCAACTCAATCTTCTTCTTCTGAGCTTTAGATACAACATCTTCCAAAGCTTTTAATGTTTCATTGGTCAAAGGGATACTGTCACTTCCAGACAACACATCCCTTTCTAATGCAGTTTCTGGGGTGAGTTCTGTTATTTCTAATATAGTGGTTAGTTCTTTTTTCACGGAACAAAACTTTTTGTACCTTCTATCACGTTCATCTTTTAACATTTTAATATGCTGATCAATTTCCTTCAGCTCACTCTCAGATGGGACACCTGTGAATGAAGGTAGATGATGTTCCTCCATACCAAGTAACGAGCAATATTTAGATTCAATGCTTCTAAGTTCCTGGTAAGATTTGATTCTTTTATGCTTCAGTTTTGTTAAGCTATCAAGTTCTTGTCTCAAGTTTTCCTCTTTCTTTATTAAAGAAGCACTCTTCTCTTCTAAAGGAGTGACAGATAAAATTTTTGCCAGGTCATTTATCTTCTTTGTATAATTCTGTACACGTTCTTTAATGTCTTCATAAAAGCTAATTTCTTCTCTGTATATATCATCCAGGAGTGTCCAAAGATGCTTCCATACAGCTTTTCCCCTTTGAATAGTTTGCTCTTCATCTATTCCAAATTCATCCCATAAAATATAGAACTTTTTTAAAAATATCCTGACATTCTTAATTTCTTCACTTTCAATACTTTCTAAAGTTATTTTCTTTTCAAGGGACTCCATGCTTCTTTCTTTGTAATCATAGAGGAATGCAATATATTTTGTTTACTTCCAATATTAAACCTGTTAAAGAATTATAAGAATAAGTAAAAGTTAAATCTAAATTATAAGGCAAAGCTAAAATTTATGCATTTATTAATTATGACTCAAGTAACAACAATACTCTAGAACAGCAGTTCTAGAGTTAGTCAGTTATTATTATTATTTTTCTGGTCATGCAAATACAACTGAAAATGTTTTTTTTTTTTTTTTTGACCAGGTCTTTACTTTATAAATAAAGGTCTTTCACAGCTTCTGTTCATATATCATTGAAAAACAAATACTAATTACTTTGAAAATATTTAATGTAAAATAAAAGAATTTTGTTATTGCATCATCAATAATTATTTTAAAGCTATGTTATACAGTTGAATCCACATATCTCGAACGGTTACTAGCCTAGCTTTTAAATTATCTTTGATGGAGCGTAAGCCGAAAATGAACAAAATAAGCTGAACTATGGTTTTCAAAAAAGAGTCATTATTGTTGAGAATGGTAATCCGAGAAATGCAATTCCTTATTCATAACTTTGGTTATTTTACTTTGAAATTACTTTTTAAATGCATATCATTTTCGTAATTTGCTCAATACACATTGATATTGGAAATCTTTGTTACTAATTTTACTAGTTCTTTATTCATTGTCATTTTATTCGAATATCATAAAAATAACCAAAATAATAAATACATTATAAATTATTGTTGCATATAAACCAGGGTTGGCAGGTTTTTGACATGTGACAGTTTTTGANTTGACGTCAAAAACCCAACCCTGATATAAACATAATTAATGTTTAAAAAAATCATCATCTTAAAAAAATAAACTAACTTAACTCTTTGAACCTTTTTATGGAACTCCAAAGTAAGAAATTGTAAAAATTTCCTAATAATCCACTTCAAGAAACTCAAATAATAAGCAGTTCATAACATTAAAATTCAAAACTTCAAGATGTTAAAGAAATTTTTTAACTTTAATTAATAAAAGGTAGTTATAACTAAAGTAACTCTATTAAGGCCCTTCTAAAACTTGCTCTGCCTCCTGGATTTTGAAGAAACATGGTATTTATATATTTAATGGACCACAGGGAAAACATTTCTGCAATTAGATACTGTTTGATTTATATTTTAAAACATTGTTAAAGTAATTATGGCTAAAAATAAGAAAAAAATTGCCACTGTGGCATTTCTAAATTACGCATAATTTCCTTTTTTATATATATCTTGCACGATAAATCAACAAAACTTTTCATCCAAACAACCTAGTAAAACTGCAGTTAACTTTTTACTCTGGTAGAAGTATTATGTTTGATCCTCTTACCATTTATACAATGTATCAAAATTAAAAAATGTCAATGATTAACTAAAGTTGAAATTTCTCTGACACTTACATTTTATTTGAAGTAACCAAATTCTTATGCTCACAATAAAAACTGACAAAAGAAGCAAAATTACAAAATTCAGATATTAATGTTGTTCAAATTATAACTTAAAACTGATTGTATAGACATTCTAAATTATACAATTCTTAATAAGAGTAAAAGAGGAGCATAAAAATATGAAGTAAATTTTCAATTTAAAAAAAGAAGAAAATTCAACTGAAAATTTTTTGGGCTAATCAGTTTCACTTTATAAAGTCAATATTTCGATTTTCTAAATCAAACTATAGTTGGAACACAAAACAGAATATATTCACAACAATCTTAACACTAGTAAAATTATCTTGATTTTATCTCAATAATATTAACAACTCACAAATTTGTTCTTAAATTTTAAAATTTTGCAATCTTATGTTTACTAATAATATTCTTATTGTCAAATAATAATGTTATTTTTTTATTGCTAGAAAACTGACAAAAACGAAAATAAATATATAATGACATAACTGAAAAAAATCAAACACATTAAAACTTTTTCAAATAATTAAAAAGACTCTTAGGTAATTACTGATCCCTTTAAGAGCATTTTACTTTGGGACAGTAATTACATCAGAGTTTTAGCCAAATAGATAAAAAACTAATTCATTGCTTTAAATTAAACTAGCTACATTTTACAAAATTATAGAAAGTAATTACATTTTGTATAAATCAATATTTTTCCCCTCGCTAGCGACCTCTTAGAAGAAAATGCAGGAAACAGTTTTACAATCAATAAAGTAAGCTACTGATTTTTTAAGGTGAAGTTTAGATTACAGAGAATATTGATTATGCATATTTAAGCAGACAGTCATACTATATCAGAATATGTATGCATTTATTTTTGTAACACTGTCACAATATTGTATATAACTTAAAAAGTTCAGAAATATGTGTTGGTGATATATAAGGGACAGTAATGATATTTTTCTTACAATTTACTAATTTCAAAACATTTTTTAAATATAAAATGTGCCTGGTGTTTATTTTTTACTCCCTGTGGACATTTATTAGTTGCGTAGATTGGTGAACACTTTGGACATTTTTGTCAATATGGTTTTCCCATGAATTGTGCCATAGAAAGACCAACAAACATGTAACCCAAAATTCCTTTTATGCCAACACAACTTTATCATTGACTTAAAATTTTTATATCATGTGATGTGAATTTTTATATCACAAAAGAGTTTCTTTAATCCACCAGGGTTTTAAATAAATATTACTGTAGGATGTAATAAACAACCTGCTTTGAATGAAATCGAGAAATATTATTTTACTGTTTAGAGAGAAAACACTCCAATTAAGTTTTCCTATTGGTAAATAAGCAGCGACTAGCACAAAATAATTCTAATTCTGTTCTGAGTACTATTCAGAACAAAATCAGAACATTAAAAGTAATTGTTGAGAGAAAGAGTACAAAATCCATTAATTGTATAATTTCTTATTTATTTAGTTTTTGCATGTATAATGGGTTTATGTGGATTTGGAGGTTGATAAAAGTCATTTTGCAGTTTCTGGAGGCAAATCAATGCTTTGATTTACACACTATTTTTCTGTTCAATAATTTAAACATAACATCTGACTATATATTTGATTTCACACTTCAATTCTGAACATATAGCAAAAAAAAAGATATTTAANAAAAAAAAAAAAAAAAAAAAAAAAAAAAAAAAACATCTTAAAAAAAAAAAAATAAATAAAAACATTTAATAATAAAAATTGCACCAGTATGTAAGTTTGTTAAAAAACAATTGTCTTTTAAATATTTTTGACAAACCTCCTCCCCTAGGGGGAAGATCTCTGTATCCTAATCTGTGGAAGAATAAGGCAACTTCCGGGCAGCAGCAAGTGAGAAACTAATAATTTAAGAAAAAACAAACAAAAAAGGACCAACTCAAAAGGTATAACTCGTAGCCAACCCTGGGCAAACCTACAGGTTCTTTTTTCTTTTAAAAAATTTACAAATTTAAAACTCAATTGGTCCCTTGACTATAGCAGTTGGCGTGACAGATCAAGATATGGAAATATTCCCCCAACTTAGAAATAGTATATGCAAGGAATATAAAAAAAAAATCCCAGAAGGGAACAAACTTGAAAGGAATAAAACACAGCCACCAAATATTTTAGTTAAGAAAAACCCATTGGTACCTTAACGAAGATATTGTCTCAACAGAAATACTATTAAGATTCTCTATTCTTGTTATAGCAAAAGGCAGGAATTTTCCGACTTATAATGTAGTTTTCGATTTCTTTTTTTAAAATTTTTTTTTATGTTTGGACAAATATTGTAAAAAAAAAAAGCTGCATGCAAATAATAAATATATTCTGATTAGAGAAACATTAAGTTATGTACTCTGAAACATTAATTACATTTTTCTAGTTGACAAATATGAATTTATATAAATACAAACATTTTTACATAACTATTTACTTGAAAAGTTACAAATGGAACTCTGACATAATTTTTTTTGTACCTTGATCTTTTCAGTTAAAATAAGCGCGAAATGCCATAATCCGTTACTATCGGAATTTTAAGCATACTCTGTAAATAAAATACAACATTAGAATCTGATCTATTACGATATAGTATCTGGAAAAAAACAGGGCAAAATATCAAAGAAATTAAAATAAGAAAAAGGGAACAGTTAAATAGGGAAAGACGATTATCAAAGTTTGTTTTGATAATAGTATAACGAATATTTATATAAGGAGGAGCATATTTATCATAATAAAAAATATAAGAACTTAAACTAAAACAAAATAAAGATTGCTTACTCTTTTAATAGTCAAAGATATAATTTACTAGGAATATAAAAAATTTAGTGAAGTGATTAAATTTTAGCAATCAGCAATTCAAATTTTCGCAAAAACAGCCAAAATTACGTCACGTCTCTCGTATCTTCACTTCATTTCTTGTTCTCAGTGAATGTGACATCGATTGATGTATCAATATATTTTTTAACAGATATTTCTAGTCAGTGAATTAATAGAAATTTTTAGTAATCAAAATTAATGAAAGTCTGTATTTTTAACAGTAAGTACAAAAAAGTGTCAGAACAAAGACAAAGAAGTCATGTGAGCATTTGTTTTGTTTTTTCCCCCTTCAAAACCACTCCCTCTAATTTATCCAATGAAGTAACAGAAGAGTCAGTCACGTCACGTATTCGTCAAAGAGGAATTCGTCAAGCAAGTAAAGTAAACAACTTTTTCCTTGTGATCTATTTTTTTATTACATAAACACTCACATCAAAATAGTTAATAATTTTTGCTCTTTATCTATAGCATTTTATGATACGCTACAAGTAGTTATTTAGCAGTTCTGTTTTGTTAAGTTTAAATTTGCATCAAATTGTATTTTGAGGAAAACTCTCCCGTAATCTTCTAAGGGCTCGTCATATCTTGATAAAGTATTACGTAATTATCTTTTTGTCTGTATTGAATTGCTATTTTTATTTTCCAAGATTTTTATTTTGCCTACATGTGTAATTTATTATTTTAGAAACATTCAACTGATCGAATTTCTTTTTTAGATTTTGCTCTTCCTCTTTTATCAGTATGCTGCGTGTGATTTCTCGTCGAATTTTAGCAAGGAAAACAACCAATGTCAGGTATATAAGCATGAAAGCAAAAAAATACTAATATTTTTTTTATATCCTAATATGTTCCTTTTATTCTAATTGGAAAAAGGGCTATTTGTATCTTGAATCTAGAATTCTTGTAACTAAAATACTAATAATTTTCTCTTATGTAATTTTTCTCAATAATATATTTAATCTAAGTAAGGATATTTGTATTATTAATTTGGAATTCTAGTCATATTTCTGTCAGTAAATATCTCAGGTCTGTATTCCAATTATGCATAGTATATATCAGATAATATTTGTCAGGTATTTGAAATGTAATAACAAGAATACTAATAATTTTTTTAATGTATTTCTGCCAATTATTTTAGGGGATATATCCGTATCGTGATATCCAATCGCCATGGCATCAAATTGGTTTGAAACTGAAGAAATTAAATTTTTTTCTCTTTTTCTACAAGATTCGTGAAATCGTATCTTCCTATTAATTCCTCCTTTCTCAGATTTATTGATGATCTTTTGGTTACTAATTTTAACGATTTTGGTATTTTAACTAAACAAATTTATCTAAGTGAATTAATTCTTAATAAAACTAATATTAGAAATTTTTTAGCAAATTTTTTAGATTTAACTCTTATTATTAATGAAGGTAGTAAAATTACCTTTAAACTTTTTTACTAAAGAAATGATTTAAACTTTCCACTTAAAAGGAATATTGATTTTAATTCTAACTTAGCATATAAGGTTTTTTCCAAAATTATTACCAATCAGATTCTTAGGTTTTACAGAAATAATTCAAACTTTAATGATTTTTTTAAAAGGAACTGATAAATTTAAAACAGATTTAATTAATAGCCATATTCCTAGTTTATTTCTTCAATTTCATTAATAAATTATTTAAAACCTTTTAGAACATTAATTTTTTCTAATTAAATATCTTTTTTTCTGTTTTTAGAATTAGCTCTGATTTATTTTTAAGGTAGGAACTAAATATAAGCTAATCTTAAAGCCACTGGGCGGAATGGTTTTGGATGTATGATCTTTTATACTGAATTAAATTATTTATTAAGTAAACTTCTAAATAAATTATAGCTTTTAATTAAATAACTTTAATTATTTAATTTTAATTGTCCAGTGTAATAAACAGTTTATTTTTATTTTTTACTGCAATTGCTTTTTTTTGTAAGAATGGAATTGGCTCTGGTTTTTGAACAACCATCCCCGATAAATGCAGGTAATATGTGTAGACTTTAATGTTATGAAAGGATGTATGAATGAAGGTATAGCAATTACTAAATGGTTTATTCCTAATTTAAGTCTGTGGTTTAAATCTACAACAATTGCCTATTTGAATGTTTTATTTTTGCGATTTAATTTTAAGTTTTTAATTTATTTAAAATTTATATTTTCTCATTTTTTTCTATTGTTAATTAAATTTTCTTCCTATTAAGGTTTTGTTAATAAAATTTTCCAAAAAAATTTTTATTAACAAAATTTTTCTCATAGATGGCAGCCCTGAAATGTAATTTGCTACATATTTTTTCTACCAAGCATATTTTTAAAATTATTTTGTATGATTTAAGCTATAAGCACTGTTTTTTATTCTTTTCTTCTTAGCGAATTTTTGTTAGCTGTTAAATTGTTAAGCTGTTAATTGTATATCTATTTTTAAGGCATTTTTGCTTTTGCACCGCATCCGTAAATTTGTTTTCTGCTTTCTTTTATCTCACACTCATTTTCAAACACACTCATTTCCAAAGACAAACAAAAGAAATAAAATATTTTAAAAATTATTTAAGGGGGCATATACACCTATGTAGGTTGGAAAAATCAAATTTTTTTCCATCAAATAGACAGGGACAGTGACGACGTATTTCACCCCGCCTCCTTCCAATTGCTTTCCAAACATTTTTTCGAACGAACCATTTCAATGGCATTTCCTATGTGAATTTAAGACGGCAAGATTTTTAGTTTATTATTGAAATAAATAAATTTATATAGCGCTTCTAAGGGACTTATTCCTAATTTAAGTAGTTTTCTTTATACGGAGTATCAGTAGATTTTACGAGTTAAGNTAATATTAATATATGCAACACTTTTTCTTGCCATGTCAGTGGTTAAATTCGACTCTATATTAATATATTCAAAGATTTAGTTCACCCACTTTTAACTACATGAGAAACGCCATATTGTTTGCTCCGTTCAAAACTTTGTTTGGAACGAGGAGAGCTAGTGACGTCGTTGATGACGTAGGACTAACCCTGTCTATTATGTTCTTCACTGTTTCAATAATCATAATCCAAAAGATTAAAATGAAATTCGTCATAGTGTGATTGTAAACATTAATAATGTTGAAGCACGCTTCAATAGGTTTAACCAAAGATTGTAATTTCCAAAGTTTCTAAAAAAACACATTACATTTATTATTTAAAGATTTTGAATACATGAATTATTTATGTATTGTTCTATTGTTCATTATGAAGAAAATAAATGAGAAGACTAGCATTAAAAACCCCAGTTTTTTTTTTCAAAATAAAAAAAGAAATATTAAAGAATTTATTTTTATAAAAAAATTAATTGAAGGGGGGGTCTATCTATTAATTGATCTGAGTCTATGACCCTCCCCAGGAGAAAGTCCTGGGTCCGCCCCTGTTCTTTACTTCAGTAAGAATTAGTTTATTCCCTTCAGTAAGCATTAGTTGATTCTCTTCATTCTCTATTTATGCTTCTATTCTCATATTTTGTAATCTGGCAAACGTGTTACAAAAACATTTTAAATCATTTTTGAAAAATTCCTGTAAGTATAAGTATATTTGAATTTTTACCTGCTTTATATATTACATTTTGAGTTAAATTCTTTATTTTATTAGATTTTTATCATCAATTTTTGCTTGATTATATGTTTTTATTTTGCATTTTTTGCTTGATGGGTTCTATTTTTGTTTCAGTTTTTTTTGGTGCTTTTCACACTATTTTTTAAATTTGTTAAAATTTTTCATGTATAGAATCCTCTTTAAATAGAAAAAAAAGTTGTAAACTTTTTCAGGTAATTTTTACTCAAATAACTGTTTTGATAATCTTCGATTCGAATAAGCTAGAATTTTGTTTATCTCTATAATAGATAGAACATATCACTATGATAAGAATATTTACATTTTTTAAATTGCTGTTTTGTTAAAAAGTAACTTAATATTTAAGGTTGTATGCTGCAAGTGCTCAAGCTGCAGTCAAAGAACCGGAACAAGCAAAAAATGAAAAACCATCTCGAGTAAGTTGAATCTAAAACAAGTAGTGTATTCTATCAAGAATTGTGTGTCTTCATAATTGTATTGTTAAGTGACTGTATACACTGCTTATAAATTAAAAAAGCTGTGAAGAAGCATATATATATATATATTATTAGTTCAATATTATTGAAGGGATTCCTGGACATTTGTCCATTCCCTAAAAAATTCTAATGAGAAATAAACTCTCATGTGTTAAGCTAAAATTTTTGGAAATAATCTTAATCCTCTAAGCGGTGAACCCTCTAGGTAAAAATATGTGAGCATTTTTTTGCTATGTAACATTTCCCCATTGAATTACATGGTAAAATTTGTTTATTGGTTATTGAAGAATAATCTTAATCTTTTAAGCGGTAAACCCCTTAGGTAAAACCCCCTTAGGTTTTTTTGCTATGTAACATTTCCCCATTGAATTACATGGAAAAATTGGTTTTTTGTTGTATGTAGGAAAGCTGTATCTGAAAGTTTGGAAAAAGTTGTAACTCTCAAAGGGCTTAGAATTTTCACAGTTATTTGGGCATTAGTATACTCTGTCTTAAGCTTTTTTTATTCAAAACTTAAAGGTCTGTGTTATATTCTCTGTTTTCAGAGGACCTCTTCTAAAAATATTGGCTTAAATTTTTTTTTCACTAATGAAATATGCTTGCTAAAATTAATGAAGCATATTGAGCCAGGGATCTGTTTATGGGAGTGGATGAATGGGACTGAACTGCCTTAGAAATATTTAAAAAAAATATTTTTAGACCTTTTTTAACCCATTTTTTTCAATAATCATATGTTTTTGTTTTCTTTTTTATACTAGTGTACAAAAGAAATAAAGGGTTCTTGAAAAAAGATGTGTTATATGAAACTAATTTGTCCAAATTCATTAAAGTATTAAATTAAATTATTCATTAAAAAATATTGTCTGAAGCAGTACAATTGCAATGTAAATTTATGAATTTTTAAGTTTTTTCTTGCTTATTGATTTTCTGATAATTATTACTCAAAAATTTACTACTAATTTAAAAATTTTCATAAATTTTAGTATTTTGATGTAAGTATATTTTTCATCAGTATGTTGAAATTAGGTTCTCATTTTTAATGTATGTCAAATGAGTGATTTATTATTTTTAAAGGTTTATGATTAAAATATAATTAAAAACTAGTGTTTTTCTGAAATTATATATATTTATTATGTTATTTCTTTTATTTTATTTTTAGGAATCGAATTCTTTTGTCATGGGAGTTTTCAATGGACAAATTAAAACTGATCAAGTTTTTCCATATCCTGATGGTAAACATTTTGTTGTTATAAATACCTAAAATAAATGATGAGTGATAAGAAATCAATACAAAGTGATAAGAATTAATGCAATGGACTTTGATTTAATCTAAAAATATGAAATTGTGACAAATGATTTGAGTAGTATATTATAACTCCCACTTGTATTCAAAATCTAAAAAAAACAGAAAAGAAAAAAAAGATATTAACTGAATTTTGAAATTTTTTTTTTATAAAATTAATAAGTTTTCAGATAAAAGTGAACAATATATTAAAGAACTGTCTAAGATATGCATTAGTAATGTTTTTAAAAACCTTTGCCAAGGAAAATAAAAGTTACAGTTAAAGTTAAAAGCACTTTTAAAATAAATATTTTAACAGGGTTCATTGGAATTTTAGTATCTGAAACCATTTATTAAGAATAATTTACTTTTGCAAAGTGATATAAGTATTTAAGTATAAAAAGGCTGAATAGAATGTTTAACACAGTATGCATTTCACTATTTGAATTCTTAACTTATAAGCATATGATAATTTGTAAGCAGATTCTCCATTATCCTAACTTTAGGAAATGTTCTAGTTATGTTCTACCAAAAACATATTTTCCTATTGCTAAAGTGAGAAAAAAAGTATTAATTTTTTAAAAATTATTCAATGAGAAAGCTGAATTCTTGAAGCACACTATTGTGCTATGGTTAAAAAACACTGTTTAGCTGACTTAAGCTGAGTAAAGTACATTGAGGGTACTCTCATTTAATCCACTGATGAACATGTGTAAAATATGCACCAATCAAATTCGAAAAATTATCGTCTGAATTTTGTTTTCTCACAAAACAAATGTTAAAAGTAATAATGAAAATCACTGCAAACTAGCTTTTTTTAAATATTGCTCTTTTTCACTCTTCTTATTTTTTTCAAACTACAAAAAAGTAGTGATTACAATAACTTATTTAACCTGTAGTACGTAAGTTCCGACAACTGATTAGGAGTATGCTACATTTATAATTTTCTCCATTCAGTTATCTTTATTCTTTATTGTATTGTCATTATTCAGGTGTATAAATTTGTGTCCAATTGTATTTAGCAATTATCAAGGTGAAAAATAAAATCTCAAATAAAACACTTAAACTCCTGACTTTTCTTTCTTTCTTGCAGTTTTGAGTAAAGATGAAAGAGGAACTCTACAAATGATGTTAGATCCAGCAAAAAGGTTTTTTGAGGTAATAATTTTTAGTTTTAATGAGAATGAAAAAAATATTAATGTTTTTTTATGTTTTGTTGTTTCAAATAGAAATATTTTTTTGAGTCCTGCCAAAATTTTAATAATGCTCTAAATCTTGGACTAAATATAAATAATTTTGCTATTTAAAACTTCAGAGGAGTAATAAATTAGTCATGTAACTTTCAGTGGGATAGTTAACATGTTGAGTCTAATTATATTTCACATAATTCATTATTTTTGTTTATGATGATACAATATATTAAGCTAAAATGAAATATGCTTTAAGTTTATATTTTGTAATTTTTCCCATTTTGACTCTTAATTTTATCAATAGATAAAAGTAATAAAATAATTATAAAAATGTTTTGAAATTTGCAACTTAAATGTCAGAAAATGTGACTATTACTGAACTTAACTGGTAATTTGAAGTCAATATAATTTTTCTGTTGAAAAATGTTCACTGTTATTAAAATGTTCACCTATTATAGACTTGGAAAATTGTTAAAGGAAATGCGTTTTCTCCCCCAAGTTGTTTTATATGTGCCAATAAATGTAAATAAATAATATATCTCAATCTTCATTGATTTATGAATACTAATAATGCTTCTGATTATGTTTAGTTTCTTATCTGCAACACAATATCAAAATGGAACATTGTTGCAACTTCAAAAAAAATGGCATAATTCAGTTTAAAGACATGTTACAAGTTTTAAAATTTATTTTTTTATCATTCATGAATATTGGGATCTATTTTGATTGAATAAGTTTTTAATAATTGTTTTGCAATTGTGCAATTTGTGTTCTAATTTTAATTAAAACTCTGCTTCTTTTATAAAAATTGAGGCACTGTATACATTTTTTAAAATCAGATGAAAGAAGCAATACAAAAACTCACATTGTTTATCCTGAAAATAAAAGTTTTCAATTTAAAAGTAAATATTTTGATTTTTTTTTTTTTTTTTTAAAAAAATTCTATTTACTTACCTATTTACATCATTATTTATTTTACTGTACCTGATTCCATTTAGTTAAATATATTTAATTTACCTTGATTTGGTGTTCTCTTTATATATTTGATGTAAGTATCTTTTCTGAATGATTCTAATGTGAAAAGATTTGTCATACAAAATACTTTTGTTACGTAATTTAGACTATTTTAATGTATTTTTTTTAATGTAATAATTTTTTTTGAATGCATAATTTTGATTTTTCAAGTTTAATTTTAAAAAATTATACTTCTCTTTCTCTTTTTTTAAAAAAATTTTGTGCTCAGTAATCTTTGGGACACAATGTGATGAACTATTTAAGCAAATTATTATAACACTATTTAACTATTAAACTATTAATGCAATTGACTACGATAAACAAATCATCAAATTACAAAAATTTACCAATCAGCTACTTAATTTGAAATAAAATGGAAAAAAAAAAAACTAACGTTTTATTTATGTACTGCTTATTATCTTTAAAATATGAAAATTATACATAAAAAAAAAAATCATCAATTGATGATCTAATATTTATTTTATTTTGATATATTTATTTTATCTAATATTTTCCTGAGCAGCTTATATTTAAATTGTTCACAATCATATGTTTTTAAAGTATCAGAGCAGAAATGTACTTCGAATTTCAGTTCTTTCATTGCATTCCTCATTTTGGCATTTGTAGGAGGTAACGTAACATCTTCATCTGACTTGTCAAGTTCAATCCATAGTCTTTTTCTATCCATAGTCAGTCATAGTTAATGATTTGTCAGTTCAATCCATAGTCTTTTTTCCCCATAATAATCTGGGAAATTTATGACTTTGTTAATGTGGAAGCTACATTAGACCTGAAAATAACCATTCGCCATGTGGCGAGTCAACAAGAATATGTGGGGACTTAAACAAATAGCCACTTTTACCCATGTTTTTACTTAATCCTTTAATGATAAAAGTACATCATTGCAGAAAAATTCAGGAATTTTCATTAAAATGTCTTAATGTTTCATTTAAAATTTTGATTCTTCAGAATCCACCAATTTGTGATGGTAAGATTCACTAGATTTGTGATGGAAGGGGAGAGTTCTTTAATAATTCATTTATTTCTAAGTTTCTATGTATACATTAAATGTATTTCACTTCCCTAAATATTTTTAAATAGAGATTTTTAAAGTCTGCATGTTATACTAAATTTTATCGTATATTATTTAAATTGTGGAAATAAACTTTTTATAGCTGTAGATTATTTATATGATTTTTTATGAATATATATAAATATATAATTTAATCGAAGCGGAAAACGAAAAACAAAACGAAAATGATAATGATTAAAAATGAAACTGATAAATGAAATATAAAAACAAAAATGATAATGAATGATGATAATAATAATGATTTAATAGCTGATGAAAAAGATGTAAAAGGAAAAGACCTAGCGATATTGGTCACCAGCTTATTAGATTTCTGAAAAAAAATGCCCATTAAGTTTTTAAAATCTACCATCCACTGGCTACTTGCTGAAGATTAAAATTTTCAGGTCTAAGCTGCAGGACAGAGGAAAATGAAACTAAAAATTTATTTCTGAATATATGATAAATATTTCAAAAAATAAAATAAGGAAAGATTATTTTCAAAAAATAAAAAATAAAATGACTAATAACATTAAACAGTAGCACAGAAAGCAATAATTTTAACATATCATATTAACGAATAGAAAAAATTTAGATTGAATCTTTTTGATGACAACGAACCATTGAAAACATTTGCCATGATCGTTATTGTATTTTTATTCGGATTTTCATAAATTCTTATTAATTTTTATAAATGTTTTTGCTCAAGAATGTGAATGATGCTGATAAAAATGACGAATTGGCTGTTGTTGCCCCTGAACTAATCAAACAAGGTGGAGAGTTGGGTGCTTTTGGTTTGCAAGTGCCTGAAGAACTGGGTGGTTTAGGATTGAATAATACTCAGTATGCTAGAATGGTCGAATTAGTTGGTCGTCATGATCTTGGATTTGGAATCACACTGGGAGCTCATCAGGTAGGATCACCAACATTTATATTTCAATTAAAAAACTTAGTTCACAAAAATCTATGTTTCAGATCAGGTTCATTTTTAAGACAACTCTTTTTTTCTGAAAAAAATCATGATAAACTTGAAAAAAATATTATAAAATGGGAAATATCATGTATTGTTGTGAGAAGAATGAATCAAGTATTAACTGTGGAGAAGGGACTTAATTTAGAAAATAAGCAATGTTTAAAAAATTGTTTTCGTTTTAGTGTAACTATAATAAATTTCCTTGTGTGCAGAGCCGCGATGGCAGAGTGGTTATGGCACTGAACTGCCATTAAGAAGAACTGGGGTTCGATCCCTAGTGGTCGCTTGAAGTCCACTCAGCTTCAGCTTGTCTGGGGAGTAAAAGCGGCCTGTGCAATACTGAACATATTGCCTCAATCATGTCGTTAATCATGAAATTGCTGAATGTTAACCTCCATTGACCCTCTGGCCCATAATGGGCTGTTGCAGGAAAGCTGTATGTGTTATATTTAATAGTAAACTTCCAAATAAATTAATGACAATATTTTTAATCTTTAACTGTATTATTTTTATTAATTCTCGGATTTACTTTATTTTTTAGTTATTTTTATTGCTTTAGTTGTGTTTTTTAGTTGTATAAATTGCATAATTTAAATTTCATATATGTTTTTTTCTTAACCCTGTTGTCTATTTTACTAAGTAATTTTTTTCTTTTTCTTTCTGTAAATCACAATAGACAAGCACACAATTTTACTCTGATTTTGTGAATAAAAAATTTTGTGAAAATAACAGTTCTTAAACTAAGATGCTTTGTGTTAACGTAATCAGAGGAATATAACATTAAAATTAAAAAACTTTCTTTACAAAATTATGCAAAAAATTATCTGATGAGCAGTGCTTCTCTATTTAAAAATTTTTTTTAAAAATTCTTTTCAGTGACTTTACATTGTTAAATTCATCAGAAAAATTGTTTTATAGGTTTAATTCTTGAACAGAAAGGCTAACTTAAAACATTAATGTTCTTATAGTGTTAAAATTTATATTAAGGAAATATGACTTATATCCTTCAATTTAAATTCAGTAAGTTTGGATATTCTAAGGACATTCTTCTTGCTTTAAACTATCAGAATGCCAAATTTCATTTCATTTGTATGTATGGTAAATGAACTGACTTGGGACAAATAGGCAAACAGTCATTCATTTCAATTTGTATAGATTTACTTCAATACTTATTAAAAAGTTAATTAGATATATTATAATGTCCATCTGCATGTAAAAAATTTACCATTTCACAGTCAATTACTAGTAGCTAAATCAAATGGTGAAAATCAGTCATTTTTATATTGAAGTAAATAATTCATTTATCATTAATTCCGACATTTGGTCAATAGCAGTGCTAACAATACTGGACAGATATGCATTAAACAAAACTTGTAAAATGAAATATTGAAAAATAAGTTTTTGAGTTGATCGAATCATATTTTTCTGTGAAGTCTCGTTATTTTAAATGAATCATTAACAAATTTTTTTTTAGAATTTTTAACTGTCCCATTTAATATTTATATTTTATGATTTTTAGTCCATAGGATTCAAAGGAATTTTGTTGTTTGGCAATAAGAGCCAAAAGGAAAAGTACCTTCCTGATTTAGCTATTGGCAAGAAGATAGCTGCTTATTGTTTAACTGAGCCAGGCAGTGGATCTGATGCTGGAGTAAGCTCTTTAAACCAAAATTTCCTTTAGTGTAATTAAATGTCTTAGGAGTAGATTTTTTTTATGAAAATTTTATTTAAAAAAAGAAACAAATATTTTAAATTCTTTTTTATGCAATAGTTAGTTTTTATATTCAAGAAATGAAACATTTTTGGTGTATTGGATTAAATTTAAATTTTTTTTTTGTTATTATTTATAAGCAATACTATATTTTGCATCCTTCCAATTGTATAAATAAAATTTTTAATGCAAGACAATTTTTTAAATAAAAATATCTAAAGATAACTTTGCAATTTTTGAAACATTGCATTGTTTTACTTTTTTTTGACTGCAATAAATCACAAATTTAAATTGCATGATTTTACAATGAACTATTAATTTGGAAATGATATTTTACTGTTGTTTTTTCAAATTATTAAAAAAAGACGTTTATTTAAAGACGTTTATTTAAAGACGTTTATTTTGATCAAATATCTATGAATGCTATTTAAGAAATAGTTTAACTAATATTTTATTTAAAATATTTTTTGTATTTTTTCCCATTTATTTTTATTTTTATCTTATTATTATAATTGTTTTTAGTCTATCAAAACAAAAGCTGTTCCTTCAGCAGATGGAAAGTATTTTACTATGAATGGAAGTAAAATTTGGATAAGTAATGGAGGAATTGCTGATGTCTTCACGGTTTTTGCCAAGGTATTTTATTTAGCATTTTTAATTTTGATTTGTTCCCTTTTTTTATATTTCTCTAGACAATATGATTCACGCTTTTGAAGTTTTTTAAATCAAGATTTCTAATGTAGAATTATAAATCTCTTTTTAAATTTATTGATGGTACTTTCTTAAAAAATCTTTGTGATATAATAAATGTATTACCCATAATATATTTTCTTGTCATAAACTTAATGCACTTTCTAGTGATTGTTATATATGATAAAAGTAGATAATAAACATTATTTACATTTATTATAATGTTTATCTCTAGAAAGTAAGGTTATTTCAATTTTGTACAATTAGGGCTCAACTACTAAAAGATGGAATCCAAGTCCAGCTGTAATTACATCTATTATCCAACATACTTGTTATTTCATTACTACCAAATAAAATTTTAAGTAATAAATTTAAAATTCATTTATATTCAGTAAATATAAGCTATTTTTTATGCAGTTATGAGGAATCTTTTTTATCAATTATAGCTAATAACAAGGTTGCAACAACATATTTGATTAAAAGTTAGATTCTCTTTTGTTTTATAAATTGTCTTGCATTCAATGTCTTTCATATAATTTTGCAAATGTCTTGCATTTAAATAATATTTTGTTTAATTTCATTAGAAGTGTTAAATATGTTGCATATCATACTTACTTTCCCCTCCTGAAATCTCCTGAATTCTTGCTGAGGAAACTTCTGAATCTTAATTTTCCAGGTTGGCACATCTGCTATTTGATCAAATTATCTGGCTGATAAATATAAAAAGTGAAACAAAAATCTGATTTAAAACAAATCCAATTTTTCTATTTTACTTTGAAATCTTAAATTTCACTAACCTTGGCTATTAATAATAATTTTGCTTAAAATTGGTGAAATTTTTTTGAGCTTGTGTGTGAGATAGGTTTATGTATGAAAGGGTTAGAATAATATAGTGATGAGCTATATTTTTTTAAAGGTGATATTTTTCCATCAAACTGTTCTTTTGTATAGTTTTTCTGATCGACACTCTATGTCTTCATTAATGAGTTCATATTTTCAAATTTTTTTTTTACTCTTACATTAGTGATAACCTTTGAGAAGATAAGTTTATTAGTTATTGATGATAAGTTGTTAATTTTGAAACTTTTGTTTGTCTCACTTTATTGATGTTCTCTTTCTTCTTTTTGAGTTAAAGTTTTTTTTTACATTAATTTAAATTTTATATTCTTAAGTGTTCATGTTTTTATTTATTTTCCATTTATTGATATTAAATGTAAGCAGTATTTATGAATATATTAATTTGCATATGGTTATAAATATTTACAAATAATAAATTAAAAATTTTAACTCATATAAAATGAAATATAATTTTAGTTTTTTTTTAAATAAATTTTTCCTTGTAGTCTTTTTATATTGTATATTTTTTTGTATGCATAGGTTCCTGTTAAAACAGAAAAAGGAACTGTAGAAAAAATGGGAGCTTTTATCGTTGAAAGAAGTTTTACTGGAGTAAGTAGTGGCCCTCCTGAGAAAAAGATGGGAATAAAGGCATCAAACACTGCTGAAGTATTTTTTGATGATGTGAAAGTACCTGTTGAAAATCTTATTGGTGAAGTTGGTGATGGATTTAAGGTATTTTTCACATTATAATTTAGGAGAGTTGTTAGTTTACCTTTGAAAAATAGTCTTAAATGTTTAACTTAATCTTATTGTATCTTGTGTAATTTTTTAAAAATTATCGTTCATTTCATGTCAGAAAAATGCCAACATTTGTAAACTGATAGGCAAAATAAGATATTTTTTATTATTTTAATGGATTTAAGCACGTTGAATATTAACATAACATTAGGGGGGAAAATAGTCGCTTTTGGATCACTGGGTTCAAATTAGTGACTATAAACAAAATATGTATAATAAAAAGAAAAAAGTCAACTAGAAAAAGAAATACATTCACACAGAGTGGCCGTAGAACAGTGAAATTACAGAAAAATATGGAAAAGCCGGAGAATTGTATCTATCTGGAAAAATCAGAGAAAATGTCAGGGAATTTAATAAAAATAACTAAGAAAGTGAGGGAAACTGAATTAATATAAGTTTGAGTTTTATTGAGTTCCAAGATTTTATCCTAAATTACTGATAATGTAGTAACTTTTTAAAATTAAAGTGTTAATGGCCACTCTACATACAGCAATGGAAAGGGAACAACAAATATAAAGATAACAATTAGGAGTGTCGGTGTTTCTATTAAAACTTCAGTTGATCAGATCAGAAAAATAATTCTGATTAAAGATTAAGTATTTAATCTAAATTGTATTAGTTAAAAAAGGTGTAGATTTTAGTGAAGCATAATTAGCTTTTTATTCAAGATTACTTATTTTTGGGAACATAATACCAGAGGTTTACTTATTTTTGAATAAAATTTAATGTTTAATTTTTTATAGTCAATACTTTTTATTCTTACTAATTGAACCAAATGAAATTTTCAATGTTTGTTGTTTAAAAAGAAGTTGATATACGTTAAGTATGGGAAAAGTTTCAACTAACTATGGGAAAAGAACTCAACTAATGACTCAACTCTTTCAGCTGATGAGCATACCTAATTTTTAAATCCTCATACTTTTCTTCTTGGCTTTTGAACTTTTTAACTCAGACTTTTATTTTTTAGATGAATATCTAAAAAACAATTGTTGTTGAAAGTGGATATTTAGGTTTATGAAGCTAATAGTTATTCTTAGTCTTAGCTAAAAAAGCTTGGAAATCTTTGATTCAAATACTCCTTCTTATTAATGAATTGGTTAAAAACATTTTTTAAAACTTTTCTTAAAAATATTGACCTTTGAACTTATATCATTGATTTTCATCATGTTGATTTTGAGAGGTTCTTGTTGCTTAGGAACTGCTTAGTTATTTTTATTTTATTCAGCTGGCTTATTTTTTTATTATTTAATAATCCCTATCTTTTATTATTCATATTGAACAAGTAATGTTAAAAAAAATGTTAATTCTGTTTAACTTATTTTAGAGACCAAGAAGCTAATTTTAAATATTTACAATCAATTTTTATTATTGACCTCAATTGTAGTATGTGTTGTACAATTGTTTACGTTAGAAAAAAATGGTTTTAATTTGATTTTTTGATTCAAATTAATATTTTTTTTCCAGATAGCAATGAATATATTAAATAATGGAAGATTTGGAATGGCTGCTTGTCTTTCTGGCACAATGCGATGGGCTATCGAAAAAGCTGTTGAACATGCATCTAACAGAACTCAATTTGGTAGCAAAATTAGCCAGTATGGGACAATTCAAGAAAAACTTGTACGAATGTCTATGGCTCATTACATTACTGAAGTAAGTATAAATATATGTTTTTTTTTGTGACTAAGTTAGTAAAAATGAACTTTGTTATTGCTTTAATATCATGATGATACGTATCTTCAGATTTCATTCTTTTTTTAAAGATAATATGCAACATATTTTGTACCCTATTATTTGGATGGTCACAGAATTGATAAATCAAGGAGAACAGGGAGAACTTTATCAATCTGGAGAAATTCGAGAAATGTTAGGGAATTTACCTAAAATACACAAGTCAAAATTTATTAAAAAATTAATGAATTTATTGTTGAGGTACCTAAAAGTATGATATTTTTCTAAAAAGTTGGTCTTCTTATAATTTTATTTCAAAAATAAGTATATATTTTCAACTTAAATCTCACTTATGTTTTCTAATATGTTATGTCACTATGTTTGAAAATGAGGTATAACTGAAAAATTAGTAATAAAATTTATGCAAATAGTTAGAATTATTTAAGAAATTTGCTAAAACTAGTCTAAAAATCAGAAAATTATTTTTCTGAGTATTTGGGACGACCTAAGAGAAGTAATTGTATATATTGTTATAAATTATTTTTAAAATTTTTAAATTGGCATAGTCAATAGAGTAAATTTGAAATTCAAAAAAAAAAAAAAGAAAATTTATGTGTTTAATCTGTTATTATAGGTGATTGTATTTTGGATTTACCCTTCCGGGTCTAAAAGCATGGAGGAATTTCGCTATCTCAAAACAATTGGTTCTCGGACTTCTGCAAATCATTAACTTATTATCCAACAATATTTTCACAGAGTTTCACTATCTAAAATTTAAAATTTGAAACTTTTGCTAAATCCTGCTAACAAGACTTTCATATAATGTGATTCTGTCACAAAATGTCTGTTAAAAATCCACCTATTTGATTCCTTTCGTTTGGCAGATTTTTACCTCTTTGAATGTTTGGAACTGCATTGGTATCCGTTATTATCGTAATTTATATTCACACAATTTTAATATCAAACATGGATTTTCGTATTTACCTGATTTAAAAATGATATGTTGTGATTTGTATTTACACGTTTTTAAAATCTAATATCGGGATCAGGATTTTAAAAAAACAATATCACAATTCTTTTCTTAAATTAGTTATTATAAAGGTGTGATATTCTTCATTAGAAGGTAATATAATTATTAATTTTAGCAAAAATTATGTAAAACATGTGTGCAAATTGAATTTCACACATAAAATGTTTAGGATTTTTCACTTTGTATCACAATCACTGCTGTGTAATGTTAATTCTAGATTTATCCAGAAATTTCATTTAATGTTTGTTTGTCGAATGACATCTTTTTAAACCTTCTAACAGGTTTCTAAAATCGAAAAATTTTAACTTTTTTTAAATGATCAAGTTAACTTTTTCATTACCTACGTTAACTGATTGATTATAGGTATATTTAATTTCACATTAATTTCTTGATATTGATCATAAATAGTAATTGCTTTTTGTGGACAACTATATTAAATAATGATTATTACATGTGTGTGCACTTTATATAAATACCAAAATAGTTGATAATTTTTTTTTTTAGCTGTGATATCAAGCATGTTTGACATAGCACAATTTTTTTCCCCACTGCTTATATGAGTATTTCTACTTTTATATTTACTAAATGACTTTCTTGCAAACTTCAAATACTGAATTATTTTATTTAAAATTTTTCAAATAATATGTATTAGTGAACATAGTAAGTAAAGATGAAGGTTTGGAAAAAGTACAAAAAACTTAAGTAAAACTCTTATTTTTGAGTTAACATTACAATTCAAAAACTTTTCTGCTGTTATGGTGAGTTACTTTGATGAGTTTTATTATCTTCAGGTGAACATTAGTTTCATGACCATAACACACTTGTTTTGTTTATGCTTCAGATGTAGCTTATAATCTTGTTTTATATTTAATGTCATTTGAGTTTGGTATGGTAAATCCAAATGTGCCTCCTAAACATATACAGTAAAACCTCACTACAACAGTATTTTGGGGACCAAATAAATATATTGTTGTAGAGGGATATTTTGTTATATCGTGGGCCTACATACTTTGGGGACACAATGAGATTTTTTTAAATTCAAATGTTACATATGTATTAATTATAAATATATTTATATATTCAGGGGTCTGTCTAGGATTTTCTGAGAGATACCTATTTTATGAAAATGTAGACGTAATTTGTGAAAATTAAAAATTATATTAAAAAATCAACACTAAAATATGGATTTACCGTTTCTTATGGAATACAAAAATAAAATTTTATGAAAAAGTATTTTGTGAAACTACCGTTATTCTTAAAGTTGAATTTGTGAAGGTACCGTTAAACGGTAGTAAATTTGACCTGGACAGACCCCTGATATTATGTAAAAAATTAATTTGTAGAGTGTTAATTATGATTAAATATTGAAAAACAATTGAAATAAATTCTGAAAACAAGATCATAAACATACCTGAAAACTATTTTTCTGAAAATAATCTGGTATTTTTATTTGTTTATTCATTTTTTTAACTGTCAAGTCAACCAACAAAGTATGCATGAAGCCAAAGCACGAAAATGATTTTCCTTTGTGAATGGTGCTCCACCCACACTTTCAGATGCTAATGTGATGCTTGTGGTCATTTGAACCTCATGATCAGCTTTTAACATAAAGGAAATGAAATCTTAAAAGATAAGGGAGGCAATTCTAAAGAATGGAAGCTCTTAGGGTGGTCAGGTTTGAGTCTTCTCTTGTTGGCAAAAGATGATAAAAAAAGATTTTTTTTACATTATTTGAAAATAAATAATGAATGGGGAAGATAAGGTTGAAATTTTGAAAAAAAAATCGTTTTACAGGGGTTTATTGCTTCAGATAATATCATAATATTGAGAGGAGCATGACATTAATTCATATGCAAGTTTGTCAGGACCACGAAGCATCGTAATAAAGGGAGTTATTGTTGTATTGGATATCGTAGTAGCAAGAGTTCACTGTATTTTTTCTTACTTAATTTTTTTTTCTATTAACCCTACCAAATTTTAATTTATAATTTCTTTTAACCTCTTTATTTGTCAAGCATTAAGAAACTTATGTATTCTTAGTATCTGTGTCATTTCTATTAGTTTTTCTGTTCATTTTTTTTTTAGATTGAAATTGTAATAAAAATTTATGTAAAGTGAGTAAAAAAAATCTGACTCAAAATAACTTTTATTCTAATGATTAGATTTTCAAGTACTAATTCTAGGATATAATTTTTTTGATGGTTTAAAAAAAACACTTTAAATATGTTAATTAATAATGCTACCAGTGCATTAAATTACAAAATCAATGCAAAAATATAGGTTTTCTTAATAAAGATTATTTTTTTTTTAAAAAAAAGAATGAACTGATTTGCATTTTGACCTGCAAAGTATGGTTAGTTGCAACAATTTGGAAAACATAACCAAATCTCCTTATCTTAGAGGTGTAGAAAGTTTGACCCCCTTAATTTTATTTCTACTTTTTATGTTTTCCCCCATTTGTCTTCAGAACTAAGTACACAAAAAAAGTTCTTTTATATGTTTTTGTTTTATAACCAACATTGAACATCAAATCCCATTTTGATTTCTTGACTAACAATTCCGTAACTCGCATTTGTATTACATGGAGAGGAAAACCATAAAAATCTCCCATTGTTAGTCTGAGGGCTGGGGGATCCATCTATCGCTTAGGATATTCTGCATCAGCACTGTGGTGGTTGCGAGCCACGAGCAGAATATTTATCAATCAGTCACCCTTGGGATTTGAACCTCGGTTACTTCATTGGGAGGCAAACACTATCCTCTTAACCATGACTCTAATGTTTATAAAACTTTTTTACCCATGAATAATTTTTGTAAAATATAGTTTTTCATAATTATTACTGAGCAGTTTTAGTATATTTATATTATTGGATGACCAGAAAGTAAAAAGAATATAATAGCTGAAGTAACATTTCAAGAATTTTTCTGAAAAGTCAGACTTTAAATAAATTTTGTTTTTATTTCAGTCAATGGCCTACATGGTTTCTGGAAACATGGATAAAGGTTATGTTGACTTTCAACTTGAAGCTGCTATAAGTAAAATCTTTGCCTCAGAAGCATGCTGGTTTGTTGTAGATGAAGCTATTCAGATTCTTGGAGGCATGGGATTCATGAGATCAGCTCAACTTGAGCGTGTCCTTCGTGATACTAGAATTTTTAGGATATTTGAAGGAACTAATGATATCTTGAGGCTATTCATTGCTTTAACAGGTATTCAAAGTGAATAAAATCGTCACTCAGTTTTTTATTTTTAATGAATTAAATCATTTATTTTTTGTTTTTATTTTATGTTTTTAAGATTAGAAACGTTGTATAGTTTATCATTAGTTATCCTTGCATGAAAGAGAACTTAAAGATGGTCATACAAATATTACCTAAGCATGTTTTTGGCTATTTTAGACTTTCTCCTGTTAACATAAGTAACAACAAATCCACTCCAATGCTTATATTGGAAAGTCACCACATTCTCTTGATTTTAGTTTCAACTGTGGCTTTTACAGTAGTAATCTAATTTTAGAATTAAATTCAAATAAAGAATATATCTTTGCACAAAACAAAATTTTTGTTTTAATTCATTTTAAGAAATTTTGAGTATCATACTCTTTAGGAATCTTTTGGGTTTTTTGACAGTCATCAGCATTCTTGACCTTTGAAACACATCCTTTCTTTTAATATTTTCTTTTTATAAGTTTTTTGTCACATTTTTTAAAATAATATTTAAAATTTATTTGAAAATAAATTATTTGAAAATAATGTAATTTTAATATCTTACACAAGCGTTTTTTTTTAAAAATTTTATTTTATTACCGCCATTGAATAGCTGACCCAATTCTGAGTTTACGATTATCAATGTTCGACTTCGTAGCTTTGTAATTTTGAACACAAAACCGAAGACAAAGGAGCTCCTGGACCTAGCAGTGGGACAAACCAGCCTTCGCTGAGGACTTTTTGATGGAACTAAATTGCATTTGCGTTACATGGAGAGGAAAATAGAGTAAACCTTTCATAACTAACTCGACGGTAAAGGGATTCTAACCTATAATTTATCTACCACTGTGGATATTTTATGTTAATACTGTGACTGGTGAAAACCGAGAGCATAATTTGTATTGATCAACCAGTAATGCTATTCAAACGCGGGTCACCTCATTAAGAGGCAAAGAAGAAGGGCCATGGCGGTTCTTTCATAAGCATTTCTCATACTCCTATCCCTTTATTGGGAAAATTAAGGAAATCACAAACTTTACCCTATTAGGTGCTTAATATTTAAATGGCCCCTTAAGGTCACATTGTAATAACAATCTTTTGTTTTTTGTTGATTTTTTTAGGATTACAGCATGCTGGTGGCCATTTGAAAGAGTTGCAAAAAGCTTTGAAGAATCCAACAGCAAATTTAGGTCTTATTCTTGATGAGGGTGCTAAGAGAGCAAAAAGAGTAATTGGTCTAAGCAGCCCCCCATCCCTCTCTACTCACATTCATAATGATTTAAGTGACTCTGGTGTTTTGGTAAATACTATTTTGATTGCTTGAAATTCTCTCAGGGATATTATGCAAGGCATTTTGTTTATCTTATGTTTGAACATAATTCATTTATCATTATTCTTATTCATTTATCATTATTTTTTTTATCATAATTCGTTATGTAAGAATATTTTGAAAGACAAAAATGCATACATAATCTGATATGATCTCAAAAATAAAGTATTGAGGTTCTAACAAATCAATTGATTAACGTTTTATAAGTGAACAGGTTTGTGCATGTTATCTTTGACGAGAAAAATGTGGCAGCTGGTTTTAACAGTACACTTAAAATAATCAGAAAAATATGCTTGAAGAAGACTATTAACTTTAATAAGTAATAGTGTTCTTCCTCTGATATCAAATTTTTAGTTTAAGCCAATTTATATTGATGTATTTACTTCTAAACAGACAAATGTTAGTAATTATTTTAAATGTAAAATCTATTTGCATGCAGAATTTCAATCAATGCATAGTTTACTTAAGGAATTTAACTATGTCTTATGGCCAAGTCACCTAATTTTATTTTTCTATCATATTAAACTTTCTCTTTATAAATTAACTTCATATTTTACTATTTTTTTAATGTTAATTTTTTTCTGATTTTTCTCTCTTAAATAATATTTGTTTATTGTTAGTATGTTAACTTTTTTCAATGTAATGAAATTTCTGCCAAGATGTGATATTTATTTAAAATATTATTTAAACTTTTTTTGCTATTTAAGATAATATTTTAAAAGTATTGTTATTTTTTTGCTCATGATTTTATATATTTGTGTGTAAGTCAGTATAAAAATAAACTTTCTTTTTTAAGGCTTCTAAGTGCATTGAAAACTTTGGCCTGGGTGTTGAAGATTTGCTAGTGAAATATGGAAAAAACATTATCAGTAAGTATTTTATTCTTAAAATTATGCCCAATAATTTAATTTTAATAAAAGTTGGAAAATGTGTTATGTGTGAACCTAAATCAATCAGTTTGTATTTACAAATTATAACTTATCACATCCTTAACTATGTGGGAAAAAAGCTGGTGGCAGTCAGTTTTAATTTCCCATTTTATGGCATTCAATGCGAATTAGTGTTTCTTAGAAACTTAATTTACTTCTGGGTAAATAAATATTGTCAATAGTAAAAAAAAAAAAAAGGTATAATAAAGGTTATAGAAGTGGAATATCTATCCACATGTTGCCACTTTTAAAAGTAAAATAGCCTTTAGAAATTTTTTGTTTTAAAAAAATAATCTTAACCGAATTTCAAAAGTGGAAAGAAAACAAACATAGCTTGGAAGTCAAGTTTTTTGCTTCGCAAAGATATCTATAACTATGTACTTTTAACGATAACATCTTTTCACTAGCATGAAATACAAGTAGAAATATTAAATGATTCTTTAAAATCTTAAAATCACCACCTTATATTTATCAGTTCTATTTGTTTTTTCTGTTTCTTTTGTTTTTTATATTTATCAGTTCTTTTTGTTCTTAAAATCATCGTTTTAATCTGTGATGACCAAATGAATTTTAAATCATTTTTCTTAAACCAAATCTTTACATGTATACAGGGTGATTCTAAAAAGATGGGCAAAATTTTAGAAAGTGATAGTACACACCCAAGCAAACAACTTTTATCAAAGAATGTATGGTAGAAAACAAAACGCAAAACCGCTAGATTGCGTCAAAGTTTATGTTCTCACATGAGGCAAAAACACATAAAGAGGCAAAAACGATAAAGTTAAGTTATCAAAGCAAATTTAATGGCATGTGATTACAATAAGTGTTCAAAACAGTGGCCGATAGCAGCTATGCACGCAGTACAACGGCGAAGATTCTGAAACACACCAGGCATATCACGAACTTTCCCTGCAGCGGCCGAAAGCTTGGCAACAAGTAAAGCAGCACAGTAACTCGCAACAGGAATGGAGCTTTCACGTTTGCATCAAACAACTTTCCAAATGCGCCAGCACCTTTGCGTTTTGTTTTCGACCATACATTCTTTGATAAAAATTGTTTGCTTGGGTGTGTACTATCACTTCCTAAAATTTTGCCCATCGTTTTAGAATCATCCTGTATAGTGGTAAGTCCCATATTCAGAATTGTCAGAACTTCGGCAAGTATGTGAAATAGATTTTTTCGATTAATTGGTCTTTAAGGTAAACAAATATCAAAACTTCCTTATTCATTACAAAATAACAAATAGAAATAATTTCCAATTCAAATAAAAATAGAAATAATTTCCAATTCAAATAAAAATTAAAATCATTTCCAGTCAAACACAAATACACGTGGTTTGCGTGGTTATTGTCATTATAACATACCACCAATTCCAAATCACACATTTCAGTTAGTAATCATTTCTCAATCCATTCAATTCACTACAATTCCACGGTAAATCTGCATGGTTTTGTTGATTGTTTTTTCGATATTTATTAAACTCTGGTCTTTCGGTATTTATTAAACTGTTTTCACTTTGTTTCTAAAATCTCAATGTTTTAATAAAATATTATTTTGTTTAGCGAATTTCCAATCACCAATTTCAAATTTAAATATTTAGGATTCATTTACGATTGCATTTTTTGTCAGTTATCGCTACCGATTTTCATGGTTTTTAATGCTATATTATCATACGCAGGAAATTTTGAATCTTGCATTTATGGAATTAATTTTTAATGCGCTCGATATGTGACGATTTTATTGTCCATGTTTCTTTGTCGATTGCATTTTCAGATTTCCGCATAACTGTTCAGATTTTTTTTTATTATTTTTTTTATTTTTTTAAATTAGCCTGCATTATGAAAGCTTTTCTCATTTAATTTTAGTAGATGATATTTTTACACAAATCATGCTTTCTTTAATTTTTTAGACGAGCAATTTTTGCTGAATCGCTTAGCGAATTCTGCTATTGACATTTACTCTATGATAGCTGTATTGTCCCGAGCAACTTCTTCCATTGAAAATAAATTACCATCTGCAAAGAATGAAACAAAGTTTACAAATCTTATATGCCAAGAGGTAAGATAATCCTTTAGATTTATTGTAATTATATTATTATTTTAGTAAAGTATTTGTTTTAAAGTTGTTTTATAATTAACTTTCTAATTAAATTGTTTCATTTTTTTAAAAAAAATATTTTGACATTTTAATGCTTAAAATTTTATTAATTTAGACTGAGTTCTTGTTCAAAACATGGTTACTCCGAATTTTACTTTTAATTAAGAAAAGTTTTAACAAGTTGTTTTAAAGCACATATTTATCAACATATGAGTATATTATGTATGTGTATGTATGAGTATGAGTTCAGATCATGAAATTATAAGTCTAAAGGTATTAGTGACTGAACTTTTCACTTGCCACTATTTTTACGAAAAATATGAAAAATTTTAACAGATGTTGTGTAAATACTTGTTTGGTGACCAAAACCATAACCTAAGACCATTGACTGAAAAATAGAAACACTTATTGTAAAGTAATAATAATATTAACTTAAAATAAGGTTGGCATAAGGTCCTAATTGTTTTAATATAATCCACATATCATTAAAAGTCATTTAAATGAGAAAAACATCTGAAAATTGAAATTTTAAAAATTATTACCATGCTTTAAACGTTTCATGTTTGTATGTTGCTGTCTTTTGGCATTATATCTCTTGTCAATTGCAGGGTTGTCAAGTTTTTGACGCATGATGGTGTTTCCTGTCATTTCAAAAACTCAGATCTTTGATTGTATTTTCACTTTATTTCAACTAATTAAAATTTAAACATAGCGTGCAACTTTATCTTAAAGCATTAAATTTTTAAAAAGAGTTATGAAAGATATTTGAAAGAAAATGGTTTAGATTATTAATAAAAATATTATATATTTTTACCGCTAGGCAACGAAAAGTGTGCAAAACTCTTCACTTGATATCTCGTGCTTCGACAAATTAATCTTGATTATTATAAATGCCATTTTGGCATGGATGTTTCTTTCTCTCTGTGATGTCCTTTCTCCTTTGGGTATGAATGTAACCCGCCCTATAAACGGGTTTGTGGTTGTGTGATGTGGGCAATGCTGCTTCTCCACAGGTGCCTACTGGGTAACGAGAAGAGAGTAAGCAGTTCTGGCATTTTCTGAGTGCCCGCCATTAAAAAAAAAAGTTTACATGCTTATCTTCATTCAGAAATAAAAACCTATTGAATATCTCAATTTATGCTAGAAGATTAAAAATTTATATATTCCTTTCCTATTGACATCTTTTAGTGTTTCTTTATAATTTGTTATTTTAAGGTATTTTACTTTCATTTTTTGATGTATATGCCGTGCTGCAATGTTAAACTATATATTGCTATTGTTCAGACAAGGGTAATATTTTTTTTTCTTCGGCGACGGCTCTGTGGAGTTTTATGAAGTTAATGAAACAGATTTTAAGCCAACCTCACCAGGTTTGGCTTTTAAAAATTCTCAGTCTGAATTCGGTTCTATACAGTATTAAAATCTTTCATGCATATTTAAAAATATTTGACATTGTCAGAATTTTCAAATATATCGTTTAAAAAAGTATTGTATTGTTTTCTTTTTCATACAAAAAATATAAGTAGACATTTCATATTAATAAAGACTTCACTTTTAAATGACATTAATTTCGATCTAATTCTTTATTCTAGGCATCTGAACGAGTACATCAAAATTTAGCAGTTTTAAAATCATCATCAAAACTGGAAAACTTCAAGGTGATGAGCTCCCTTTCTTCTGACATGGTAGAGTTTGGAGGAGTGGTCCATAATAATCCATTGAATCTGTAGAATTTATGCATTGTACAGAAAAAGTATTTTATATCTATCCTGCACATAAAGACATTGTTTGTGGAGCCATATGTAAATATCCAAATATAAAAGTCTGTGTGATATTGTAAAATGTAATTTAAGTTTGTACCACCTTTATACATTTTAAGTCATTCACATATAACTTGCCTTGGTGTATCTTAAAAAAATTTAATTGCTTGCATTATTATAATAATTTTTTTTTCACATTTTATTTAAAGTTATTTATTTATTTATATTTTTAATAAGACCTATTATTGAAAACAAAAATTTTAAAATTTCTCAGAGTTATAATTTGTGTTTTCTACGCCTGTATATTCTTGTAATAAATACTTAAAATCCACCTTGACTATCTGTGGTTTAATTTGAGACTATGCAAATTAAAAATATTCAGACTGTTTATTATTTTCTTGAAAGTATATTCAATTTATTATGTCAGCTAAGTGAAAATGTTGTTCTTTATCCCTTTATAATTCTCAGTTGTTCAATTTTAATGAAGCTAATACCATCTTTTCTTTTATGTGTATTATGTGAAAAATTACAATTAAATTAAAAAGAAACTATTTCCCAATATCAAATTTTAGCTTATAACTAATATGCAATATTGCACAAAGTTAAAGTATGATTATTACATGCCACTGGGCTGTGTAGTGAAAAAGAATTCTTATGTTATCAAAAAGATTTTTATAGTATACTGGGTGGTGTCCAGTAAATGTTGCAACATACTTCTAGGGGAAATAGGGCACATCATAAGGATTAAGAACTACTTATGAAACCATGAACAGAAATGTCATCTTGTGCTGCTTGGGGCGTTTTTTTATTATGAGCATGTTGTTGTGTGCCTTTGAACTTCTGTTCTAATTTTTCCAAAATATTTAAATTTTAAGTTACTACTATTGGTAATTGTTGGGAGTGCCATTGAAATAGGCTTAGAAATGCCGTTTTATTGTAAATTAGTGATTGGACAAGCTTGTCCAGTTAGTCCCCAAATCATTAAATTCTGATTACTGTATCTATTTGAAAGCAGTTTTTGACAGTAATAGGAAACAAAAAATTAAGATAATTTAGCTAAATAAAAGAAGTACCTGATGTTTAAAGGCACATGATGCAAGAGTTAATAATAGGCAAGCGCCCTTAATGGCATACGATAACATTTCCGGTCATGGTTTCCTAGATAATTTTTAATCCTTATGATGGGCCTTATTCCCCTAGAAGTTTGCTGCAACATTTACAGGGCACCCTGTATAAAATGTTGAACAGGTTTGCAAGGGGCTTGAGATTTGATTGGCATTGCAATTTTTTGCATATTTTCAGGTGGTTCTGGCATGCTTTTTATTTTTTCATTAAATAGTCAACATGGAATATTCAAGAAAGCAAATTGTACCAGACGGCATTGTTACAGAGTTAGCTTTTAAAAATAAATTAATTTTCCTTTAGAAATTATTGTACAGCATTATTTCAAAATAAATAAATAAAACACAAGGTCGAAACTTGCTTAATTTTTCTATGATTTTTAGGAAAGCTTGCGTGAAAGTTGACAGGCGAACTCAAATTTCTATGCTGTGTATAATGCCTAATGTTAAGTATTGTATTTATATTACATAATTATCTTTGAAACAAATATACATACCTACCAACATTGGACAAGTAAACATATATATTATATATCCGCTGTTGAACAGCCAACCCAATTTTGGGTTTACGACTAGTAATGTTCAACTCCGTAGTTTCTCAACTTGTAATTTTGAACAAATCCCCGGAAGTTGAGGACACTCCTGGAAAAGTACCCTCAGAGGTATATGTTCTGGGAACATGGAGGAATTTTTGACTAGGCAGATTTAACCTGCATCAATAACCATTTAATACACGGGGAGTCTTCAGCCGGCGGAGATCAAACTCACGACCTCTTGGCCATGGGTTCAGTGCCTGACCAACCAGGCTATCCCGGCCCTAAACAAAACTTACAAAATCGAATGGTTATGAAGTCAAAGACCTCAGGTACCACCACCTAAGATCTAAAAAAAAAAAAACTAAATTTTGAGCTCAGAATTTTGTAAAAACTTATGTGAAAGCAGACAGGCGAACTTTAATTTCTATGGTGTATAATGCCTAATGTAAAATGTTATACTATATATATATTATACTTAATATAATAATAATAAACTGTATCATCATGAAATTTTCCTGACTTTTTTAGAACCATAACCCATTTAAAAAACATTAATTTTTTTTAAAAAATTTGCTAGTTTCTTAATGAATGATTTGATTTTTTAAATTTATTTAATGAAAAAGATTAATGTTTTATTAATTTACTATGAATTTTTTTAAAATCGAATTGTATTTCATAGTGGTTCTTTGAATGTTTTTAAATCATTTGACATGTAAATAGACCTTTAGTCACCGACTTTTAATCGCAAACCACGACCACAGATTTTTTCTTCTTCTTTAAATATAGAAACGGCCACCGAAATTATGATGTCGACATATTTTAATTGTAAAAAAATAACATTAAAGTTTTTTTTATTTTTACGAATCAGCCCCCAATCTGCGACTCCAAATGAAAGTGCGTCAGCATAGACGTAGCCTCAGGGGGCAAAATATTTTGCCAAAATGCAAATTTTTCTGCAGTTGATTGCATAATTAAAATAAACTTTTTTTAATAACAAAAATTAAGATAATTACATCCACTATTGTATTTTTTATTATTAATATCTTTTCCCGCTTAGTATTTTTTTAAAATACTTGGTTTGACTTATTCCAATGCGTGTATCAAAGATAAAAAGTTACTTTTATAAAGATAACGAGATTTTAAATTATTGACTTAATAATCGTCTGCTGTAAGAAGCTATTTGGGAATTTTTGTTCCGTGTATAATTCGTGGGTGCTGGTAAAAGCAGCATTTTAAAAAAGCAGGTGAAGTGAATATCAGTCTTATGTTTTAAAAGGATAAAAGGAGTTGCTGATTACTAATTAAGACTTCGGTAGTGCACCCATTTTCTGGAATGTACTCTTCATTAACTTTGATCACTCAAAACAAGATGGTTTGTTTCATTTAAAATTTGAATTTTACCACTCTTAAGGAAAAATTTTTAAGAATCTGCTCTTTCACCCCATTAAAAAAATTGCATTTCTTTTAACCCTTTGTATCACCGCGTTACATATCAGTAACATACATGAAAATTCAATCCTATAATGAGGTGGATTTACCTATAAAATCGAACTTAATTCAGGTAAAGAAATTATTGCAAACTCGGGGGAACCAAGTCTTGGTGCAGCTGCCAATATTATAATGCATTTAGTAAGAATTGTTCCACGACATAATTGCAGGATATAAAATTTTTTTTACAACAATCCCCTTGATTGTATATTTGGCTAAGGAGGGATTGAAAAATGTGGTGTGAGACCTTGTTACCATAAAAACAACAATTTCAAAATTTTTCACATAAAGTTTTAAATATATTGGAATTTTTGTGCTATTTTTCACGATATTGGAGATGTTCAACAAATGCTTTTTAGCAATAAATTTTTAATTTTAAGGTCTTAATTTTTTCATTAGTTTTTACACGCTTAATATGATGCATTCTAACATTCGCGTAAATATTTCTTAAATCAGAGTTGTTGAGTTACAAAGGGTTAAGGTTAGTGAAATATTTTTATTTTATCGCATAATTGCAATTCTGTACTCCATTGTGTTATTAAAAAAATTGTAGAATCAATAGTAATATTTGCATTATCATTAAATTTACACAATTTCTAGACAATCAAATGATTTTGAAGTTATAGACCATTATTATTTCTAAGTTATGGTATGCCTCCTCCTTTGCACCTATTTTAATGATGAAGCATAAAGAATTTGGTGAAATATGAGTAAAATAACTATATAAGAATATTGCAATCACAGGGGTAATTTTTGGAAAAATTAAAAAACGTTAATTGATTCTTCGAAAAAAATTTTTTCACGAGAAAGAATTATTTACAAAATAGTTATTGTTAAAACGGACCATTTACAAATTTTTAATTGTAAAAAACGGTTCCTTCAAAAAAAAAAAAATTACTGATTACAAATTTAGTTTAAAACAAAAACGCTTTGAAAGATTTTTTGTTGTTTCTTTTCTCATAAAAAGAAATCTTATTTTCAATTACTCAAAAAATTATGAATAGACTTTTCACAGAAAGTTTGAGCTTCTAAATTTTTGTAATTTTTTAAAAAATTAAAAAAAATCAGGACCTTAATTTTTACGCAATTAACAAATTAAATAGATCCCTTTTGATTTCATGAAAATAGACCTTTTACAAAAAGCTTGGAATAACCCCTGAATTACAGTTATTAATAATTCAGAGATAATATAATTAATCAAGATCATTGTTACCTGTGATTTTAGTACAGTATTAGTTGTAGCTACATTTACAATTGAAAAAGTAAATTATGATTATTTGTATTCATGATTACCAGAAGACATTGACATTTTGCCCACTTTTGGAGCTACAGACTTGTTTATTAATGTTCATTATATACTAGATTCACCGACTGATTTTTACAAGATTTAATTCCATAAACAATATAACATTCTACAGACTAAAATCAGAAAAATATAAGCTTAATAACTTTATTAAAGTACAATACAAAAAAAAAATCTACTAAATTTAACAAACAAAACTGCTGCATTGTATTTTTTCAACTAGAAGTTGAGTACAGTTTTTGTAAAATCAAAATTATGGATTCCATGTTCCAGCTTCTTTCCTTCTTTCATAAATCATTCTGTGTTTTTGTTTCATGTATGCATATTTAACATGGGGAAAAGCACCAAGATCACCATCTGAAGGAACAAAGAGATAAGTGATTTTTTTTTAATAAAAAATAAATTAGATAAAACAAAATACAAAATATGTATAATAAATACAGAAATGTGCTTTTTTTTTTCTTCAAATCTGAAAATCAAGAATAAAAAGTGTAGATTTTGTTTATTAACAAAAATCACTCTCATTAACTAATTTAAACAAGATTTACTATTGTAGTGTTAACTAATCCGAACACAAATTACCATGTCAAAAATTCAAAAAAATTTTTTTTTTTCAAACTGACATTATATGCTTAATCATAAGGAAGAAATGATGGATCATGCAACAAACACACAATGAAATGCTGTTCATTGCATATTTTGAGTTTGCAGCATCAATTGCAAATTTTCGTTTCCTTGGCCTACACATTTTAATAATTCCGATTACTTTTTTATGAGCTTAAGATGACCAAAGGATAATAGACACTGTATTATAGTGACTCTGTCAAGAACACACCGGGATTGAAAATTTTAAATATGCAACAAAGCTAGTAAAGTTAACATAGGAGGACATCTTTCAAAAATCCATTTCACTCATACACTTCTAAGGTGTGTTGTCTCTTACATTAGATTAAACTCAGTTCAATGTGGAGTTTAAGGGTACAAAATAGAATAGACTGTGTCAATTAATATAATATCTATACAGTCTTGTAACACACATAGAAAAAATGTGAATATAAATTTTTTTAAATTTAATTTTGAATTAAAATTTTAAGAGTTTTGTTCGGACATCCATTGTAAATAGAAAAAGAATTCTATGGTATGCTGGGATGTACAATTGCCAGTAAAGTAAGTGGTTTTTTATCATAATGTACAGCACACCAAAATTGTAAAAAATATGTTTCGATTCCTCCTATCTTCCTTTAAGATGAACTTTAACTAAATTTTGACAAGTCTGATTTAATCAACTTTTAGACAGGCCCTAAAATTACACAATTGTTTTAAAAAAAATAATTTTTTGTTGCAAAAGTAAGGAAATAGCTAGATTTATCATTGGTATCATCAAAAACTATTTATACAGTATTAAATATATCAATTTCTAATAACAATTGAAGATCAAGGGGGGAAAATGATTTATGTCTATGAAAGCTGAAAAAATTATTTATCAAGGTTTGAGAGTTTTCAGAAGCAATTAAACGATTAAAATCGCAAAAATAAAAATATACATGAATGTCATAAGTATTCAATTACATCCTATAAAAATTTCAAAAATTGAATTGAACAAAAGCTTTTCCCCCTTAAAATTTCTTCTCAATCAATATTTTCAAACTATTACTCCAGTTCTCTTATATATCATCATGATACTTTTCTTTGTTTTTCTCGTCTACTCGTGAACAAGAATCGGTTTTCTCCGCACAGCCCATCTTCACAGGAAAAATAAATTTTCCACGTTACTAATTAGTAATCCTCAAAATGCAACAGATGGCGATTCAATAGTCATTTTCATGATAAATAGACAAAAACTGTTCTTCCCCTTGATCTTTAATTCCTTTAAGATTTAAATTTTGCACTTTTAACCAAGTTTTGTCAAGTCTGCTTCAATCTATTCTAAAACTGGTATGTAATGCAAAATTGTACTATAATCGATTCAAAAAATCAATTTTTATTGCAAAAGCAAGGAAATTGCTAGATTTAGATTTGGTATCATTAAAAATTTATTTATTTATTATATTATTATTAATAATTCAATAATAAATAAAAAATCATTATTAAAATATTTGTTTCTAATTATAATTTCAAGTAAGATTTAGGCTTTGAATGTTGCACTTTTAACAAAGTTTTATTGAGTCTGCTCTAACTAATTCTACAACAGGCATGTTACCCAAAATAACACTTCAATTATCAAAAAAAAGTTTTTGTTGCAAAAATATATAAATTGATAGCATTGGTATAATTAATAAATAATTTATTTTCACTAAAAATAATTGATTATTATAATTCTTAGTACACATTTGAGTTGTAAATAATTTGAAAAGAAACTAAATGTTAGTTACGAAATTCGTTAAAAATAAACTCTCCTTTTAAAAGAGTTGTTCAAATCAATATACTCCCATATTTTGTAAGTTTTACCTTCATGCAAATAGTAGTAGGAATAAAAATAAATAAAAAATAGCAAAATATAAACTTAAAGGCTAATTTACTCAAACTGCTTTTATAGCAAAATTGATTTTTTTAGAATTAAAACTTAAAAGTTTTTATTTTAATAAGATATGGCAAAATGTGATAGTTATATTACTATTTAAAATTACTAACTTTAAAATATGGTCCGATACATTTTTTAGTCTAAATCAGGTAATTTTTAAATAAGACTTTTAACTGTACTGATAATTAGGAAAAAGTTAATTTTCATTAAGTTTAATGCTAACAAAAACTAGGTATTAATTATTTTTTCTTTTAAAACTTACATTTAATGAAATAATTAAGAGATGCTTCCTCAAAATCATCAAACATTTTCTTGCAACGCTCATGTCTTTCATGACCCTCATATCTGACACATTCTGTTCTTCTTCTGTTAAGAAGATTAAGTATGCTTGCATCTAGATTTCTAAAAAGAATATTACATTTATTTTACAGAAGAGTACATTTTCATATAAGTTTCATTTTAAACTTTAAAATGACACAATATAATAAAACTATGGATATGTTTTTCCTTTACACTTTCATTTAAACATACAGTGTCTGTCACCTATTTGAATAACATTCATTATTAGGACATTTACTTTTATTAAGCGGTTGAGTTTACAAAATTGGAAAATCAACACAAACAAGGAAAATTAAAAGCTTTTGAAACTTTTTACATGTTTGAAAATACAAGGTATTAAAATACTAGCATATTGTCATTAAATTAGCTGAATTTTAAATAAAGAATTCAAATTTTAGCAATAAAAGTTTTTATAAAAGTTTCAATAATAAAAGTTATTTTAATTTTCACCCTTACATCAAGCATTAATAATAAATTTAAACACATATTGAATTCCTCCTTGACACTCAAATCTTGCCATTTAGTAAGGCATACTGCCAACTTAAAATGAAAAGATAAACCAAATTAAAAAGATAAACTTCAACTTTATTTGTAATTGAATCATAATACGACAAAAAACTGGTTCAAAATTGTTCTTACATACAATATACATTCTGTAAGTGATTTTATCATATTGAATACATTGTTGTATGACATTGTCATCAATTATCACAGATTATTATTTTTTTTTACTGAATAATGCATGTTATGTTTGTTTACCTTAAAGACCTATTATGGGAAAAAATCTAATTTCCAGAGTTGCCGAAATCCAGTCGATTTCAGATAATGGTGTGTAATACCATTATGTAATTTTTTCAAAGTTTTTCATTGCTTCAATAGGAAATATGCTAAAAGTATTTTCTGTATATAACTGTCACCATGTAACAGCAATATTGAAGTGGAATGTTTAAAATTGCCTATAATTAACTGAAATCATCATAATTTTAATTATGAACAACAAATATAGTAAATCATAATTTAAAAATGATAATTCACAGTTGAACATACTTGTCTCGCTTAAACTGCTCTTGAGCTTCATAAATGCAAGAAATATCATTTTCATAGCATTCATCAATAGTTGGAACTCTGTTATATTTTCTGTGGTAGTATGGGTAAACTTTTTGATTGGGCAATACAACTTTCTCTGCATAAAGAAAGAAAAAAAAATATTACCTACATTTATAAATAAAAAGTAACTTACATATATTTCACACATAATTTACACCACAAATATTAGTTTGATCACCTCATTATTAAACATTACTTCCATTTTTAGTAATGTAGTACACTCATTGCTACAGCTGCATTGACAAAAGCACTTATCTATTAATGTGAACATTGACTGAATAGTTGAATACAAAAGTTAAATAATTTAAAACTTTTCACTTCTCGAGAACTATACAAACATTATTAATGATTGCACAGAATTTAAGAATTTTCAAACTTTTTAATAAATTTTTTTCAATCTTTTTAAAATTAATTAAAAAAATAATAAATAAACATTCTTAATTATTTTTAATGCGAAATTATCTTTTATTATTGAGTGCAAAAAGTTTTGGATTCGATTAAATAATTTCAGATCAGAGATGTGAAGAAATATGCGAGAACATTAAGAGATTAAAGTTTTTGACAGTTCTCTTTATTAAATTAATATTTGCAGCAAAGAAAAAAAAACTTTTTTGTGTTAAATTTGCACACATTACATTTTTAATGCAGGAACTTCGAACCATCTTAGTACAAGAAAATTTGATGGAATGTTATCAGTGTGCTTTTTTTTGTGCACTTTCAATTAGTATTTTGAATCATAAAATTACAATCAAGCAAAACAATAGCATTACCTCTAAACCAAATACAAGGTCTATCAATCAAACTATATACATATCCCATAAAATTAATGAGTGTGTTTCTTGTTTCCTGGGATGGACCATTAAAGAAAGGTCTTCCTGGCAGTTCATCCTTCATTTCTGTGTATTGCATAAAAGAAAAAGGCATTTTAAACATATGCTAATTTAAACAAGAATTACATATAATAAATAAAAGAAATAGCAAATTTTTAAGATTGTAAATAACATTTCAGTAAATTAACTTCAAAATGTTTACACATTTAGAATTTTAATTTGTTGCCAAAAGATAAATTATTAAATAAAAATATTAAAACTACATATAAGACGGCAGAAAATCAAAATATGTTAGAAATTTATCTTTTTGAATATTTTTAATAATTTAGAGTTTGTTGCCATTAACTGTAAAGATAGATCTTGTTGATTTTAATAAAGTTGCCATTTTAACAGCATTTTTGCCCCACCCACAAACCCGTAAGAACCCAGATCCAAATGTTTTTTTTTTTATAAACATAATCCAAATCTGCCCTTACATCAATTATTTTTTATTTGTCTTATAAATATTAATACACAAATATGCATAACCCTACCTTCAAAACGTAATGCATTTAGATAAATATGTATATAACTTAGAATTAATACAATGATTTTTCTTGCTTATTATTAAGAAAAACCACTTTTTTGGACAATAATTTGAGCTTTCTTAATGTTATTTGTTTCGAATTGAACAGGTGCAGAGCACAGGCTGGAATAACTTTTTCTTTTATCTCCTTAATAAATTCAGCTTTCAAATAAAAATAAAATAAGCATACATAAATATCTAAATAAAATATTAAAAATATAAATTTTTTAATTCTTTTCAGAAGATTAATTTTGTTTCAGAAAATATTCAAATGGATGGATTAAAATATTTTGAAAGTAGTTATATTTTAATGCTACAAAATAATAATTTAAATATAAAAATCCATTAACTTTTGAACCATGATAAAATACTGAATAATATGCAATTAACGTTAGCTATTTTTACATAATAAAATTTTATTTAATAAAAGTTTACATGATTGTTTAATTATTTTGATGATCAAAACAAAACTGATTGTAAATACATAGTTTAAAAAGCAACTGAAAAAACTATTAAGAAAATTGTTAAACAAACAGTAGTTATGTCTAGTTAGTTTTCATGCAAAAGACATTATTTTAACAAAAAAAAAAACTATAACTTAAATATTTAAGAACAAATAAATAAAGCAGGAAACAGTACATTTCTTTGACTAGAAATAAAAGCATACTATTGGGGTCAAAGAAGAAATTTTCCTATGAAAATTTTCTTTTAATATATCTAGGTAATATCAGAAATCTTAATCTAGGTAATATCTGAAAAAACCCAATCAAACCCCCAACCAGGTTTGTTTTCTTAAACTCAGAAGTTTTTTGATAAAAATTTTCTCAAAAAAAAAAAAACATCTTCTAAACAATAAAAGTGATTTTTTGTAAAACACATTTTTGTTGTGAACTAATTTTAAAAAAAAAAGTTATAATACAAAGCTATTTTCAGAGATATTTCCATATCTGTTTGCGCCAACTGAAATTGTCAAGATCTCAAAGGGATTTTAAATTTGCAAAAATTAAAAAAAAAAAAGGAAAAGAATAATGTTTAAGTTGGTTAACAAATGGGTGGGTATGAGTTATTCCTTTGGACCCCTATTGGGCTTGTAAGATAAAACTTAGAGAATATTACTGAAAGAAATCTTCCCCTACACTTTGTAAATACACACAAAACAGTATTAAGAAAGAAAAGGTTTAGAAACGCTAAAAGTAAAAGATTAAGGTGTAGTGCTTAGAAAAATTTCCGAGGGTTTTAATAAGTTCAATAAACTAATAATTCAGCATTTGCGTAGTTTATTTTCAAACAATGGATTTAAATTAGGAGTAAATTAATAAGAATAATCTAATGTTACAATTTTCAACTGATAGAGAACAATCTACATACATTAAATACACAGTTATTGTTTTTACATTATAATGTCGAGAAAGATTTTAAATTGTCTAAAATATATATCTAATTCACTTAGACGAGTATTTTTTCTTATTTCCTCAGTCAAATTCTGTATAAAGCCTGATTATATTACAGCATACTTTTTGACCTTGCACATGAAAACGTAAACATTAGTTTAGAGCAAGAAAACTATTTATAAATAATTAGTGTCAAAAGCACTACAAGGTGGAATTGAAGTGCATACAATTAAAAACTTTTCTATTACCTGATTCCTATGTATTTATAAGTTAAATATTAAATTATTAATATTTTTAAAAGCATCCAAAACTAGAAAACAGACTATAAGGACTTTTGTTTGGATCAGATGTTTGAACACAACAGCTTTTGGCTGACTATATTTGTCCGTTTACAAGTTAAAAATTTCAAGGAACTGTAGTCTGTAGCCGAGAGGTATCAGCTGAATACTTAGAAACTTGAAGGGTCATTCTTACTGCAAACAATTTACACAATTCCGATGGCCATCAAGAAAAAATAAGAAACTGATTTTCTCTCAAAGCTTTGCCCTCTTTTTTCTCTCAAAAACGATCGGGACGTGCAAGAATCACGTGCGTTGAGAACTGTCTCTGAAACTTGCAGATGCCACCCAGAAGGTGCACTTTCAGCCCTTCTTTTGTCCCTTTTAAGAAATGTTTAGAAACCAGAATGTTAAGAAATTAAATGTACCACAAGCTGCTCTCACATGTGCAAATCGCACTGATGTACGATCTCATACGCGAATTGCACGCAGTGAGACTGCTCCTTCAAGAATGCTGGGCAGGATAAAAATTGGCCCACCTATTTTAGACAATAAAATTAGCCACTAACATCGTGATAGTTTTTATCGCTTAAAATAATATTTTAGATCTATAGTTTTAAATTGTGAAATACCTCATATAAAGGATGCGGTTCGGTACTTTTAATTACTTGCACTTGAGCTGCCCTATGGGCTATTGGCGACTTTCTAAGGAACATCCCTGAGGATGATCTGGAGATAACGTTCCATCTCGTTTTAGAGGTAGGACATATTCACACACCATTCATCCGTACATCGTTATTCCTAAACCAGAACAGTATCCTAAACCAGAACACACTAAATCTCCGAACCAGTACCTCCAGAGGTATTTGTTATGTAAAATGGATTTTGTGACCCCGACAGATTTAGTGTGCATCAGTCACCATTTTGTACACGGGGAGTCTTCGGCCGGCGGGGATCTAACTCAGACCTCTCAAACATAGACCCAATGCCCTACCAGTCAGGCTATCCCGGCCCTACCTCGTATAAAGATAATACAGATTGCTTTATTATGGAAGTGCATTTTCTCGACCGAATTTCTTGGTTCCTCTAGTTAAAATTTTGTTTCAATATTTACCTTGTAATTTACAATGGTTAAAAAGCTATCTTTGTACTAAGCACATATGAATGCATAAATATATGATATAGTAGTGTATCTATCACTACAAAAATGTAATTCCAATTCACTAGTATATAAGACATGTTAACTCGATTCCATGGTGGGATACCTTTTCATAGATGAAGGTTGACATGGTCGATGTGACTCTCCCCACATTGATGACCTTCGGACGTGATGTGAACATGCCTATCTTGACAACGCCCTCTTCGATTTGAACACGCCTACTTCGATGGATGTTCCACATTGAACAGTTGACTTGCTACTTGTAACTGCGACATTATCCACCTCCTCGCACTGTTGCTTCTCAGTCTCTCTCACACACAACGTATACACTCGACTGCTAAAGGCAACAAAGGTGCGACCACGACAGTGAACTTAATACAGCTCTCATGATCAGCATTCCAAAGTACGGTGATAGTCAAAGGTGATACAAAGATACGACAAAGAACGGCTCTCCCGGCTTTTCACAAAAAATAGCAATGAATCAACTAGTGGTATCCATTCATCGAATTCTATCGCAGATATAATTCTGGTGGGGGAGTACTGTAGCGTATCTACCACTACAAAAATATTATTCCAATTCACTAGTATATAAGACACGTTAACTCGATTCTATGGTGGGGTACCTTTTCATAGATGAAGGTTGACATGGTCGATGTGATTCTCACCACAATGTGAATAAATTAAAAATTCATCAATTCATTGAAGCTTGGGTTAATCTGATAACGCTTTAATTGGTTGTCACGACTGGTGAGACTAGACCCTTGAATTAGAATATAGATATAGTATAGGAGCCTTAGGTGTTAAAATTTCCTTGTTTTTTGAGGCAAAAGCTGCCATATTCAAGTTTATGCTCTAAAACTGATATTAACGCATCCTAGGGTTCACACCAGCAATAAAAATTTAGTGGCCCAATAGAACTATGTAGGTATTCATTTATTGGCCCAAACAATTAATATGGTAGACAACCTTGAGAAAAATTGAACTTTACAATTACATAATTCTTGTTGTGGTACACATCAAAAATTATTTATTGCCATCTATAACATCCTGAAACAAATTAGGAGCCTATAATGATCGAAGATTGATAATTATTAAAATCAAGTGTAAAAAAGCTAAAATAATATTAGTAAATAGATTCATCAAAAAGTTTAAAATGCTGAGACCAATTAAATAAACAAATGAAGAAAACAGAGAAAGTAAGAATTAACAAAATATTATACTAAAGATTAATTATCAAAAAATTATAAACTCTTAAATAATGTCAATTCTAAAAGAGCGAAAAATATAATTTTATTAATGAACAATTAATAATCTTTCTGTATCATAAAAAAAAGGTTACTGTCGTTCTAGCCGCCACTGTTTTAAAAATTTTTCGCCATTGATTTAAATTTGTTTGTGTTTCTTCCTCTCCAAACAAAACGCATAGACTATAGAATGAGAATATATGGGAAAATTTGCATATTTAAAAAAAAGTGTGACGGACACATATCATTTGAAAATGTTATTGTAGCGAACATAAGTTATTGAGTTATTTTTATTTAAAATTTGTTTATTTTTTATTTATTTAATTATTTGTTTCGCGCAATTCAGTTCAAGGAAAACTATTAGGAGTCGAGTTTTTTGATTTTTTGTAATTATGCACTTATGTAGTTAAATGGGTGTAACATACGTCTAACTTTGTTTGAATTTTGAATTAGCTTTAGAGTTATTAAATTGCTAAATTTGGTCTTTTTCCGGCTTTTTATTATAAGGGGAAAATTAATCGTAATTGTTTTAAGTATTAATATCGTATTAATTATAATCGTATTGTTATTATTATTATTATTATTTTTGAATTTAAGAAAGCAAAAATGACTTCGTAGCACAATTATGGAAAAAATTTTGTTGCCATTTACATAGTGTTTAATGTCCGACAATGAAATAGATCTTAGTTTTTTTCCTTTTCATTAAAATTTTTTTATTAAGTTTTAAATTTCAAAATTTGTTTTTCGATTTTTCTCTAAGAAATTCATTTATATAATCCCGAAAGGTCAGAAAAAAATACACATTTTCCCTCCGGTGTTTTGGAAGATAACATGCTCAGAATGTAATCACATTATCTTTTTTTTTGGATTATTTTAATTAGGGGACTCGATGTTAATATTTAAGTAAATAAATTTGAAGATTTTTAAGACACTTTCTCCGAGCTCTTCTCTTTTCAATGTTCTTTTAAAGTGATATTTAAAAAGTGTTTAGAAAAATGTAAATTTTTTTTTTATTTGAGAAAAAAACCAGCATTCAATGGCTTAAAATGCAAAATTCAAATGGAAAAAGTAATGCTAGTAGCAATTTTTTGAGAATTTTCAGTTCATAAGTTTATTATCTAAACCAGGGGTTTCCAACTTACATGAGGCCGGGGGCCACAATTAAAACCACAAATCAATTGGCGGGCCGCAACTTCATCAAAATTTTATGTAGGACTCTTTTGTGCTTGAAGGAACATTAAATATTACTGTCAGAGTCTTATTACCACGTTGTACAAAACAAAAGTATTGAATTACAAATTAAAAAAAGAAGTACATTTTTAAAAATACTAAATTGTTACTAATAATATTTTCAGAAATATTAAATAAATAAAAAAATTCGGGCTACAATAACTTTAATGTGCACCTATGTATTAAACAATTAATGTGCAACAGATATCTATTTGTTAATATATAAAACTTTGGTTGGTATTAAAACTTACATAGTAGCACACAAAATGTTCAATGAGAATATTGAGGTTTGTCTGCTGAAATCACCAGAGAATATATATTGACATTTAAAATTTACAAATGTGTGTGTAAGTATTTTCGTCCAAAATGAGTGGTTTCAAAAAGTTAAATCGGAGAATTTCTTAGAGAAAATTTCTGATACACACACGCTGAATTATACTCACAAAATATAAAAAAAGGAAATAAAAAAGAGCAACATTCACGATTATTTTTGTATTCGAATAAGTATTTTCTTGGATGCAAAACCGGAAGAAATAAATTTTTTTGCACCGTTGGTATGTTAAATTTCACTGAAACGAAGAAATTACCTTTCTATTAACAAGAAACGTATTTTAAATTCATATAGATTTTTTACAAAAATTTTCCGAAAAAAAATGACAACTAATATATTTTAGTTCGTGGGCCGCAAAAAAAGGCTTCACGGCCCGGGTTGCCAGTTGGAAACCCCTGATCTAAACAAAAGGAATAAATATCAATCTCCACTGATACCGAAGAAATAAAAACATATTTTGTCTAGTTGCTTGTGGTAGCTAAATTTTAATACCACCACCTTAGTTTTTGCAGCAGGGAACGGCCTAACCCATCTGATATATCTGTTTTGTTTGAAATTTGTTATTTTATTACACATATAGTTTCATATTTTAACAGCTGTAACCCGTGCTGGCGGGAGACATTTTAAACCCACGGACGATACTGAAACTGGCGTTCTAATCTTAATTTTGTACGGGTCCTCCCTATAAAACGAGCTGTGACGTGTGTATGACTGAAGGAATACGACTGAAGTCGCATTCCTGATCATAGATGGCGACACTGGAAAAAACAAATAACGATCTCTCTGTCTTAGAAATAGGATTTATTTCAAGTAGGCTTGATGGCAGCGGCAATAGTAACAGCATGAAAAACATAATTTCGATAAATAAAAAAAGTAATCTAAAATAAATAAATAAAAAAAAACTAATTTTTCTCATTGAGTTGTCTTGCTGGTGTAGTCATAACACTTCATAAAATTTCTTAAATTTTTATGTTTCAAATTACAATATTTTTATCAGAAAATTATAAAATCTATATCAATCCTGAATGTTGATTTAAGAAACACATGAAGNGCCTGTCGACGAAATGATTAGTCGATGAAATGACCCTGTCGATGAAACGATCATGTTGATGAAATGACCCTGTCGACAAAATGACCCAGTCGACGAAATGAC